TTCGACTTTTCAATTTATCAATTTTTCGCCTTTTAGATTCTTACTTTTTCGGTTGTTTGATGTTGCGAATTCTCGATCTAGTTTCAGAATTTTCGATTTTTTAATTTTTCAATTTTTCAATTCTCCAATTTCTCGGTTTTTCGGTATCTCAATTTCCCCATTTTACAATTTTTCGATTGATCAACAATTTTGCCATATTTCATTTTTAGGATTTCTAATTTTTCCATTTTCCAAATTCTCGATTTTTCAATTTCTTTTAAATCGATTTTTTATCTTCAAATTTTCCATTTTTTGGCTTTTAAAATCTTCGATTTCGCCACTGCTCAATTTTTCGATATTTCAATTTTTCCATTACTCAATTATTTGCTTTTAAGTTTTGAAATTTTTCAATTGTTTGATTCTTCAATTTCTCGATTTTTCAAATTTTCCATTTCTCAACTTTTTCATTTCACAATTCTCCGAATTTTCGATTTTTCGGATTTTCGAATTTTCGATTTCTGGATCTTTCAATATCTCAAACTGGCAATTTTTCAATATCTCAATTCTTCAATTTTTCAGGATTTTATTTTTTAAATTTGTATGTTTCGAATTCTCCATCTTTTAGTTTCAGAATTTTCGATTTCTTAATTTTTCAATTTCTCGATTCCCCAATTTATCGGTTTTTCGGTATCTCAATTTCCTGATTTTACAATTTTTCCATATTTCATTTTTGGGATCTCTAATTTTTCGATTTTCCAATTCTCGATTTTTCAATTTCTTGATCAATCGATTTTTTTATTTTCGATTTCCCGATTTTTTTATCTCAATTTTTCGATATTTCAATTTCTCGATTTTCAATTTTTCCATTACTCAATTATTTGCTTCTAAGTTTTGAAATTTTTCAATTTTTTGATTCTTCAATTTCTCAAATTTTCGATTTCTCGATTTCTTGATGTTTCCATTTCACAATTCTCCGAATTTTCGATTTTTCGGCTTTTCGATTTCTGAATCTTTCAATATCCCAATCTGTCAATTTTTCGATATTTCAATTTCTCAGTTTTTCAATATCTCAATTCTTCAATTTTTCAGGTTTTTAGTTTTTAAATTTGTTTGTATGTTTCGAATTCTCCATCTTTTAGTTTCAGAATTTTCGATTTCTTAATTTTTCAATTTCTCGATTCCCAATTTATCGGTTTTTCGGTATCTCAATTTCCTGATTTCACAATTTTTCGATTGATCAACAATTTTTCCATATTTCATTTTTGGAATCTGTAATTTTTCAATTCTCCATTTCTCGATTTTTCAATTTCTTGATAAATCGATTTTTAATTTTCGAATTTTCGATTTCCCGATTTTTTGGTTTTTCAATTTTTCCATTACCTCAATTTGTTTGCTTTTAAGTTTTGAAATTTTTCAATTTTTCGAATCTTCAATTTCTCGATGTTTTTAAATTTTCAATTTCTCGATTTTTTGACTTTCTCATTTCACAATTCGTCGAATTTTCGATTTCCCAATATCGATATCTTAATCTGTCAATTTTTCGATATTTCAATTTCTGGATTTTGGGATTTTTTTTTATTTTTCGATTCTCCAATTTCCCGATTTTACAATTTTTCGACTAATGAAATATTTTTCCGTACTTCATTTTTGGGATTTCTAATTTTCCGACTCTCCAAATTATCGAATTTTCAATTTCTTGGTAAATCGATTTCTCAATTGCTCAATTTTTCGAAATTTCAATTTCTCCTTTTTCAATTTTTCCATAACTCTATTATTTGCTTTTAAGTTTTGAATTTTTTCAATTTTTCGAGTCTTCAATTTCTCGATTTTTTAAATTTAAAAATTTCTTCATTTTTTGACTTTTCCATTTCAAAATATTCGAATTTTCGGCTTTTCGAATTTTCGATTTCTCGATCTAACAATATCTCAATCTGTCAATTTTTCGTTATTTCAATTAATATTATACAATTTAACTTTGAAATTGTTATGGTTCCCCAAAAAATAATTAAGTCACTTATAATTTTGCCAATGATTTGTCAGTGTCTCCGAGAAGCTAAATTATTAATTCGACAATTTTTTATTGTTTAAAAATGTTAACCTACAGATGGAGAGTTGGAGAGACTAGAAATCTAAACGTGCTCGCTGCGCTCGTACTCTACAGGTGTTTCTTTTTAACTCTAGAGATTTCTTCTTAAAATACATACAACTCGAACAATTTCGCTGAGACTCTTTCCTGCACATTTCTATGAAAATATAGCCGAAAAAAAAAAACGTTTAAAATGCGAGCGCAGCGAGCACGTTCAGGTGTAATTTAAAAAAATATTGATTAGTGTCCCCGAGAAGCTAAATTATTAAGAACAATTCAGTCGTTACTTAAAAATGTGAGTTTAAAGATTATGTCGGAAACATCCTGAGCGTGCTCGCTCTGCTCGCATTTTAGTAGTTGATTTTTTCAGAGCAATTTACCTTCACAAGAAGATCTTAATAATTATTTTAATAAAACCTAAGTAGCCTTGGTGGCCGTTCATTTGTAAATGTTTTTACGACACTAAATTAATTAAAAAAGAACATAGAATGCGAGTGCAGCGAGCACATTTGGGTACAAAAAAATTTCTTATTGTCTGCAAAAAGTGAATCTTAAAAACAATTGTGTTCAGACTTGATTAAAAAAACGCTCCAAAGTCATAAAATTTTCAGAACAATGGAGCGTCAACTTTTGGGAGGGGGTAAACGGATAAATTTTGATCAACGATTATCACGCTTACGATAACGTAAGTAACGATAACAATTACAGTTGTTTTTTTCCAAAAATTTAGTGATTTCGGGTAAAAACTCAAACAGAAACGGGAGACCTGTTTTTTCGTACTCTAGGGGTCACGGTACGTCGAAAAACCTGAAGGTCACGCTCGGACAGCCAAAATCAATAATAAAACAATTAGGTTTACGAAATTCCAAAAAAAGGAAACTTTACAGTCTAAAAATACGACACATGCATGGCAGTTTTGACCCGATCAATATGATTCGATGTCAATTTTCATATACATTATTAAACAAAATTTCTAGAACGTGCACTTTCTATTTTAAACGATTGGGTTAACAATAATCAATATGTCTAGAGTCGACTTGTGAGATTTATTGGATTGCAGAAACAAGCTGTGTCTAAATTTTCTCAAATATTTGCACCTAGAATAATAATTCAATGTTTACAAATATTTACAAATAGTCGATTCCGTGTTCCACGGTGTTCACTACGGAACTTTGTTGAGAAATCCAAAACCTATGCAATAAACCGGGGAGTAAACCTCAATAAACAAACTAAAATGGAATTAAAGTAATCTGTTATTGCATTTGTTGAATGGTTGTGGTCGAGTTGCTCAAGATCAATTTTCGGAGCATTGAGCAACAGCACACCATTACTCGGTGGGAAAATTGTAAATTTTTTAAAAAATGTTTAAATTAACGGCGATCGAGACAGTAATTGGCGTTTTTGCCGTACTAATTAAACGCCATTTCTCTTCACCGAGTTCGCCGATCAAAGCAATCCGGACATTTGTTTTGTCTTGCTTCCGCTCCTTTGATGTCGTCAACTTGCAGACTTGTATGTACGAAATATACAAAGCGCCAAAATAAAAGAGTACGAAAATATTAGCTCGTTAATTATCTGAAATGAGAGACATGCGTTATTTTAATAATCCTGATAAAACAAGACACATTCCGTTTATAAAATAAAATTTGCAATGTAAAAGTGCCAACGGATCACGCAATTTCGAAATTCTAGAAAACCGCTATCCGCTTCTACGCACAAAAACAGGTTTTGCAAAAAACGAATCAACAAAAAGTGTTGCGTAAAGAACGGTAAACATGGCTAAAAAGTTGAAACTACAATAAACACGAAGTCCCTCATTAAGCTGTGATTAGGAGCGGTTTTCCCAATTTTGGCGAGAGGCTTCGTCTTTTCGCCAAAATTATTTACAAAACAAGTCGCTTTTTATCTTATTTGAGTTAAATAAAAACGAAAAGATAAGTTTACTGGCCAAAATTTTCCTAATATTTTTGTCGAAATAAAGCGATAAAGTTAACGAATGCGTGATCGAAGATTCTTATCGCCTTGGCGTTAATAAAATAATAAAAAATAAACGACACTCGATAGTCCAAGTGGCACTTAATGGTGTCTCTTTGATCTGGCACATTGTTATAGCGAGTGGCTGATATAATTCCCTGCATTATTAATCCTCGAGAACTTAAATCTACTTAAACATTTATGAAGAAAGAAAAGTAGTTCATAAAACATCAAAAGCGCTTGGTGTCACGTCCTGCAAAAAATGCGTCAAGACTGTCAACAGGAAAAGCTCCGAATATGGAAGGCTCGAAAAAGCGGCCATGAGCAAGCCTAATACTAATTCTGGCGCCTCAATGCCACTGAAATCACTTTCTGTGCGATTTTTTGATTTTCGTTTACAGTTATCGGAAGTTAATTAGGCAATTTAGCTGTCGTCGATCCAGAATAAGTTCATCCGTAGCGAAGAAAGTGGTCGCAATCATAAAAAATAAATCTCGAGGAATAATAATAGATTCGGGCCGATGACGTAGCCTGAATCAATAACATGTCACATCTTAGGATTTACGAGGACGCGGGCGAGTTCAAAATTCCCGCCAAAGCTTTATTTACCATAACGTAGCCACTCAACAGGTGGCGCTTCCTAATTTATTTAAACATCCACATGCGTTCCACGAGTTTTAAAACACGAGAAATGTTAAATGAGCCGATTTTGGTTGGATTGGGACGGCTGGTTTGGGGTTGGCTTGGGTTTCAAGTGCATGTGCAATTAGCGCTTTAATTGCGTAATTTGTTGTTAGGGTTGATGTTTTTCAGGTGGAGGGATGATAGAGGGAGGCGGCGATTTAAACCGGGTGATTTATTTAGGGTTATCGACGTGCGATTGAATTGGTTAAAAATCGATTCGGTTTGCAGAACATGTGGAATTTCTCATGAGATGATGAAAAATTGAAGGGGTGCTTACATGGTCGACGTTGATCTCTCCTTTGTACATGAACTCAACCAAACACTTAATATCTACATATTTAACATCTTTCATGATTAGAATGGGGTCTTTTTCTTCGTACTGGGACAGGATGGTTTCGAAGTAGGTGCTGCAGGCTGACAGGACGATTTTGTGTGCTTTGATGGTCCTGCCCTCGCAGGCGAGAGTAACATCACAGAAGGCCTCCCTTTCGAGGAGCTGTGAGAACATAGTTTGCAGGTTCGAGTGGTGGTACCTCCATCTCAGGCAATACTGTTGGGGCAGCATTTTGGTTATGTAGTCGGGCTGTGGTGGCTTGATGGGTCCTCTTTGCCTATTCGCGTCGGGAGATGACGAATATCATTAAAAAATAGTGAGTCACCGAGCGGAGACCTTCAAAACACTAAAAAATAATCAATACCTCACAGTTTTTCACTTGTTTTGAACACCATAATTGGTTTTTGGAGCACTAACGCACACTGGCACGGCACACTGCGATCGTTTTCGTGCGTCGCGAGAGGCAAAGTCCGTAGTTTTTCTCGAAAATTTGGAGACGCGTATGTAAATGTTCAGTCATTTGGAAAATTCCGACAAAAAATGTGTCCCTTGGTTTTTTATGAGTCAGTGAGCCAATAGAAACCACGTAAGACCCCTATAAAGCATGTATAGTCCGTATATCGCCGGGCCAAGCCTTTAAGGCAAATCAATACCGCACGTCTTAAAAAATCCTCCGTAAAAAATCTTGGGAACTCTCGGCTTCGTCCACCACACAAATATTTGCAGAGCAACGGCTTTTCGCCTAGCTAACGGCACCAAAACTAACGCAGATCCAAAACGGGGTCAAAATTGAACCGACTCCGACTCGGACTGTACTGTAATTAGGCCTTTCATATTTATTTTTATAAACTTGAGATTTTTCAGAGCCCGCGAGAGAAAGAGAAAATCTATCGACGGTTCAAGTTCAACGGACGGCGACGCGCCGATTCGCCTCGCTTTTCCAAATTCGACTGGATTTTCACGCACAAAACGACCGGAGCACACGAGAGCGGACCGACGACGATTATTTAGGCGGCTTCCGCGGCGAACCGAGCTCGAAAACCGAGATTTCCGGACCAAACTTGATAATCTCTCTCTCTCGTGGAATTTTTTGGAAAAAAATTTAGAAAGAGATAGCAAAACGCTATGTAAAGAAAACAGAAATATTTCTTTTGTCAAAGAAATGGTAAAAACTTGCGGTTGGCGGCACTGCGGGAACTAGCCTGCGTGCGGAGGGGGGGCTGTCAACTGTCATAACTCGTACGTCAAGGCGCCGGAATTTCGACGCGAAACGTGCCATTTTTAAACTGAGACAGTAAACAAACGAAATTTTTCTTACACTATTTTTATTGTTGCGTTTTTGTAGAAAGAAATGTCGGACGACGAGGACGTGCCGTATATCAAAAAACCCAGGAACATCCACTATGGGTCGCTAGAGGAGGCGGAAAGGGCCAGGTTAGCGGCGGCGGAGGCAAACGAAGACAGCAATGAAAAGGGGGAGAGCTCGGCGGCGAACCCGCCACAAGTACACATTTCCACAGGTATAATTTCGTACAGAAACAAAAAAGTTGCATAAAGTGAGGTTACTTTACCCTGAAGCAACTTGACAAATTGTGTTTACGTAGAGTTAGTTATAGAACTGCCACCAACACAATTCAGTTTATTACATCACTTGTCTAAATCTTCGTGGCTTGAAAGTATGAAAATTTGACTCCAAGGATCAAAAAATAAATTGCTGGGACCATAATGTTTAGTCCAAATTGTTGTTTTTACGATAAATAGACAATTATGCCAAGATAAACACTATCACAGTGTTTCTGTTAACTGAAAAATAAAACATGAGCAAATTTGGACTAAATATGTCTTGGTTTAAATTTTTCCAAGAGTTTCTCCATGATCAGATTTTCATACTTCTACACACATTTGAACAAATCTGCAAAAAGGTTATTACAAAACAAGTTTGAAATGTTTGCTACAAATTTGTTTTCATTATTTATTTATTTTCCATTGTTTGGTATCACTGTATGTCATGGCTTGACATTGAATATTTAAGCCTTCTAGATGCAAAGTAACAACTAATAAATAACAAGAGAGAGCAGTAAAAAGCACTATCAAAGATAGCTGTGGATTTTCGAAAAATCGTCAAAGACAAACTTTCAAAAGTCCACCGGTTTTTCCTGACATTTTTGTTACATTCTTGAAAAAATCAGAAATTTTTAATTATAATGACAATGAGGTAATTGTAAGAAATATTTAATTTCATGTTGTCTTGGCGTGTCACAAGTTGTAGAAGACGACAATGCAGATTTTCCTTATCTTTTAAGCTGTAGTTTGTCCGCCTGCTGACTTTTGTCAATTTCTTGTAAACCAATACTCTTTGTAAAAAATTCCAATATCTTATTGACGTGTTGTTACATAGACGTCACGTGACACTTCTTTACCTATTTTCTGATAATCCACCCTTAGTGTTAATTATACGTTACCCTATAAAAAAATTAACTTCGACCGTTCAGTTTTAAAATGTATTAAAAGAACATTGTAAAGTTATAAAACATTAGCTAAAAATATAAACAAAAACTGAGGAAATATTCTAGTGATTTTTCCGTTTTTGTTTGTCTGCTGTCTGCAGATGGCAACTGCTGACTTGTTGTCATAAATGTCAATTTGACAATCAGGTGTGTCATCATATAATTTTAAATATGTTGCCACAAACATTAATAGTCACTCAGTATTTAGAACCACTACGATTGCTATTTTCACTCTAATAAGTTTCACACAAGTATTTTTGAAATTAGAATAAAGTGGGATTTATAAACTTGCTGTTGACGTTGAAGTTACCGTTAATAGTAACTTTGATGTTCAACTTTTGTCGAATTTAAAGTGGCGAATTAATTTGATTACTACAAAAATTTACCATTTTAGACATGTTTTAAGTTTCTTGGTGTCGAAATAAGTCTACACATATTAAGAAATACAAGGCAAAATTTAGCCCCGCCCACCCGCCCTTGTCTCAATTGTGATGAATTTTTTAATTCGTGTTTAACCAGGAGGGCGGAGTTTAACTGCAAAATCCTTATTTCCATACGAAAAATTAAAAACATGTTTTTGAATATCGTATTGTTCAAAGAATGCTATGTACCTATATTCAGAAAAAAATTAAGCCAAATGTGAGGCCCCACCGATACCCGTCTCGATCTCAATTCTCAATTGTGATTAATTTTTCATTCGTTGTCAAATCGAGGGGCAGGGATTAATTTCAAGATACATATTTGTCTACAAGAGTTTACCATTTTAGACATGTTTTAAGTTTCTTGGTGTCGAAATAAGTCTGCACGTATTAAGAAATACAAGGCAAAATTTAGCCCCGCCCACCCGCCCTGTCTCAATTGTGATGAATTTTTTAATTTGTGTTAAGCCAAGAGGGCGGAGTTTAACTGCAAAATCCTTATTTCCCTACGAGAAATTAAAAACATGTTTTTGAATATCGTATTGTTCAAAGAATGCTATGTACCTATATTCAGAAAAAAATTAAGCCAAATGTGAGGCCCCACCCATACCCGTCTCGATCTCAATTCTCAATTGTGATTAATTTTTCATTCGTTGTCAAATCGAGGGGCGGGGACTAATTGCAAAAATCATATTTGTCTACAAGAATTTACCATTTTAGGCATGTTTTAAGTTTCTTGGTGTCGAAATAAGTCTACACCTATTAAGAAATACAAGGCAAAATGTAGCCCCGCCCACCCGCCCTGTCTCAATTGTGATGATTTTTTTTATTCGTCTTGAGCCAAGAGGGCGGAGCTTAACTGCAAAATCCTTGTTTCTCTATGAGAAATTAAAAACATGTTTTTGAGTATCGTGTTATTCAAAGAATGCTATGCATATTAAGAAAAAATTAAAGCCAAAGATTAAGCCCCACCCCTACGTGCCCTGATCTAAATAGTAGTGAAGTTTTCATTCGTTGCTAAAACTAGGGGTGGAGCCTAATTGCAAAATCCATATTTCCCTACCAAAATTTACCATTTCAAACCTGTTTTAAGTTTCTAAGAATAAAAAAAATCATCACAATTGAGGTGGGGTGGGTGGGTGGGGTTTATATTTTGCCGTTTTGTCTTAATATACTTTGTATTCTTTGATCAACACAATACTCAAAAACATTTTTAATTTCATGTAAAGAAACAAGTATTTTGCAGTTAAGCTCCGCCCTCTTGGTTTACGGTAAATACAAAAAATTTATTACAATTGAGATTGGGCGGGCTTACATTTTGTCTTTGTGTTTTAATATGTGTGGACTTCTTTTCATAACATGAAACTTAAAACATGTTTAAAATATAAAATTTGTATAAGGAAATATCGATTTTGCAATTAAGCTCCGCCCCATAATTTCAAAATCGATATTTCCACGTCCTCGAACCTCTTGATAGTAGAAGAGCCGTCAACAATTTGTCTTTGATATATTTTTTTTGAGATTCTTGGAATTATTAACATTCCTGACATATGGCGATTTTTAAGAGCTGTTGAGATTGGCAGGACTATGTAAATATTAAAAATTTCAGACACTCAGAAGTTTTACAAATAGTAGAGACTGTAGCAGTTCTAGCGATTGGACAGATATTTTAGAGATTGAGATTTCAAAAGTATTTGAGAAATTTCTAGAGGTCGTAGATACAATTTAAGAGATATGAAGACTCAACAGATTCTAAAGGATCCCAAAATTGTAGAAATTCAGAGATTTTAGAGATCGTAAAATGCGGTAACTTCTCAAGATTCTAAAGAACCTAGAAATCCTAGAAACTCAAAGATACTGGATTCCACATAAATTCTAAAGATCATAAATATTTCTTTTCTTTTGGTTTTCTTTTTTAATTACTACATTTAGTTTTCTTTGTATAACACGATACTTAAGAACATATTTCACGTGGTAATTTTTCGTAGAGAAATAATGATTTTGCTCCGCCCTCTTGGCTCAAGACGAATTAGAAAAAAATCATCAGAATTGAGATAGGGCGGGTGGGTGGGGTTTATATTTTGCCTTTTTTTCTTAATATACATTACCATTTTTTCACAACAAGAAACTTAGAACATAATTAAAATGGAACATTGGAGCCTAATTGCAAAATCGATATTTCCTTACACAAATTTTCCATTTAAATATGTTTTAAGTTTCTTGTTATGAAAAGAAGTCCCCACATATTAAAAAAAAAAGCCAAATGTAAGCCCACCCACCCACCCAATCTCCATTGTAATGATTTTTTTTATTCTTCGTAAACCAAGGGGGTGGAGCTTAACTGCAAAATACTTGTTTCTTTACAAGAAATTAAATCATGTTTTTGAGTATCGTGTTGTTCAAAGAATACTACGTATATTAAGAAAAAAAGGGCAAAATATAAAACCCGCCCACCCACCCCTTCTTTATTGTGTAGGAGGCTGTAGCGGAATTATACAGGGCTTGCAGGGTTTGTTTCTAAAGACTTATAATTATTAAAAATATATTTACGACACATCTTACTACAACGACGGCTGGAGGACGAAGGGGAGAGTCGCAGCACATCGCGCACGATTACCCTTCCGATGTTGTTACAGTTCATGGCGCGAAATTTAAATTTAAAAGTTTAGCGACTACAGTTGTGATGATTTTTTTAACCTTAGAAACCTAAAACACGTTTAAAACGGTACATTTTTCTAAGGAAATATGGATTTTGCAATTAGGCTCCGTCCCTAGGTTTAGCAACGAATGAAAACTTCATTACTATTTAGATCATGGCAGGTATGGGTAGGGCTTAATCTTCCTGTTTCTAAAACAAGACTTTCATGGTAATTTCTTGCAGAAATAATAACGATTTTGCATTTAAATTCCGCTCCTTTGGCTCTCGACGATCAAAAGAAAAAATAATCATGATAATTGAGATAGGGCGGGTGGATGGGGTTTATATTTTGTCTTTTTTCTTAATATACGTAGTCGTCTTTTGAGAACAAGAAACTTAAAATTTGTTTCAAATGGTAAATCTGTGTAGGGAAACATCGGTTGTGCAATTACGCTCCGCCCCTCAGTCTGACAACGAATGAAAAATTCATCATGATTGAGATTGAGATGGATGGGTGGGGCTTCTCTTTTGGTATTCTTTTTTAATTAATACATACAAAATCGATGTTTCTCTATAAAAATCGACCATTTTAAACATGTTTTAAGTTTCTTCGTCTCAAAAGACGACTACGTATATTAAGAAAAAAGGTAAAATATAAGTTTTCATTTGTTGCCAGACGTAGGGGCGGAGCCTAATTGCAAAATCCATATTTCCGTAGAAAAATTTACCATTTTAAACGTGTTTTAGGTTTCTAAGGTTAAAAAAAAATCATCACAATAGAGATGGGGTGGGTGGGCGGGGTTCATATTTTGCCTTTTTTTCTTAATATGCTTAGTATTCTTTGAACAACACGATACTCAAAAACATTATTTTAATTTCATGTAAAGAAACAAGTATTTTGCAGTTAAGCTCCACCCCCTTGGTTTACGGCGAATAAAAAAGATCATTACAATTGAGATTGGGCGGGTGGGTGGGCTTACATTTCGCATTTTTGTTTTAATATGTGTGGACTTTTTTTCATAACGTGAAACTTAAAACATGTTTAAAATGGAATATTTGTATAGGGAAATATCGATTTTGCAATTAGGCTACGCCCCATAATTTCAAAATCCATATTTCCTTACAAAAATGTACCATTTTATCTATATTTTAAGTTTCTTGTTGTGGAAAGATGGCTGTCTATATTAAGAAAAAGAAGCAAAATATAAACCCCGCCCACCCGCCCTATCTCAATTCTGATGATTTTTTGTTTATTCGTCGTAAGCAGAGGGGCGGAGCTTAACTGCAAAATCCTTATTTCTCTACGAGAAATTACCACGTGAAATATGTTCGTAAGTAATCTTGTTATACAAAGAAAACTAAATGTAGTAATTAAAAAAGAAAACCAAAAGAGAAGAAATATTTATGATCTTTAGACTTTATGTGGAATCTAATATCTTTGAGTTTTTAGGATTTCTAGGTTCTTTAGAATATTGAGAAGTTACCGAATTCTTAGTTTAAGAATTTGTATCGCCTGAAATATGTCTAGAGGACACAAGAATCGCGAAAATCTCTGAATTTCTACAATTTTTGGATCCTTCAGAATCTGTGGAGTCTTCATATCTCTCAAATCATATGTAAGACCTCTAGAAGTTTTTCAAATATTTTTGGAATCTGAATCTCTAAAATATCTGTTCAATCATTAAAGCTGCTGCACTCTCTAATATTTGTAGAACTTCTTAATGTCTCAAATTTTTAGTATTTACATAGTCCTTCCAATTTCAAAGTTTTTAAGCATCGCTATATGTGAGGTATCTTAAGAATTTCAAGAATCTCAAAAAAAAAAAATAAATTAGACATTCTGGCATGTAGAGAATAGATTTTAAAATACAGTGCATCTGTGATATCGTTGGGAACACTGAAATCTCTATCCACAATCTTTGGAATATTTATGATTTTTAGAGTTTTTGTAGACTCTAGTATCTTTGAGGTTCTAGAATTTTACGATCTCCAAAATCTCAGAATTTCTACAATTTTTGGATCCTTTAGAATCTGTTAAGTATTCATATCTCTCGAATCATGTCTAAGACCTCTAGAAGTTTCTCAAATATTTTTGAAATTTCGATGTCTAAAATATCTGTCCAATCGCTAGAACTGCTACAGTCTCTAATATTTGTAAAACTTCTGAGTGTCTGGAATTTTTAATATGTACATAGTCCTTCCAATCTCAAAGTTCTTGAGAATCGCTATATGTCAGGTATGTTAATAATTTCAGGAATCTCAAAAAAAAAATCAAAGACAAATTGTTGACGGCTCTTCTACTATCAAGTGGTTCTAGGACCCAGTTTTGAATTAATTCAAACGCATTATTCTAAAAAATCAACTCAGAACAACAATAATTGGAAAAACTAGATTTCATAAAAAAAAAATGATATGCATATGTTTCAACTGAGTTTTTTTACAGCCCAATTTTTTTAGAACACTTACCTTTTATTTGCGAAGCTGAATCTAAATAATAGAGGGATTTAAACAGTAAAAACTATAAGAGTAAAAAAAAATCAAGGTTGAATCATAAAACACAGTAAAGAAGTACATTATTGTATAAAATTTAAATAACTTTTATTTCGTGAAATTTTGAGCAGACGTCATCAAATTTTTGCCATTCTCATTCTCATTTTGAACACTGAATATTCCCAAGCTCTCAAAGATGTCCAGAAATTTACAAGCGGCTTAGCCTTTTTATATGCCTAATATAATTTTGATTACATTTTTACAATTAATTGTCAATCCTCGACTTTTCACTAGATCTTACATTATCCTGTAAGTTGTCAAGAAGACTTTAAGGCGTAATACTGAAATTTAAATAACTTTCATACCGAGTTCGCTGAATTTTTGTCTCAAGTTGTCAAAACTGTCTTTTCCTTGTCTCTTGAATGGTAGAAAATTTAGAAACCGATTTCTTAAACTTCAACAAAATAGCCTAAAACTACGATTTTTTTGACTTTCTTAGAGGGTATGTCATTTGCCAAAATCAGTCTTATCTTACCAAGTACTAGCCCCACCCACCCGCCCCTTATTTTCTCACAGGAATTGTGATTTGCCAAAACTTATGTCAACAAGTACTAGCCCCGCCCACCCGCCGTTATTTCCTCAGAGGGTAATACTTGCTAAGATAAGATTTTATTCTCATAGAAGTCTGCAAGGAAGAGTCAGAAATATTTTGAGCATTCACTTTTTTTAGACAAATTGCGCTTCTCGGTGACATTAACCAGTAATTTTCAATAACACTTAAACGTGCTCGCTGTGCTCGCTACTTAGTTTGTTTTATTATATTAATTCTATAAACTCTAAATTATTCTAAAAAAATCAACTTGAGGTGTACAAGTCCAGTAAGCACACCCTTTGTTTTCTTAAAGTGTTGATTTGCCAAAATCAGTCTCATCTTGATAGGTACTAGCCCCGCCCACCCGCCCGTTATTTTTTTAAAGGATATGTTATTTGCCAAAGTCAGTCTATCTTAGCAGGTACTAGCCCCGCCCACCCGCCCTTTATTTTATCAGAGAATGTCATTTGCCAAAATCAATCTTATCTTAGCAAGTGCTAAGAATTAATAGCGTCGATCCGACGAATGACTACTTTCATGTTTCCTCGACGTTTCATGACTCCTGCATGCGTGATTTATGAGTTTTTACCCTACTTATCCAGATTTTTGAGCAAAAAAGTCAAAATTACCCAACATTTTACAATTTAACTTTGAAATGGTAGAATTTGAGTGTACGTCAAAGGAAACTTCGTGGAAATAACTCCAACAATTTTTTTTTTAATAATATGTATATCATGAGTTCTTTCATTGATGCAGAATCAGTTTACTTAATATTCGTATGTCATTTTAACATTTTAATTTTTTTTCTGTGAAAATCTTTATTTCTTGTGACAAAAAATAACGTTCGTGACAACTTCAAAAATTTAAGAAAGTGTCCTAAAAGACCTGTTTCGAGATTTTAAACCTGGTGTAATGAGGTTAAGACAAATGTGTACTTAATCAACAGCAAACGTGGGTTGTGGTTACTTTATTGCTAAGAAAAATAAACTTTTGTAGGCTTATCGAACTCGTAGAAAATAGTGAAAGTCTATTACTAGATCGGACTTGAGTTATTTTTAGCCCATGGAATTTTTGCAGCTGACTATTACTTGAATAATAGATTAATTTAAATCGGTATCTAATTAGGGTTTTTTTTAAATACCGTCACCTTAAACTGTGTTTCATTTGGTATTTTAGTATCTATCTGGCATGATTTTTTTTTTAATTTTGATTACATTTTTTCATTAAGCTTATTTTTCATAACAAAAAAATTGACAAAGTTAATAACAAACAAAATAAACTGGATTTTAATGATAAGAATATTCTTTTGCAGAATACATGGAACTCGAAGATGCCATGTCCCGCGACAAACAAGCCCTCCTCGAGGAGTTCGAACGCCGCCGCAAAGCCCGCTCCATCAACGTCTCGACCGACGACGCCGAAGTAAAACGCAACCTCCGCCAACTAGGCGAACCGATTTGCCTGTTCGGCGAAGGTCCCCCAGACAGACGCTCCCGTCTCCGGGAAATTTTAAGCCGCATCGGCGAAGACGCCGTCATCCGGCGAGAAGCAGAAGAAGAGCGCAAACAGTTCGAGAAAGACCTCGAAACCACCTGGTACCACGAAGGACCAGAATCGCTGCGAATCGCGAGACTATGGATAGCCAATTACTCCTTACCGAGGGCGAAAGCGCGGCTGGAAGCCACCAAAAACACGACCGACTTACCCACAGCAACCAAGACCGCTAAAAAACAAGAAATCCAGAAGAAGCTACAAATTATGACGATTTATTCGAGCCAGATCGGGGACACACGGCCGATTTCGTATTGTCAGTTCAGCCCGGATTCAAAGCTTCTGGCCACGGCGTCTTGGTATATATTTTTTTGGTTTATTTTGTGTTTAATGATGTTGTTACTACACGTGTGAGGTAAGTAAATGATAATTAAATTGCAGGAGTGGGTTGTGTAAAGTGTGGTCAGTGCCGGACTGCACCCTCAAACAGACACTGAAAGGGCACGCGTGCAATGTCGGAGCTATTATTTTTCACCCGAAGGCGACGATCAGTCAAGAGGAGAATATTTGCAATATGGCGTCGTGTGCCGGGGATGGTTCTGTAAAACTGTGGGATTTTCAAAAGTATTGGTTTCATTTAAGTGAAATATCTGGATTAACATTATGTTTGTAGCGAAGAACCAATAGCGGATATTGAAGGACACATGCCACATAGGGTCTCTAGGTTAGGTTTTCACCCCTCTGGACGTTTTTTGGGGACGTGCTGCTTTGACTGTTCTTGGAGGCTGTGGGATTTGCACCAATGTACAGAAGTGTTGCATCAAGAAGGCCACGTTAAACCGGTTTATTGCATATCGTTCCAGATAGACGGGTCGGTTTGCGCTACAGGGTAGGTACTCAGGTCACTTCAGGTATGAATATTGAAAAATTGGGAAGTCGTTAAATAGTTGATGGAAAAAATAATGTGCGTGTTGCGTGACGAAAGTTTTTTTTCAGTCGTCACGACGCTCCCTGACTTGGTAAATTAATGACCGTGCGAAGTGAATTGCAGTTTTAAACTTTTTTTTTTTTTAATTTAGTTTATCTAATAAACATGTTCAAGTACATGCACATTAAGCGTTTTATAATCAATACATTATCGTCTATTGACCGCTTTATGTTGACGTCATGTAGATTTTTGAGTTAGATAAAAGTGAGCGTTGGAAGTGGTTATGTCACTTTGTTAGTTATATAAAAGTGATTATATCGTTGACGATATAATCGCTTATCAATACGTGGCAACTGAAGACTGTATCAGTTTAGGCCATCGTTGTTTGGCATCTTTTTAGACACTTGTTTAGAGAAAGCAATATTGAAGGTAAAACAAGTGTTTTGTGCTTTTTAAACTTTTCTTGATTTGTAGAAGGCGGAAACATGACTGGAACAGACTTTGGACTTCTTGATAAAATGACGTGCAAAATCCTTTTGATTGTGGTATTTTTCAATTTCCTTCTAAATTTCGTTGAAAATGATTGATAAGTAAGCAATAATAGCGTTTTTATCAAATTTCAGAGAAGCACAAAGTCGCATTATTTATTTTTCTTGTATTATTCACTGCAAGAATTTATATTTATTTTTTCATTTTCTCGTCACCGTAGATAACTCCAAACCTTTACAAATTTTCTAAAATTTATAGACCAATAATCAAAATTTCCAATCGAAAAAAGAGCCTTTCAAATGTTTGAAAATTTCTACAATGTTTAGAATTTCTAGATGCCTTGAGAATCTTAAAATTTTTTAAGATTTTGTTGATTCACTCTTATATTTAGAATCTTAGAACTTTAGTTTATTTAGACTATTTAGTGTATTCACAATGTGCAATTTTTATTCTTCAAGGTCTTCAGAATCTTTGAATGTTTTGAGACCTTTTGAACCTTTCAAATTTGGAGACCTTGGAACCGTTAGAATCTCCAGAAGCTAGATTTTCTATAATTTTTGGAACTTAGAATTTTACCTTTTCCAGGCTCCTCAGCATCTCCAGATATTAATTAATTAATCAGTCATCTCCTATGCGTTGGGGTGACCAAATCAATAAAATTTTCTTTTAACCGCTGATGCCTGTAATCTGAACGTGCTTATAAATAAGTATTTTGTAGTGAAACCCCCTTGAATATAAAAAAATCATCACAATTGAAATAGGGCGGGTGGGCGGGCTTACATTTGGCCTTTTTCTTTTAAATTATGTAGACTTCTTTTCTCAACATGAAACTTAAAACGTATTTAAAATGGAATATTTGTATAAGGAAATATCGATTTTGCAATTAGCTTGCGCCCCATAATTGCAAAATCCGTATTTCCTTGCAAAAATGTACAATTTAACTATGTTCTAAGTTTCTTGTTATGAAAAGATAGCTATGTATATTAAGAAAAAAAGACAAAATATAAACCCCGCCCACCCGCCCTGTCTCAATTCTGATGATTTTTTGTTTATTCGTCGTAAGCAGAGGGGCGGAGCTTAACTGCAAAATCCTTATGTTTTTACGAGAAATTACCATGTGAAATATGTTCTTACGTAGTCGTGTTATACAAAAAAACTAAATGTATTAATTAAAAAAGAAAACCAAAAGCGGAGCCGAGAAGAAGAATTTTTCATTCGTTGTCAGACCGAGGGGCGGAGCCTAATTGCAAAATCGATACTTTCCTACAAAAACTTACCATTTTAAACATGTTTTACTTTTCTTGTTGTGAAAAGAAGACTACACATATTAAGAAAATTGAGAATGTATTGGTGTTCTGCTGCTAAATATATTTCATATTGTACCCACTTGTGACATTTGTTAAATGTTTATATTATGTTAATTTGAATGTTAAAATAGTATTTCTTTGGACACTGGTTCGGAAAAAGTAAAAAAAAAATGTCAAAAACGTGAATTATTATTAATTGAAAATGTTTGTTTTGAGCATACTAATCCAAAAGCATTTGGGCCGTGGCAGTCTTTCATCTCAGAAATTTGATGTAATTTATAATTAATTAAGTTTTAATATCAAGTAGGTTCTACAGATTTCAAGTTATTATTAGCGGAATCTTTTTTTTTTCGATTATATGATATTATTTTTCAGTTGGAAATAATTTTTTTGGTATTACAGCAACAACACATACCATACGAAAAAAGTTCTCTAGTAGGCCATGAAATTTATTTTAACTGTCAAGTCGAACAAGGAACGCGTTGATGTTGCCAACATCATTATTTTAAAAATAAATTAGAAGGCATATGAGAGGAATTTATATGGTACCGAGGGAGCAATGAAAACACGATGAAAGATAGCCATGGATTTTTGAAAGTTTGTCTTTGATCGTTACATCTTCAACCCAAACTTTCAAATTGACAGTAGTCTGTCTAAGAATACGAAAATTCTATATAGGACAAATTTTCAAAAATCCATGCTTGTTTTTTATCGTGGTTTATCCTTTGGATATAATTATCGTAAAATTTGTTTACTTATACAATTTTCTTGACTGTTTCAACTTTCAGAAAATTTTTGTCGTACACTCTCTCTCTTTCTTAAATAACCGAGGTCAGTGTTTTTTGCGTTGTTTTTATTTATTTTTTAACCTACAGTTTTCTTTTTTTAATATTTAGATATAGGTAGAAATAACTTTGATTATAACAAAGACTGGACGGTGTTTACAAACAATATGTCGAGGAACGTCTAAAAAAAATGTCCCGTATAGTAGAGAAATTAGATTTGTCAGAATTGCGTAAAAAATAGGACGAAAAATTAACGTAATGTTAAATTAGATGGTCTAAAATCCTATACATATTTTGTAACAATTGTCGTATATCTACAACAATATTTTTGTTATTATTCATTTCAAAACGATATTTCAGATTTGTTTTTGAACAATCGGCGGATATAAAAGTGTCAAAAGGAAATAATAAGCTAAAAATTTATCATGTGTAAATTTGTGTGTTAAGGCCAAGGTTATGTACAATGACAGATGGATAACGCATGAGCAAAATAAACGTCAGTGTAAGATTATTTTTTTTAACAGACTAGTAAAAATATTTTATTAAATAAATAATTAATATTTTGTTATTATTGCCGAGTAAATTTTAGTGTTCCGTTTTGTCACACTTTTACAACTTTTTCCCGCAACTCACCAACATTTTGTGGATGAAAGTCATGTTTAGAAATAAATTTTGCAATACGGCCCTAAATTTTTAAATACCAGAAAACTTTTCTTGATAATTAGCTTCTCAGGCACACTAATGAATATTTTTTTAAATTACACCTGAACGTGCTTGCTGTGCTCGCATTTTAAATGTCTTTTTTTCAGCTTTATTTCTACAGAAGTTACAGGAATAATCACTAGACTTTAAAAAAGCACCCCCTTGGAAGAGGAGTGCAGTGAGCACGTTTAGATTGCTAAAATCTCCCCAGTTTAGCGCTTGCTTTCTAATATTCTTTCTTTTAAACAAATCGGTTTCATAAAAACGATTACGAATGACACGACATCACCACCATCAAGAAACAATGGCCAGTGTATTTTTAAGGATCTATTAAAGCAAGCAATTTTGCAGTTTATCCACGAAGTGTTTGTAAAAAAATTTGAAATGACCACTATATACGCGAAATATTACTGAAAATTACAAGAATGAGTGAGCTTTGAATCCTCGGTGTTTAACTTCTTCGAAAATTATCTAAACTGATCACTCTTCACACTATTTATTTTGTATTGTATGCAAATTTCAAAACGAAATTAGATAATGCAATTTTTACGAAAGCAGCCATTTTACAACCAGGTAACATTTGTTAACAGAGGCCTCGATTCCTTCGGCCGCGTCTGGGACCTGCGCACCGGAAGATGCATAATGTTCATGGAAAGCCACCTCAAAGCCATCCTAGGAATCGACTTCTCCCCCGACGGCTACCACATAGCCACCTCCAGCGAGGACAACACCTGCAAAATCTGGGACCTGCGCAAACGGTCCGTGTTATACACGATCCCCGCGCACACCAACCTCATCTCCGACGTGAAATTCCAAAGAGACGGCGGCGATTACTTAATAACTTCGTCGTACGACGGCACCGCCAAACTATGGACCAACCGAACCTGGCAGCCCCTGAAAACGCTCTCAGGCCACGACGGGAAAATCATGTCGGTGGATATTTCCACCGACAACCAGTACATAGCGACCAGTTCGTACGACAGGACGTTTAAATTCTGGGCGCCCGAGGAACAGAAATAATGTATATTTTAAGATTTTTGTACAACAGTTTTAAATATAATTATTAGGTTAATTTAATTCGACGTGATGTTTCTCATTGTCGTACTGAGGCGACGTAGCGCGCTGAATAACGGGCACTGTCGGAGTGGTACTGGTTGGGGAGTTTGAGCAGGTTGGCCAACTGCTGCAAGTTTTCGCTGAGTGAAATCCCTAGGTCTTGGAGAACGTTGTTTAGGTAACCTAGGGGCGACAAATGTCAAAATGCCTACTTTGTCGTTCTATGTTATACCTATGTCATGCGCTAATTGGCGACTAGCTGGTTGACTTAAGTCACAGATGGATAAAATCCGGTCGCAGAAAGCTTGACAGGTCCCTCTTGCAACGATTTTGAGGAAGACGTGAGCCAGAGAGCCTTCGGCGTCCCCTGCAGTGCTATATTCTTGATTTACGGCCCTAAGGGCACAAGTCAGAGACGCGTTTTCTCTGAAGAGGAAAGGTTCAAGGTGTTGGGGTAACGTCATCAAGTACTGACCAATCTGTAAAGACAATTTTTAAGTATAATTATAAAACTATAATGACAACATTTAGAAAAACCTGAGTTATGTATTCCTAACGTCATTTCAAAATGTTAATTAAATAAATCCTCTCCGAAATATGCAAAACACTCATGGAATCATAGTTTTTAGAATTATTTAAACAGGGTGACTCAAAAAAAAAACTAATGATTTATAATTGTTGGAAAAATCTGGATTTATTTGCCTTCGACCAATTTTTCGATGATAATTTTTCGTTTTTTCAACTTTAATTTTGGACCATTTTTCAAGTTCTTGATTTTTATTTTTCATTTTTCCGATTTTTTAATTTCCATTTTCACAATTTTTTATAATTTCGATTTTTAAATTCCTCAATTTTGCAGTTTTTAAATTTCAATTTTTAATCTCTAGATTTTTCAAAGTTTTACCATTTTTCCATTTTTTTTATTCGAAAAGTTGGAAAATAGAAAAATTTAAAATCGAAAAACTAAAAAACCGTTAAATCGAAAAATTGCAAATCGAAGAACTGAAGCAACGAAAAATTGGAACATTGAAAAACTATAAACCGAAAAAAATTAATGAATCGAAAAACTGGAAAGCAGAAAAAACGAATCGAATCGGAAAATTGAAAAATTACATATTGATAAATGAAAAATCGAATAAATTAAAAAGTGCAATTTTTTATAATTGTCATTACGTATTTAAAACGAACACTACAAAAATTGGATAACGAGACACTGAAAAATCCAAAAATTGAACAAGAGAAAAATTATAAAATTAGAACAATGAAAGACCGAATAATTGCAAAAATAAAGAAGATAGAAAACCGAAACGAAAAACTGAAAACTTTGTGCGAAATCACATTTGAATAATTCGAATTTTAAAAAAAAAATCAATCACAAAAACGAAATCGTTAAACATAAGCAACCAAATATGCATGTCGGGTTTAATGCACGTAGCGCTTATGGGTTAGTTTGCATGATTATTGAGTTAGATGGCAGCACGTAGCGCTAGGGAGATTTCAGTGACAGAGCTAGGGGGTTGGCGTCGATCGTAGAATCATTTTGAATCTGCTTGTTGATTGGAGTGTAACCACGTGGTAAGCGCTAGGTTTAAATTAGTTGGTTTGGTAGTTAATAAAACGGGAGAAAGCCTTTGTTTAACGACAGTCAATCGTAACTGACGTCATTCTTGTTGTCCCCAACCCGCGCGGTTAATTCTTGCGCCCTTTTAATCGGAGAAACGCGGACTTACGATCGAACGCGAAACACGTGCTGTAAATTTGTTTCATTGTTTGTAAATTCACCAATCAAGTTAGTTTTTCTTAATAGTCAGCTAGTGCAAACACAATTTAATAATCAGAATTATTTAAATAAACCACTTGCTACAAGATTTCTTGAAATTCACGTACTCAGGAAAACATCTTATTGTTTAATTACGAATAAGCTTCTGGATGCATATACGTAAGCGTTACATTATAACACTTCTTAATTCTTCACACAAGATTGCTAATAGTTCATTTACGGCAGTTAAACAAGCTCATTATACTGCGAACTGGCGGGGGTTATGATATTTTCTTCCCTTAGGTGGTTATCATCGTTATCATGATTAATTCATCGAGGCATGCCATCACAACGCTACAGATTGATTAATTAATGGAGGCATGCCCTCACAACGCTACAGATTAATAGAGGTCCATCCTCGCGACGCTAGAGATTAATCACCGAGACGCTTTTTCCCTCGGAGCGATGATTGGATATTTTTGTGTTTGCTTATTATGTGTTTTGTTGGGGTAACCAGTTCGCTTGCGGTATTTTAAACTGTCAAAGTAAATTTATTTATTTTTTTTTTGAAGTAACCAATCACTTAGATCATGATATAATTTGACATAATGTAAACTCTTTGTTTGAATCGTCGATAAAGTGTGGCAATTATTAATCTCCTGTAAATTTTGTTAACTTTGCAAATTTTCACCACATACAATATTTCTCTAAACCAGGGGAATTTTAAATCGAAAAATTGCTAAATTTAAGAACTGAAAAATTGAGGCATTGAAAAATTTCGCTTTGAAAAAATACAAATAATAAAATTAAAACTGAAAAGTGAAAACTCCAAGAGTTGCATGTTGTAAAATTGAAGAAACAAAAAAAATTGAAAAATTGCAAATCGAAAAGTTCGAAAAACAAAAATTGAAAAAAACATAAAATTAAAAAATCAAATAAATTTAAAAAAACGGAAGGAAAAAGTGCAAGCTTGAAAAATTTTAAATCGAACAGTTGATAAAATAAGGAAAATAAACGAGTGTAAGTACGGCCACAGGTTAAAGAAATCGTAAATAAAAACTTGGGGTTGGCGGCACTGCGGGAACTGCCTGATTGTGAGAGGGGGGCTGTTAGTTGTCATAACACGTACGAAACGTGCCATTTTTAAACAAACGAAATTTTTGTTACATTGTTTTTATTGTTTGGTTTTTGTAGGGGTAAATGTCTGACGACGACAACGTTCAATATATTAAGAAACCGAGGAAGGAGCTGGAGGAGGCGGCGACCAACGACGAAAGCAATAAAAAGGGGGAGAACTCGGCAGCGAATCCACCCCAAGTACACATTTCTACAGGTATAAATTCGTATAGAAACAAAAAATTGTTTCGTAAAGTGAGGTTATTGTCCAAATCTCAGTTGCATGAAAGTAAGAAAATTTGACGCCAAGGTTCAGAAGAAACTGCTGGGACCATAAAAATCCCGCTACTTAAAAAACAAGTTTGAAATGTTTGCCACAGTTTTAGAATTTTTTTTCAAAATGGTGTTACAAATTTGTTTTAATTATTTATTTATTTTCCATTGTTTGGTATCTCTGTATGTCATGGCGAGACATTGAATATTTTAGCCTTCTAGATGCAAAGTAACAACTAATAAATAACAAGAGAGAGCAGTAAAAAACACGATCAAAGACAGCTGTGGATTTTCGAAAAATCGTCTTTGTTAGAATTTTCGTCTCGTCAAAGACAAACTTTCAAAAATCTATCGGTTTTTCCTGATATTTTTGTTACTTTATTGAAAAAAATCAGAAATTTTTAATTATAATGACAATGAGGTTTGCCCGTCTGCTGACTTTTGTAATGTATAATCTTTGAAATAGCGAATCGATTCCTTTAAAATTTTAAGTGGCTAAAGCGCTTGTAAACCAATATTCTTTGTAAAAAATTTCAATATCGTATTGACGTGTTGTAACATAGACGTCACGTGACACTTCTTTACTTATATTCTGATAATCCACCCCTAGTGTTAATTAACGTTGCCCTAAAGAAAATTTAACTTCGACCGTTAAATTTCAAAATGTATTAAAAGAACATTGTAAAGATATAAAACACTGGCTAAAAATATGAAGAAAAACTGAAGAAATATTCTAGTAATTTTCCGTTTTTGTTTGTCTGCTGTCTGCAGATGGCAACTGCTGATGTCATAAATGTCAATTTGACAATCAGGTATGCCATCGTATAAGTTTAAATATGACATGAATTTATTGAAGGCGTATTTCTTTGCCTGTCTTTTAATAATTCACTCGTGATTTTAACTCTGACAAGTATTTTTGAAATTAGAATAAGAAGAATTACATAAACTATTCTAACTGACACTTATGCTCTGTTAAAACAAGTAGATTAAAAAAGTGCTCTAAGTTTATTTAGACAGAACTTCCTGAAGCACAGTACAAGATAACCAACTTTTTCCAAAAATGATAAAATTTGAATTTGCGAATTTGATTTTTTTACGATAACCAATATAAAGATACATGCTGTGCGTATGTTTCAGGTGAGTTTTTCTATTACAAAATTTTGTGATGATACTAATACTAATACCAACAGTACTGTATTCTCAAAATTTCAGGAAAATAGGGTGAACCGTTTTTGATTTGATAAATAAAATAAACTGCCTTACGCATAAATTGTTTTGAGCCACCGTATATAAGTAATTCTAAACAAGGTGCTGACCCTCAGAACCAAAATACACATCGAAATATCAAAGACAGCAGTGAATTGTTAATGAATTTTCTGCTATCAAGTATCAAGGGGTTCGAGTGGCCAATTTTACATTAATTCAAATGCATTATTTTAAAACACCAACTGAGAACAACAGGAATTGGTAAAACTAGATTTTACAAAACAGAAGCGTGTTATACGTGTTTTTTCAACTGAGTTTTTTTACAACGCAATTTTTTCCAAACCCGCACCTCTTATTTTCGAAGCTGAATCTAAAGAAGGGGAGGGATTAAACAGTAAAAATTATAATAAGAGTAAAAAAATCAAGGTGGATTCATAAAACACAGTAAAGGAGTACCTTATTTTGAACAGACGTCATCAAATTTTTGGCGGGAATGATTAGACAAATTTTGATCAGCGTCAAAACTATAGAATAGTAAAAGAAACATTTTTTTGCAGAGACAAAAGCACTTATAGATTCACTGCGGGAGGTGCAGCAGCGTCGCGAAGAAAAGCAAATCATGAGAGTGTCGAACGTGAAAACTGTGGCCTTTGGTCGGGAATTCTACGGGACGATTGAAATTTCGTCAGATGCAATTCTGATTATACCGGACGATCTAAATATGATAAATTTATACTTAATGCCCTGTAATATAAAGGAATTTTATGAGGAGGGACTGCGGGGCATTATGTTAAACCTGTACTGCGACCCACAAAAAGTCATGATCTTTTTCCGAAAGGAGAGGCAAGTGGCTCAGGCGATGAAACGCTTAGAACAATTGAAAGGGTACGTAACATTCTAAACCTATTTAATACATATAATTATGTAGGTGGTTTTTACAGTTCCGAGTCCATATCAGAATCTTCCAGCTCTGGAGAGACGTCGGTGTGTGCACTGACACCCAATTAAATAAATAAATCTTTTACAATTTTTTTTTTTTTTTCAATATGGGTACCAGAATAAACAAGAATATCAGGTACGTTATCGTCAACTTGTAATTTTTTACATTAAGGCTACATGGGAGGGTGTCTGAATACGGGCGTAAACGGATATTTCGCTTTTTAAGTTTATTATTAAACTTAAAAGTAATAAAAATCTTACTATTATTTAGAATTTTAAGCCATTTACAGTTTGCAATTTCTCTGCATAGAATCTTTAAGGTCTTTAGGATATCTAGAATTTTTCAATCTTTCGAACCTTTGAAAACTTTGGAACTCATAGAATCTACAGAATTCCTAGATTTTCTCCAATCTTTGAAACTTTTAGATTTTCGGTTTTTCTAAGCTCCTGAGCATCTCTAGATAGATTTTTTTATTTTTGGGATTTTTAGCATTTTTACAGTTTTTAAAATATTTGAAATCTGGGGAATCTCCGGAATTTTTGATATTCCTAAAATCCTTTTAGTCCTTTGGGTTTTTGGCAGCCTTGGAATCCTTACACAATGTTCGAAAATTTTTTAGAAATTCAGTAGTTTATGATTTCCATATTTTTCAGATATTCGAAAACACGCAGATTCTTCGTCCACAATTTCGAGATTTTCCAAAATTTATAGACCTCAGTAATCATTAACTCTCCGAATTTCCAATCGAAAAAAGAGTTTTTGGGGCCTTCAAAATCTTCAGTCTTTCTAATTTTTGAAAATTTTGCGCACTACCAGTGAGTATAGATGTTAAATATATAGTCACTGGCACTACAGAAGATCTATAACATTAGGAATTTCTAAAATTTCTGGATTCTTTAATATCTTGAGGAACTTTAAAATTTTTAAGATTTGGTTGGTTCTTTCATATATTTAGAATCTTGGAACTTTAGTTTATTTAGAATATTTTTAGTGTATTCACAATGTGCAATTTTTAATCGTCAAGGTCTTTAGAATGTATGGAGTCTTTAGAATCTTTGAATGTTTTGAAACCTTTTGAATTCAGAGACCTTGGAACCATTGGAACCGCCAGAAGCTTTACAGTGCTAAAATTTCTGTAACCTTTAGAACTTTCAGAGTTTTACCTTTTCTAGGCTCCTCAGGATCACTAGATATTAATTAATCGATTTCTAAATTTTCCAGAATTTCCAGTTTAGCCCAATTTTTTTAGATATTCGAAAATATACGGACTGTCTACAATTTCCAGTTTTTTCAAAATTTCTAAAACCATTGGCCTCCAAATATGCCCGAATTTTGAAATTTTCAAGACTTCCAAAATTTTTTATACTTTCTAAACTTTTGTAGATTTTGTAAAACTTCAATGTTGTCTAAACAATAGAATTTTCAATCCAAGAAAGGGTCTTCCGTGATTTTAGAGTCCTCAGAATCCTTAGAGTCTTTCCAACCTTTGGAAATTTTGGACACTTCAGAAGTAATAAAAATTTTACATTATTTAGAATTTTTAGTCCATTTACAGTTCGCAATTTCTCTGTATAGAATCTTTAAGGTCTTTAGGGTATCTAGAATTTTTCAATCTTTCGAACCTTTGGAAACTTTGGAACCCATAGAATCTACAGAATTCCTAGATTTCCTCCAATCTGTGAAACCTTTAGATGTTCGATTTTTCTAAGCTCCTCAGCATCTCTAGATAGAATTTTTTTTATTTTTGGGATTCTAAGCATTTTTACAGTTTTTAAAATACTTGGAATCGGGGAATCTCCGGAATTTTTGATATTCCTATAATCCTTTTAGTCCTTTGCGTTTTTGGTAGTCTTGGAATCCTTACACAATGTTGGAAATTTTTTTAGAACTTCAGTAAAGTGTTTATGATTTCCATATTTCTCAGACATTCTAAAACGCACCGAATCTTTGTCTACAATTTCGAGATTTTACAAAATTTCTAAAACCACTTTTGCAAATTTTCTAAAATTTATATGCCTCAATAATTATTAACTATCAGAATTTCCAATCGAAGAGAGTTTGGAATCTTTAAAGTCTTTAGTCTTTAGAAGATCTATAATATTTAGAATTTCTGGATTCTTTAATATCTTGAGGAACTTTAAAATTTTTAAGATTTTGTTGGTTCTTTCTTACATTTAGAATCTTAGAACTTTAGTTTATTTAGAATATTTAGTGTATTCACAATGTGCAATTCTTAATCGTCAAGGTCTTTAGAATGTATGGAGTCTTTAGAATCTTTGAATGTTTTGAAACCTTTTGAATCTTTCGAATTTGGAGACCTTGGAACTGTTAGAATCTCCAGAAGCTTTACAATGCTTGAATTTCTGTAATCTTTAGAACTTTTATTAGAATTTTACCTGTTGCTGGGCTTCTCACCATCTCTAGATATTAATTAATTAATCAGTCATCTCCTTTGCGTTGAGGTGCCGGAGTGGTACTGGTCGTTGAGGAGTTTGAGCAGGGTGGCCAACTGCTGCAGGTTTTCGCTGAGTGAAATCCCTAGGTCTTGGAGAACGTTGTTTAGGTAACCTAGGGGCGACAAATTGTCAAAATGTCTACTTTATCGTTCTATGTTATACCTATGTCGTGCGCTAATTGGCGACTAGCTGGTTGACTTAACTCACAAATGTATAAAATCCGGTCGCAGAAACCTTGACAGGTCCCTCTTGCAACGATTTTGAGGAAGACGCGAGCCAGAGGCCTTCGGCGTCCCCTGCAGTGCTATATTCTTGATCGACGGCCCTAAGGGCACAAGTCAGAGACGGGTTTTCTCTGAAGAGGAAAGGTTCAAGGTGTTGGGGTAACGTCATCAAGTACTGACCAATCTGTAAAGACAATTTTTAAGTATAATTATAAAACTATAGTGACAACATTTATAAAACCTGAGTTATGTATTCCTAACGTCATTTCAAAATGTTAATTAAATAAATCCTCTCCGAAATATGCAAAACACTCATGGAATCATAGTTTTTAGAATTATTTAAACAGGGTGACTCAAAAAAAACCTAATGAATTATAATTGTTGGAAAAATCTGGATTTATTTGCCTTCGACCAATTTTTCGATGATAATTTTTCGTTTTATCAACTTTAATTTTGGACCATGTTTCAATTTCTCGACTTCAAGTTCTTGATTTTTATTTTTCATTTTTCCGATTTTTTAATTTCCATTTTCACAGTTTCTTATAATTTCGATTTTTAAATTGCTCAATTTTCCAGTTTTTAAATTTCTCAATTTTTAATCTCTAGATTTTTCAAAGTTTTACCATTTTTCAATTTTTTTTATTCGAAAAGTTGGAAAATAGAAAAATTTAAAATCGAAAAACTAAAAAATTGGTAAAACGAAAAATTGCAAATCGAAGAACTGAAGCAACGAAAAATTGGAATATTGAAAAACTATAAACCGAAAAAAATTAATGAATCGAAAAACTGGAAAGCAGAAAAAACGAATCGAATCGGTAAATTGAAAAATTACATATTGATAAATGAAAAATCGAATAAATTAAAAAGTGAAATTTTTTATAATTATCATTACATATTTAAAACGAAAACTACAAAAATTGCATATCGAGACAATGAAAAATCCAAAAAGTGAAAAAGAGAAAAATTATAAAATTAGAACAATGAAAGACCGAATAATTGCAAAAATAAAGAAAATAGAAAACCGAAATGAAAAACTGAAAACTTTGTGCGAAATCACATTTGAATAATTCGAATTTGAAAAAAAAAAACAATCACGAAAACGAAATCGTCAAACATAAGCAACCAAATATGCATGTCGGGTTTAATGCACGTTGCGCTTAGGGGTTAGTTTGCATGATTATTGAGTTAGATGGCAGCACGTAGCGCTAGGGAGATTTTAGTGACAGAGCTAGGGGGTTGGTAGAGAAGGCGCATGGCATCGATCGTAAAATCATTTTGAATGTGCTTGTTGACTGGAGTGTAACCACGTGGTAAGCGCTAGGTTTAAATTAGTTGGTTTGGTAGTTAATAAAACGGGAGAAAGCCTTTGTTTAACGACAATCAATCGTAACTGACGTCACTCTTGTTGTCCCCAACACGCGCGGTTAATTCTTGCGCCCTTTTAATCGGAGAAATGCGGACTTACGATCGAACGCGAAACACGTGCTGTAAATTTGTTTCATTGTTTGTAAATTCACCAATCAAGTTAGTTTTTCTTAATAGTCAGCCAGTGCAAACACAATTTAACAATCAGGATTATTTAAATAAACCACTTGCTAGAAGATTTCATGAAATTCACGTAGTCAGGAAAACACCTTATCGTTTAATTACAAATAAGCAATCGAATAAGCTTCTGGATGCATACACGTAAGCGTTACATTATAACACTTCTTAATTCTTCACACAAGATTGGTAATTGTTCATTTACGGCAGTTAAACAAGTTCATTATACTGAGAACTGGCGGGGGTTATGATATTTTCTTCCCTTAGGTGGTTATCATCGTTATCATGATTAATTCATCGGGGCATGCCATCACAACGCTACAGATTGATTAATTAATGGAGGCATGCCCTCACAACGCTACAGATTGATAGAGATCCATCCTCGCGACGCTAGAGATTAATAATATCACCGAGACGCTTTTTCCTTCGCTTTTGTTGGGGTAACCAGTTCGCGATATTTTAAACTCTCAAAGTAAATTGTTTTTTTTTTTTTGAAGTAACCAATCACTTAGATCATGATATAATTTGACATAATGTAAACTCTTTGTTTGAATCGTTGATAAAGTGTGGCAATTATTAATCTCCTGTAAATTTTGTTAACTTTGCAAATTTTCACCTCGTACAATGTTTCTCTAAACTAGGGAAATTTTAAATCGAAAAATTGCTAAATTTAAGAACTGAAAAATTGAGGTATTGAAAAATTTCGCTTTGAAAAAATAAAAATAATAAAATTAAAACTGAAAAGTGAAAACTCCAAGAGTTGCATGTTGTAAAATTGAAGAACAAAAAAAAAATTGAAAAATTGCAAATCGAAAAGTTCGAAAAACAAAAATTGAAAAAAACATAAAATTAAAAAATCAAATAAATTTAAAAAAACGGAACGAAAAAGTGCAAGCTTGAGAAATTTTAAATCGAACAGTTGATAAAATAAGGAAAATAAACGAGTGTAAGTACGGCCACAGGTTAAAGAAATGGTAAATAAAAACTTGGGGTTGGCGGCACTGCGGGAACTGCCTGATTATGAGAGGGGGGCTGTCAGTTGTCATAACTCTTACGAAACGTGCCATTTTTAAACAAACGAAATTTTTGTTACATTGTTTTTATTGTTTGGTTTTTGTAGGGGAAAATGTCTGACGACGACAACGTTCAATATATTAAGAAACCGAGGAAGGAGCTGGAGGAGGCGGCGACCAACGACGAAAGCAATAAAAATGGGAAGAACTCGGCGGCGAATCCACCCCAAGCACACATTTCTACAGGTATAAATTCGTATAGAAACAAAAAATTGTTTCGTAAAGGGAGGTTATTGTCCAAATCTCAGTTGCATGAAAGTAAGAAAATTTGACGCCAAGGTTCAGAAGAAACTGCTGGGACCATAATATTGATGTTACAATTCACGCTAGTGGAATTTCTCAAAGGGCATAAAAATCCCGCTACTTAAAAAACAAGTTTGAAATGTTTGCCACAGTTTTAGAATTTTTTTTCAAAATGGTGTTACAAATTTGTTTTAATTATCTATTTATTTTCCATTGTTTGGTATCTCTGTATGTCATGGCGTGACATTGAATATTTTAGCCTTCTAGATGCAAAGTAACAACTAATAAATAAGAGAGAGCAGTAAAAAACACGATCAAAGACAGCTGTGGATTTTCGAAAAATCACCTTTGTTAGAATTTTCGTTTCGTCAAAGACAAACTTTCAAAAATCTATCGGTTTTTCCTGATATTTTTGTTACTTTATTGAAAAAAATTAGAAATTTTTAATTATAATGATAATGAGGTAATTGTAACAAATATTGAATTTCATGTTGTCTTGGCGTGTCACAACTTGTAGAAGACGACAATGCAGATTTTCCTTCTCTGTTAATCTGTGGTTTGTCCGTCTGCTGACTTTTGTAATGTATAATCTTTGAAATAGCGAATCGGTTCCTTTAAAATTTTAAGTGGCTAAAGCGTTAAATTTCAAAATGTCTTAAAAGAACATTGTAAAGATATAAAACAGCAGCTAAAAATATGAAGAAAAACTAAGTAAATATTCTAGTGATTTTTCCCTTTTTTTTTGTCTACTGTCTGCAGATGCCAACTGCTGACTTGATGTCATAAATGTCAATTTGACAATCAGGTATGCCATCGTATAAATTTAAATATGACATGAATTTATTGAACGTGTATTTCTTTACCAATCTTTTAATAATTCACTTGTGATTTTAACTCTCACATAAGTATTTTTGAAATTAGAATAAGAAGAATTACATAAACTTTTCTAACTGACACTCATGCTTTGTTAAAACAAGTAGATTAAAAAAGTGCTCACAGTACAAGAGAACCAATTTTTTCCAAAAATTAGAAAATTTGAATTTGCGAATTTGATTTTTTTACGATAATCACTATAAAGAAACATGCTATGCGTATGTTTCAGGTGAGTTTTTCTATTACAAAATTTTGTGGTGATACTAATACCAACAGTACTGTATTGTCAAAATTTCAGGAAAATAGGGTGAACCGTTTTTGATTTGATAAATAAAATAAACTGCCTTACGCATAAATTGTTTTGAGCCACCGTATATAAGTAATTCTAAACAAGGTGCTGACCCTCAGAACCAGAATACGCATCGAAATATCAAAGACAGCAGTGAATTGTTAATGGCTTTTCTGCTATCAAGTATCAAGAGGTTCGAGTGCCCAATTTTACATCAATTCAAATGCATTATTTTAAAACACCAACTCAGAACAACAGGAATTGGAAAAACTAGATTTTACAAAACAGAAGCGTGTTATACGTGTTTTTTCAACTGAGTTTTTTTACAACGCAATTTTTTCCAAACCCGCACCTCTTATTTTTTGCAGAGACAAAAGCACTAATAGATTCACTGCGGGAGGTGTAGCAGCGTCGCAAAGACAAGCAAACGATGAAAGTGTCGAACGTGAAAACTGTGGCCTTTGGTCGTGAATACTACGGGACGATTGAAATTTCGTCAGATGCAATTCTGATTATACCGGACGATCTAAATATGTTAAATTTATACTTAATGCCCTGTAATATAAAGGAATTTTATGAGGAGGGACTGCGGGGCATTATGTTAAACCTGTACTGCGACCCACAAAAAGTCATGATATATTTCCGAACGGAGAGGCAAGTGGCTCAGGCGATGAAACGAATAAAACAATTGAATGGGTACGTAACATTCTAAACCTATTTAATACATATAATTATGTAGGTGGTTTTTACAGTTCCGAGTCCACATCAGAATCTTCCAGCTCTGGGGAGACGTCGGTGTCAATATCGGTACCAGAATAAACAAGAATATCAGGTACGTTATCTTCAACTTGTAAACGTAAACGGACATTTCGCCGATTCGCTTTTAAGACAAAAATTTTCTTTGGGAGACTGTAATTGCTATGGAATTTCAACAAACACATCTTTTTCATTTTCTCAAGCATTCGCTGATATGATATACATTTCTGATACTCCCAAACAGCAATCATGAGCAACATTTAAATCTTCATTGTGATTTTTCCGGGTAACAGCGGCACAATTTGAGCATCCAAAGTATCCATAATAGGATCAACATAAATAGAAAAAACTGTATGTAACATATCGTCAAGACCAGATTCGACAGAGAAGAACTTGTAACAGAATCTAGCACATTAGAGCAGCTCTTGCAATTCTGTTCACTCCACAAATATTACAACACCAAGTACTGATTTGCTGTGATTTTTTAATACGATGTGTTATGTGTTCCTCACTTCTGGTAATTTCCCGATTACATTTATAAATTATAAATATTAACAGCTAACCACCAAGTAAAACGCAAAATAATCAGATTTCGATAACTAAAAAGTGCTGCAGTCACACTTTTTCTCCGATAAGATGTTATAAAAACTGATTGCCACTAGTGAATCACTAATACGTTAAAGGAGGAAAAATGGGCTTACGTTAAATAAGAACCCTTAAAATATAACTTACCGAAAGTCTTTATAGTCTTTCGAATCTTTGAAAATTTTGCACACTACTAGAAGATCTATAATGTTTAGAATTTCTAGAATTTCTGGATTCTTTAATACCTTACGGATTTTTAAAATTTTTAAGATTTTGCGTTTCTTTTTTATATTTAGAATCTTAGAACTTTAGTTTATTTATAATATTTTGTGTATACGCAATGTCCAATTTTTAATTTTCAAGGTCTTTAAAATGTCTGGAGTTTTTAGAATCTTTGAATCTCCAGAAGTTTTACAATGCCAAAATTTCTGGAACCTTTAGAACTTTCAGAGTTTTACCTTTCCTCAGGATCTCCAGATATTGATTAATTAATTTCTAAATTTTCCGGAATTTCCAGATTAGCCCGATTTTTTTAGACATTCGAAAATATATGCAATGTCCAGAATTTCCAGTTTTTTCAAAATTTCTAAAACCATTGGCCGCCAAATATTTTGAAATTTTCAAGACTTCCAGATTTTTTATATTCTCTAAACTTTTACAGATTTTGTAAAACTTTAATGCTCTCTAAACAATAGAATTTTCAATCCAAAAAAGGATCTTCAGAGTTTTTAGAGTCCTCAAAGTTCTTAGAGTCTTTCCAACCTTTGAAAATTTTGGACACTTGAGAAGTAATAAAAATTTTACATTATTTAGAATTTTTAATCCATTTACAGTTTGCAGTTTCTCTGTATGGAAACTTTAAGGTCTTTAGGATATTTAGAATTTTTCAATCTTTCGAACCTTTGCAAACTTTGGAACCCATAGAATCTACAGAATTCCCAGATTTTCTCCAATCTGTGAAACCTTTAGATTTTCGATTTTTCTAAGCTCCTCAGCATCTCTAGGTAGAATTTTTTTTATTTTTAGGATTTTTAGCATTTTTACAATTTTTAAAATATTCTCTGGAATTTTTGATATTCCTAAAATCCTTTTAATCCTTTGGGTTTTTGGGCCGCCTTGGAGTCCTTACACAATGTTCGAATTTTTTTTTTAATTCAGTAAAGTGTTTATGATTTCCATATTTTTCAGATATTCGAAAACACGCAGACTGTCCGTCCAAAATTTCGAGATTTTCCAAAATTTCTAAAACCACTTTTACAAATTTTTTAAAATTTATAGACCTCGATAATCATTAAGTTCAGAATTTCCAATCGAAAAAAGAGTTTTTGGGGTCTTCAAAATCTGCAGTCTTTCTAATCTTTGAAAATTTTGCACACTACTAGAAGATCTATATTTAGAATTTCTAAAATTTCTGGATTTTTTAATATCTTGAGGAACTTTAAAATTTTTAAGATTTTGTTGGTTCTTTCATATATTTAGAATCTTGGAACTTTAGTTTATTTAGAATATTTTTAGTGTATTCACAATGTGCAATTTTTAATCGTCAAGGTATTTAGAATGTATGGAGTCTTTAGAATCTTTGAATGTTTTGAAACATTTTGAATTTGAAGACCTTGGAAACATTGGAATCTACAGAAGCTTTACAGTACTAAAATTTCTGTAACCTTTAGAACTTTCAGAGTTTTACCTTTTCTAGGCTCCTCAGGATCTCTAGATATTAATTAATTAATTTCTAAATTTTCCGGAATTTCCAGATTAGCTCGATTTTTTCAGATATTCGAAAATATACGGAATGTCCAGAATTTCCAGTTTTTTAAAAATTTCTAAAACCATTGGCCTCCAAATATGTCCGAATTTTGAAATTTTCAAGACTTCCAGATTTTTTATACTTTCTAAACTTTTGTAGATTTTGTAAAACTACAATGTTGTCTAAACAATAGAATTTTCAATCCAAGAAAGGGTCTTCCGTGATTTTAGAGTCCTCAGAATCCTTAGAGTCTTTCCAACCTTTGGAAATTTTGGACACTTCAGAAGTAATAAAAATTTTACATTATTTAGAATTTTTAGTCCATTTACAGTTCGCAATTTCTCTGTATAGAATCTTTAAGGTCTTTAGGATATCTAGAATTTTTCAATCTTTCGAACCTTTGGAAACTTTGGAACCCATAGAATCTACAGAATTCCTAGATTTTCTCCAATCTGTGAAACCTTTACATGTTCGATTTTTCTAAGCTCCTCAGCATCTATAGATAGAATTTTTTTTATTTTTGGGATTTTAAGCATTTTTACAGTTTTTAAAATACTTGGAATCGGGGAATCTCCGGAATTTTTGGTATTCCTAAAATCCTTTTAGTCCTTTGGGTTTTTGGTAGCCTTGGAATCCTTACACAATGTTGGAAATTTTTTTAGAAATTCAGTAAAGTGTTTATGATTTCCATATTTCTCAGACATTCTAAAACACACCGAATCTTTGTCTACAATTTCGAGATTTTACGAAATTTCTAAAACCACTTGCAAATTTTCTAAAATCTATATGCCTCAATAATTATTAACTATCAGAATTTCCAATCGAAAAGAGTTTGGAATCTTTAAAGTCTTTAGTCTTTAGAAGATCTATAATATTTAGAATTTCTGGATTCTTTAATATCTTGAGGAACTTTAAAATTTTTAAGATTTTGTTTTTTTAGAATCTTAGAACTTTAGTTTATTTAGAATATTTAGTGTATTCACAATGTGCAATTTTTAATCGTCAAGGTCTTTAGAATGTATGGAGTCTTTAGAATCTTTGAATGTTTTGAAACCTTTTGAATCTTTCGAATTTGGAGACCTTGGAACTGTTAGAATCTCCAGAAGCTTTACAATGCTTGAATTTCTGTAATCTTTAGAACTTTTATTAGAATTTTACCTGTTGCTGGGCTTCTCACCATCTCTAGATATTAATTAATTAATCAGTCATCTCCTTTGCGTTGAGGTGCCGGAGTGGCACTGGTCGTTGAGGAGTTTGAGCAGGGTGGCCAACTGCTGCAGGTTTTCGCTGAGTGAAATCCCTAGGTCTTGGAGAACGTTGTTTAGGTAACCTAGGGGCGACAAATTGTCAAAATGTCTACTTTATCGTTCTATGTTATGCCTATGTCGTGCGCTAATTGGCGACTAGCTGGTTGACTTAACTCACAGATGGATAAAATCCGGTCGCAGAAACCTTGACAGGTCCCTCTTGCAACGATTTTGAGGAAGACGCGAGCCAGAGAGTGCTATATTCTTGATCGACGGCCCTAAGGGCACAAGTCAGAGACGGGTTTTCTCTGAAGAGGAAAGGTTCAAGGTGTTGGGGTAACGTCATCAAGTACTGACCAATCTGTAAAGACAATTTTTAAGTATAATTATAAAACTATAGTGACAACATTTAGAAAAACCTGAGTTATGTATTCCTAACGTCATTTCAAAATGTTAATTAAATAAATCTTCTCCGAAATATGCAAAACACTCATGGAATCATAGTTTTTAGAATTATTTAAACAGGGTGACTCAAAAAAAAACTAATGAATTATAATTGTTGGAAAAATCTGGATTTATTTGCCTTCGACCAATTTTTCGATGATAATTTTTCGTTTTATCAACTTTAATTTTGGACCATGTTTCAATTTCTCGACTTCAAGTTCTTGATTTTTATTTTTCATTTTTCCGATTTTTTAATTTCCATTTTCACAGTTTCTTATAATTTCGATTTTTAAATTGCTCAATTTTCCAGTTTTTAAATTTCTCAATTTTTAATCTCTAGATTTTTCAAAGTTTTACCATTTTTCAATTTTTTTTATTCGAAAAGTTGGAAAATAGAAAAATTTAAAATCGAAAAACTAAAAAATCGTTAAATCGAAAAATTGCAAATCGAAGAACTGAAGCAATGAAAAATTGGAACATTGAAAACTATAAACCGAAAAAAATTAATGAATCGAAAAACTGGAAAGCAGAAAAAACGAATCGAATCGGTAAATTGAAAAATTACATATTGATAAATGAAAAATCGAATAAATTAAAAAGTGAAATTTTTTATAATTATCATTACATATTTAAAACGAAAACTACAAAAATTGCATATCGAGACAATGAAAAATCCAAAAAGTGAAAAAGAGAAAAATTATAAAATTAGAACAATGAAAGACCGAATAATTGCAAAAATAAAGAAAATAGAAAACCGAAACGAAAAACTGAAAACTTTGTGCGAAATCACATTTGAATAGTTCGAATTTGAAAAAAAAAAACAATCACGAAAACGAAATCGTCAAACATAAGCATGTCGGGTTTAATGCACGTTGCGCTTAGGGGTTAGTTTGCATGATTATTGAGTTAGATGGCAGCACGTAGCGCTAGGGAGATTTTAGTGACAGAGCTAGGGGGTTGGTAGAGAAGGTGCATGGGGTCGATCGTAGAATCATTTTGAATGTGCTTGTTGACTGGAGTGTAACCACGTGGTAAGCGCTAGGTTTAAATTAGTTAGTTTGGTAGTTAATAAAACGGGAGAAAGCCTTTGTTTAACGACAATCAATCGTAACTGACGTCACTCTTGTTGTCCCCAACCCGCGCGGTTAATTCTTGCGCCCTTTTAATCGGAGAAATGCGGACTTACGATCGAACGCGAAACACGTGCTGTAAATTTGTTTCATTGTTTGTAAATTCACCAATCAAGTTAGTTTTTCTTAATAGTCAGCCAGTGCAAACACAATTTAACAATCAGGATTATTTAAATAAACCACTTGCTAGAAGATTTCATGAAATTCACGTAGTCAGGAAAACACCTTATCGTTTAATTACAAATAAGCAATCGAATAAGCTTCTGGATGCATACACGTAAGCGTTACATTATAACACTTCTTAATTCTTCACACAAGATTGGTAATTGTTCATTTACGGCAGTTAAACAAGTTCATTATACTGAGAACTGGCGGGGGTTATGATATTTTCTTCCCTTAGGTGGTTATCATCGTTATCATGATTAATTCATCGGGGCATGCCATCACAACGCTACAGATTGATTAATTAATGGAGGCATGCCCTCACAACGCTACAGATTGATAGAGGTCCATCCTCGCGACGCTAGAGATTAATAATATCACCGAGACGCTTTTTCCTTCGCTTTTGTTGGGGTAACCAGTTCGCGATATTTTAAACTCTCAAAGTAAATTGTTTTTTTTTTTTGAAGTAACCAATCACTTAGATCATGATATAATTTGACATAATGTAAACTCTTTGTTTGAATCGTTGATAAAGTGTGGCAATTATTAATCTCCTGTAAATTTTGTTAACTTTGCAAATTTTCACCTCGTACAATGTTTCTCTAAACTAGGGAAATTTTAAATCGAAAAATTGCTAAATTTAAGAACTGAAAAATTGAGGTATTGAAAAATTTCGCTTTGAAAAAATAAAAATAATAAAATTAAAACTGAAAAGTGAAAACTCCAAGAGTTGCATGTTGTAAAATTGAAGAACAAAAAAAAAATTGAAAAATTGCAAATCGAAAAGTTCGAAAAACAAAAATTGAAAAAAACATAAAATTAAAAAATCAAATAAATTTAAAAAAACGGAACGAAAAAGTGCAAGCTTGAGAAATTTTAAATCGAACAGTTGATAAAATAAGGAAAATAAACGAGTGTAAGTACGGCTACAGGTCAAAGAAATGGTAAATAAAAACTTGGGGTTGGCGGCACTGCGGGAACTGTCTGATTATGAGAGGGGGGCTGTCAGTTGTCATAACTCGTACGAAACGTGCCAGTTTTAAACAAACGAAATTTTTGTTACATTGTTTTTATTGTTTGGTTTTTGTAGGGGAAAATGTCTGACGACGACAACGTTCAATATATTAAGAAACCGAGGAAGGAGCTGGAGGAGGCGGCGACCAACGACGAAAGCAATAAAAAGGGGGAGAACTCGGCGGCGAATCCACTCCAAGTACACACTTCTACAGGTATAAATTCGTATAGAAACAAAAAATTGTTTCGTAAAGTGAGATTATTGTTCAAATCTCAGTTGCATGAAAGTAAGAAAATTTGACGCCAAGGTTCAGAAGAAACTGCTGGGACCATAATATTGATGTTACAACTCACACTAGTGGAATTTCTCAAAGGGCATTAAAATCCCGCTACTTAAAAAACAAGTTTGAAATGTTTTCCACAGTTTTAGAATTTTTTTTCAAAATGGTGTTACAAATTTGTTTTAATTATCTATTTATTTTCCATTGTTTGGTATCTCTGTATGTCATGGCGAGACATTGAATATTTTAGCCTTCTAGATGCAAAGTAACAACTAATAAATAACAAGAGAGAGCAGTAAAAAACACGATCAAAAACAGCTGTGGAGTTTCGAAAAATCACCTTTGTTAGAATTTTCGTCTCGTCAAAGACAAACTTTCAAAAGTCCATCGGTTTTTCCTGATATTTTTGTTACTTTATTGAAAAAAATCAGAAATCTTTAATTATAATGACAATGAGGTAATTGTAACAAATATTGAATTTCATGTTGTCTTGGCGTGTCACAAGTTGTAGAAGACGACAATGCAGATTTTCCTTCTCTATTAATCCGTGGTTTGTCCGTCTGCTGACTTTTGTAATGTATAATCTTTGAAATAGCGAATCGATTCCTTTAAAATTTTAAGTGGCTAAAGCGCTTGTAAACCAATATTCTTTGTAAAAAATTCCAATATCGTATTGACTTGTTGTAACATAGACGTCACGTGACACTTCTTTACCTATATTCTGATAATCCACCCTTAGTGTTAATTAACGTTGCCCTAAAGAAAATTTAACTTAAAAGTTAAGTTAAAACAAGTAGATTAAAAAAGTGCTCTAAGTTTATTTAGACAGAACTTCCTGAAGCACAGTACAAGATAACCAACTTTTTCCAAAAATGATAAAATTTGAATTTGCGAATTTGATTTTTTTACGATAACCACTATAAAGAAACATGCTATGCGTATGTTTCAGGTGAGTTTTTCTATTACAAAATTTTGTGATGATACTAATACTAATACCAACAGTACTGTATTGTCAAAATTTCAGGAAAATAGAGTGAACCGTTTTTGATTTGATAAATAAAATAAACTGCCTTACGCATAAATTGTTTTGAGCCACCGTATATAAGTAATTCTAAACAAGGTGCTGACCCTCAGAACCAGAATACGCATCGAAATATCAAAGACAGCAGTGAATTGTTAATGGCTTTTCTGCTATCAAGTATCAAGAGGTTCGAGTGCCCAATTTTACATCAATTCAAATGCATTATTTTAAAACACCAACTCAGAACAACAGGAATTGGAAAAACTAGATTTTACAAAACAGAAGCGTGTTATACGTGTTTTTTCAACTGAGTTTTTTTACAACGCAATTTTTTTCAAACCCGCACTTCTTATTTGCGAAGCTGAATCTAAAGAAGAGGAGGGATTAGTCAGTAAAAATTATAATAAGAGTAAAAAAAATCAAGGTGGATTCATAAAACACAGTAAAGGAGTACCTTATTTTGAACAGACGTCATCAAATTTTTGGCGGGAATGATTAGACAAATGTTGATCGGCGTCAATACTATAGAATAGTAAAAGAAACATTTTTTTGCAGAGATAAAACCACTAATAGATTCACTGCGGGAGGTGTAGCAGCGTCGCGAAGACAAGCAAACGATGAAAGTGTCGAACGTGAAAACTGTGGCCTTTGGCCGTGAATACTACGGGACGATTATAATTTCGTCAGATGCAATTCTGATTATACCGGACGATCTAAATATGTTAAATTTATACTTAATGCCCTGTAATATAAAGGAATTTTATGAGGAGGGACTGCGGGGCATTATGTTAAACCTGTACTGCGACCCACAAAAAGTCATGATATATTTCCGAACGGAGAGGCAAGTGGCTCAGGCGATGAAACGAATAAGACAATTGAATGGGTACGTAACATTCTAAACCTATTTAATACATATAATTATGTAGGTGGTTTTTACAGTTCCGAGTCCACATCAGAATCTTCCAGCTCTGGGGAGACGTCGGTGTCAATATCGGTACCAGAATAAAGAAGAATATCAGGTACGTTATCTTCAACTTGTTATTTTTTACATTAAGGCTACATCGGGGGGTATCCGAATATGGGCGTAAACGGACATTTCGCCGATTCGCTTTTAAGACAAAAATTTTCTTTGGGAGACTAATTGCTATGGAATTTCAACAAACACATCTTGTTTAATTTTCTCAAGCATTCGCTGATATGATATCCATTTCTGATACTCCCAAACAGCATAACCAACATTTAAATTTTCATTGTGATTTTTCCGGGTAACAAGGGCACAATTTGAGCATCCAAAGTAACCATAATAGCATCAACATAAATAGAAAAAACTGTATGTAACATATCGTCAAGACAAGATTCGACAGAGAAGAACTTGTAATTCACTCCACAAATATTACAACACCAAGTACTGATTTGCTGTGATTTTTTAGGCCGACATGTTATGTGTTCCTCACTTCTGGTAATTTGCCGATTACATTTATAAATTATAAATATTAACAGCGAACCAGCAAGTAAAGCGCAAAATAATCAGATTTCGATAACTAAAAAGTGCTGCAGTCACACTTTTTCTCCGATAAGATGTTATAAAAACTGATTTCCACAAGGGAATCACTAATATTGTTAAAGGAGGAAAAATGGGCTTACGTTAAATAAGAACCCTTAAAATATAACTTACCGACCCCCTAAGGGGCCATAAAGGTCACATCACCTAGGCAAACCAATCCAGGAAAAAGTGGCTTCTCAACAAAAAAGAATTATTCACTACTAATATACACAAACTGAGATTAGTGTCCCGCAATGTTATTATTAAATATCTACAAAATATGTATAATGTTATTGACACTATTTAATTTACCGCAGAAGTTCGCTTCAACCGTTCACGGCAACCGCATGATATGAAATGATACCGGCATTTGTTATCAAAGGTTGTGCATCTGAAGTTGAAAATCTCGAAGATAATTCCAATATATAAGGGCAAAAGTCGTAGTGCTGCTCCCAGAATTTCCAATCGAAAAAAGAGTTTTTGGAATTTTTAAAGTCTTTAGTCTTTCGAATCTTTGAAAATTTTGCACACTACTGGAAGATCTATAATAATGTTTAGAATTTCTAGAATTCCTGGATTCTTTAATACCTTAAGGATTTTTAAAATTTTTAAGATTTTGCGGTTCTTTCTTATATTTAGAATCTTAGAACTTTAGTTTATTTACAATATTTAGTGTATTCGCAATGTGCAATTTTTAATTTTCAAGGTCTTTAAAATGTCTGCAGTCTTTAGAATCTTTGAATCTCCAGAAGTTTTACAATGCCAAAATTTCTGGAACCTTTAGAAATTTCAGAGTTTTACCTTTTCCTCAGGATCTCTAGATATTAATTATTAATTTCTAAATTTTCCAGAATTTCCAGATTAGCCCAATTTTTTTAGATATTCGAAAATATACGGAATGTCCAGAATTTCCAGTTTTTTAAAAATTTCCAAATATGCCCGAATTTTGAAATTTTCAAGACTTCCAGATTTTTTATATTTTCTAAACTTTTGCAGATTTTGTAAAAGTTCAATGTTGTTTAAATAATAGAATTTTCAATCCAAAAAAGGGTCTTCAGAGTTTTTAGATTCCTCAGAATGCTTAGAGTCTTTCCAACCTTTGGAAATTTTGGACACTTTCGAAGTAATAAAAATGTTCTATTATTTGGAATTTTTAGTCCATTTACAGTTTGCCATTTCTACTGTATAGAATCTTTAAGGTCTTTAGGATATCTAGCATTTTTCAATCTTTCGAACCTTTGGAAACTTTGGAACTCACAGAATCTACAGAATTCCTAGATTTTCTCCAATCTGTGAAACCTTTAGATTTTCGATTTTTCTAAGCTCCTCAGCATCTCTAGATATTTTTTTTTATTTTTGGTATTGTTAACATTTTTAGAGTTTTTAAAATACTTGGAATTTGGGGAATCTCCGGAATTTTTGATATTCCTAAAATCCTTTTACTCCTTTGAGTTTTTGGCAGCCTTGGAATCTACACAATGTTCGAACATTTTTTAGAAATTCAGTAAAGTGTTTATGATTTCCATATATTTTGAATTTCTAGAATTTTTGGATTCTTTAATGTCTTGAAGAACTTTAAAAATTTTTAAGATTTTGTCGGTTCTTTCTTATATTTAGAATCTTAGAACTTTATTTAGAATATTTAGTGTATTCGCAATGTGCAATTTTTAATCGTCAAGGTCTTTAGAATGTATGGAGTCTTTAGTCTTTGAATGTTTTGAAATCTTTTGAATTTGGAGACCTTGGGACTATTGGAATCTCCAGAAGCTTTACAGTGCTAAAATTTCCGTAACCTTTAGAACTTTCAGAGTTTTACCTTTTCTAGGCTCCTCAGGATCTCTAGATACTAATTAATTGATTTCTAAATTTTCCAGAATTTCCAGATTAGCCCGATTTTTTCAGATATTCGAAAATATACGGAATGTCCAGAATTTCGAGTTTTTTTTAAATTTCTAAAACCATTGGCCTCCAAATATGTCCGAATTTTGAAATTTTAAAGACTTTCAGATTTTTTATTCTTTCTAAACTTTTGCGGATTTTGTAAAACTTCAATGTTCTCTAAACAATAGAATTTTCAATCCAAAAAAGGGTCTTCAGAGTTTTTAGCGTCCTCAGTCCTTAGAGTCTTTCCAACCTTTGGAAATTTTGGACACTTTAGAAGTAATAAAAATTTTACATTATTTAGAATTTTTAGTCCATTTACAGTTTGCCATTTCTACTGTATAGAATCTTTAAGGTCATTAGAATATCTAGAATTTTTCAATCTTTCGAACCTTTGGAACCCATAGAATCTACAGAATTCCTACATTTTCTCCAATTTGTGAAACCTTTAGATTTTCGGTTTTTCTAAGCTCATCAGCATCTCTTTGTTGTTACATAGACGTCACGTGACACTTGTTTACCTGTATTCTGATAATTCACCATTAGTGTTAATTATATGTTGCCCTAAAAAAAATAACTTCGACCGGTAAATTTCAAAATGTATTAAAAGAACATTATAAAGATTACATGTTCATACATTAGCTAAAAATATAATAAAAACTGAGGAAATATAGTGATTTTTCCGTTTTTGTTTGTCTGCTGTCTACAGATGGCAACTGCTGACTTGATGTCATAAATGCAATTTGACAATCAGGTGTGCCATCGTATAACTTTAAATATGATATGAATTTATTGAAAATTTTAATAATTCACTTGTAATTTTAACTCTGACGTAAGTATTTTTTAAATTAGAATAAGAAGAATTACATAAACTATTTTAACTGACACTCATACTCTGTTAAAACAAGTAGATTAAAAAAGTGCTCTAAGTTTATTTAGACAGAACTTCCTGAAGCACAGTACAAGATAAAAAACTTTTTCCAAAAATTATAATATTTGGATTTGCGAATTTGATTTTTTACGATAACCACTATAAAGAAACATGCTATGCATATGTTTCACGTGAGTTTTTTTGTGATGATACTAATACTAATACCAACAGTATTGTATTCTCAAATTTTCAGGAAAATAGGGTGAACTGTTTTTGATTTGATAAATAAAATAAACTGCCTTATGCATGAATTGTTTTGAGTCACGTATATAAGTAATAAACAAGGTGCTGACACTCAGAACCAGAATACACATCGAAATATCAAAGACAGCAGTGAATTGTTAATGGCTTTTCTGCTATCAAGTATCAAGAGGTTCGAGTGCCCAATTTTACATCAATTCAAATGCATTATTCTAAAAAACCAATTCAGAACAACAGGGATTGGAAAACTAGATTTTACAAAACAAACGTGTTATACGTTTTTTTTTTCAACGAGTTTTTTACAACGCAATTTTTTCCAAACCCGCACTTCTTATTTGCGAAGCTGAATCTAAAGAAGAGGAGGGATTAGTCAGTAAAAATTATAATAAGAGTAAAAAAAATCAAGGTGGATTCATAAAACACAGTAAAGGAGTACCTTATTTTGAGCAGACGTCATCAAAATTTTGGCGGGAAGGATTAGACAAATTTTGATCAGCGTCAAAACTATAGAATAGTAAAAGAACCATTTTTTTGCAGAGATAAAAGCTCTAATACATTCTCTACGCGAGGTGCAACAGCGTCGCGAAGACAAGCAAACCATGAGACTGTCAAACGTCAAAACTCAAGCTTTTGGTCGTGAATATTACGGGACAATTGTCATTTCGTCAGAAACAATTCTGATTAAACCGGACGATCCAGATATATTAAATTTATACTTAATGCCGTGTAATATAAAGGAATTTCATGAGGAGGGACTGCGGGGTATTATGTTAAACCTGTACTGCGACTCACAAAAAGTCATAATCTATATATATAAAAATGGATGTTGGTATATAGATTGTGTATTATAGTCAGGCGTGAATGTGTCAACCACGTGGTGTTCGAAATTTAGCGTAACATTCTTTAGACCGCGTTCATATTATTTTAATATATAATAAAAACACGTTAGATTTTATATAGTTCACAAATATATTTATTTTTCAGGAAGAAACAGGAAGGTGGTACATAAAAATGGCAGAAGAATCGGAGAACTTTGATGATGTCGAAGTCATATATTTAGATGAGGCCGACGATGATGAGTTGGAGGAAGAAATGATTGAAGATGCCAGTACTGAAGAAGAGGGGAATCAAGCTGAAGTGCAAGATTTAGCCAAGCTTACATTCAAAGAACATAAAAAGTCAGTATTTTGTGCAGATTTGACAAAAAATGGACAGCTTGCTGCTACAGGGGGTGAAGATGATTGTGTATATCTCTGGATCACATCAAATGGATCAGTTAAATTTGATTGCACAGGCCATAAGGATTCCGTAACATGTGTTTGTTTTAATCATGACAATCGATTGTTAGCTACTGGAGATATGTCAGGGATGATACAAGTGTGGGAAGTAGAGAGCAATAAATTGATTTGGTGTAATGAAGGCGATGACATGGAGTGGTTAATGTGGCACCCAGTAACAAATGTCTTACTGTCAGGTAGTCATGTATTTGTTAATCAGCTAAACCTTTTGATAACTGGGTCTCTGAGTGGGCAAGTTTGTGTATGGCGATGAAACGAATGAACAATTGAATGGGTACGTAACATTCTAAACCTATTTAATACATATAATTATGTAGGTGGTTTTTACAGTTCCGAGTCTACATCAGAATCTTCCAGCTCTGGAGAGACGTCGGTGTGTGCACTGACACCCAATTAAATAAATAAATCTTTTACAAATTTTTTTTTTTTTGGGTACCAGAATAAACAAGAATATCAGGTACGTTATCGTCAACTTCTTATTATTTACATTAAGGCTACATTCAGGGGGTGTCTGAATACGGGCGTAAACGGACATTTCGCTTTTTAAGCTTATTATTAAACTTGAAGAACAGCTTGAGCTGGCAATTAGTAGAAAATATAATATTCTGATGCGCGCGCAAGGAATTTTTTTAAAAAGGCAGTAATTTGCTCCAAATTAATTAAAGTAATAAAAGCAAAGAAGTCACTTATCAAGGTCCTGATTTACAATTTTGTGTGCAAAAATTAATGGTTTATTAATTAATTATTTGGTGATAATATTCTAAAGGCAGTGAGGGCGGAATGTACTTATATAACAACTAAAATTATGGAAAAAGAGAATATTAATACTTTTACTGCTAAAATATCAACAAGATATAAATTAGAAAAAGGCGTACTGGACAAGATCAGTTCCGAAAATATGAGATCGGATCTGGTAACCAATGAGTACTCCTCCGCCCCTTGATTTATTAATATTCAAGAAGTGTCTATTTTTTCTAACCATCAAATAATTCACTCACTCTCACTGTTAATAACACCACTGTGAAGCCATGTTCTGACAAAGCAATTAAGTCAAAGTCACAAGAAGATGCTGAATTCAAAAAATGGGTTAATTTGATCCTCACTTCAGTATAAAAATATTAACACCGAACCAAGTAAAACACAAAATAATCAGATTTCCATAACTAAAAAGTGCTGCAGTCACACTTTTTCTCTGATAAAATGTTATAAAAACTGATTGCCATTAGTGAATCACTAATTTTGTTAAAGAAGGAAAAATGGGCTTACGTTAAATAAGAACCCCAAAAATATAACTTACCGACCCCCTAAGGGGTCACAAAGGTCACAGCACCTAGGCAAACCAATCCAGGAAAAAGTGGCTTCTCAACAAAAAGGAAATATTCACTACTAATGTACACAAACTGAGATTAGTGTCCCGCAATGTTATTATTAAGTATGTACAAAATATAATGTTATTGGCACTAGTTAATTTACCGCAGAAGTTCGCTTCAACCGTTCACGGCAACCGCATGATATGAAATGATACCGGCGTTTGTTATCAAAGGTTGTGCATCTGAAATTGAAAATTTCTAAGATAATTCCAATATATGTATAAGGGCAAAAGTCGTAGTGCTGCTCTCAGAATTTTCAATCGAAAAAAGAGTTTTTGGAATCTTCAAAGTCCTTAGTCTTTCGAATCTTTGAAAATTTTGCACACTACTGGAAGATCTATAATAATGTTTAGAATTTCTGGATTCTTTAATACCTTAAGGATTTTTAAAATTTTCAAGATTTTGCGGTTCTTTCTTATATTTAGAATCTTAGAACTTTAGTTTATTTAAAATATTTAGTGTATTCGCAGTGTGCAAATTTTAATTTTCAAGGTCTTTAAAATGTCTGGAGTCTTTAGAGTCTTTGAATCGCCAGAAGTTTTACAAAGCCACAATTTTTTAACCTTTAGAACTTTCAGAGTTTTACTTTTTTCTCAGGATCTTTAGATATTAACCCGATTTTTTCAGATATTCGAAAATATACCGAATGTCCAGAATTTCCAATTTTTTCAAAATTTCTAAAGCCATTGGCCTCCAAATATGTTTGAATTTTGAAATTTTAAGGACTTCCAGATTTTTTATACTTTCTAAACTTTTGCGGATTTTGTAAAACTTCAATGTTCTCTAAACAATAGAATTTTCAATCCAAAAAAGGGTCTTCAGAGTTTTTAGAGTCCTTAAAGTCTTTCCAACCTTTGGAAATGTTGGACACTTTAGAAGTAATAAAAATTTTACATTATTTAGAATTTTTAGTCCATTTACAGTTTGCCATTTCTACTGTATAGAAACTTTAAGGTCTTTAGGATATCTAGAATTTTTCAATCTTTCGAACCTTTGGAACCCATAGAATCTACAGAATTCCTAGATTTTCTCCAATTTGTGAAACCTTTAGATTTTCGGTTTTTCTAAGCTCATCAGCATCTCTTTGTTGTTACATAGACGTCACGTGACACTTGTTTACCCATATTCTGATGATCCACCCTTAGTGTTAATTATACGTTGCCCTAAAAAAAATTAACTTCGACCGTTAAATCTCAAAATGTATTAAAAGAACATTGTAAAGATTACATGTTCATACATTAGCTAAAAATATAATAAAAACTGAGGAAATATAGTGATTTTTCCGTTTTTGTTTGTCTGCTGTCTACAGATGGCAACTGCTGACTTGATGTCATAAATGCAATTGGACAATCAGGTGTGCCATCGTATAACTTTAAATATAACATGAATTTATGGAAAATTTTAATAATTCACTCGTAATTTTAACTCTGACATAAGTATTTTTTAAATTAGAATAAGAAGAATTAATTTTTGTTTTAATATGTGTAGACTTCTTTTCACAACATGAAACTTAAAACATGTTTAAAATGGAAAATTTGAATAAGGAAATACCCATTTTGCAAATAAAAATGTACAATTTTACCATGTTCTAAGTTTCTTGTTGTGAAAAGACGGCTATGTATATTAAGAAAATAAGCCAAAATTGAGGAGGTCTACAGTTGGTTGCATAAATGAAGATATTAATTGTAAAAAAAAATGGTGGATTTTATTAAGAATTCAGATTTAGAATTAATTACGACATAATTTTTTTCGAACCGGAATCGAGCGCTGTTGGGTGTATAATAAATGTAATTGAAAACGAAAACAACAAGACAATACCTATGTTTATCCAAGAACAAATATTGACAACTTGATAAGTAAAGTAAAACAAAATAAAATGTGTCTTTCTCAATACTAATTGCATTGCCAAATATGCCATCGGATATGTTTTAAATGCAACTTATTTACTTCGAACGGTTTTAATTTCGCTTGTTTTCTTGCAGGATTAATTTTAAGTCAGTCAGACCATAAAGTCGTATAATTTAATCAAGCAGTGGCAATAAAATCTTGCGCGTTAGAATAAACAAGTGCATAACCAGATATCACTAGATACATAAAAAGTACACAATGTATTACCAAATTAACTTAATTAAACAACTTTATCGTATTGTTCGCTGTTAACAATCGGCAATCTCTGACCCATATCTGCTCTAATAATTGATAATTTTATTATACATTTTTTTAATTCACGTGTTATTGGGAAACAAAGGAACAAACATTGTCAACTGGGGTATACTAACCTGAAACGAGAAATTTTTTGAAATACAGATCTTGATATTTTAATCTTTAGACACCAGATAGTCCAAATTTAGTCCACAAAAGTAATTACTTAATATTAATATAATTAATATGTGTCGTTCCACAGGGTGAAGTCTGACAGGATGCAGATTAACATCAAATATCACATCACTTAAGCAAAACAATGCAACTTTTGTTCTCAACAAGTGGTAGTTGCAACACCGATTATAATCACTTAGTATTTTCGTGGAACCAAATTATCACATCAATATGGAATGTATAAGATTTTTATAAAATTTAGAAAAAATTGCAAGCATCCGAAATGCGCCGACCACAACATCATCCTACATAATCTCAAGTCCTTCGTCTGTCTCAAACAATTCGTCGGGTTTTCCGACGAGATTCTCGACGTCGCCTTCGTCCGAAAAGACTCGAGTCATCTGGCAGTCGCCACGAATTCGCTCGACATCAAACTCTACGACTCCACTATGAACTGTCAATTGCTGAAAGGGCACACCGACATCGTGCTTTGTTTATCCACCAGCAAAACCAACCCCGATCTTATGTTATCGGGGAGCAAAGACAACAAAATCCGCTTGTGGTTATTCAATGGGTCTTCCATGTCGTGCGTCGGGGTAGGTCACAGTCACACCGCCTCCGTCGGTTCCGTCGCCTTTCACAACGCCACCTCGTGCTTCTTCAGCGCCAGCCAAGACACCTGTCTCAAACTCTGGGAAACCCCTACTAATCCCGAAAGCGACACAATCCTGACGTGCACTAGCACCGAAGTCGCCCACCACAAAGACATTAATTGTGTCTCGGTGTCCCCAAACGGGAAAATCATCGCCACCGCATCGCAAGACAAAACCGCTAAACTCTGGACCGAAGCTCTAACCCTAGTGGGGACTCTCAGAGGCCACAAACGCGGCGTCTGGTCGGTGGCGTTCTCCCCGGTGGACCAAGTCGTGATTACGTCGTCAGCCGACTGTACCGTGAAACTGTGGTCAGTCAGCGACCTCCACTGTCTCAAGACTCTGGAAGGCCACGAATCCAGCGTCCTCCAAGTCGCGTTCATCTCCAACGGGATGCAAATCGTGAGTGCGGGGGCCGACGGCCTTCTCAAACTCTTCAGCGTGAAGACCTCGGAGTGCGTAGGGACGTTTGAGACGCACGAAGGCCGCATTTGGGCCATGGCGGTGCACAAAGACGAAACCGAAATCGTAACAGGAGGGTCGGATTCGCTTCTGGTTAAGTGGAAAGACGTGACTGAAGAACGCAAACTCCAAAGATTGAAAGAACAAGAAGAAGAGACGCTCCAGCAGCAGAAACTAGCCAATTATCTCCAGAACGACGAGCTCGTGAAGGCGTTGAAGTTGGCTTTGAGGCTCGACAGACCCTTGCAGGTGTTACACTATTTTAACTGACACTCATACTCTGTTAAAACAAGTAGATTAAAAAAGTGCTCTAAGTTTATTTAGACAGAACTTCCTGAAGCACAGTACAAGATAACCAACTTTTTCCAAAAATTATAATATTTGAATTTGCGAATTTAATTTTTTATGATAACCACTATAAAGAAACATGCTATGCATATGTTGCAGGTGAGTTTTTTTGTGATGATACTAATACTAATACCAACACTATTGTATTCTCAAAATTTCAGGAAAATAGAGTGAACCGTTTTTGATTTGATAAATAAAATAAACTGCCTTACGCATAAATTGTTTTTAGCCACCGTATATAAGTAATTCTAAATAAGGTGTTGAGACTCAGAACGCAATCACATCGAAATATCAAAGACAGCAGTGAATTGTTAATGGCTTTTGTGTTATCAAGTAGCAAGAGGTTCGAGTGCCCAATTTTACATTAATTCAAATGCATTACTCTAAAAAACACCAACTCAGAACAACAGGAATTGGAAAAACTAGATTTTACAAAACAAGCGTGTTATACGTTTTTTTTTTTCAACTGAGTTTTTTTATAACGCAGTTTTTTCCAAACCCGCACCTCTTATTTGCGAAGCTGAATGTAAAGAAGAGGAGGGATTAAACAGTAAAAATTGTAATAAGAGTAAAATAAATCGAGGTGGATTCATAAAACACAGTAAAGGAGTACCTTATTTTGAACAGACGTCATCAAATTTTTGACGGGAATGATTAGAAAAATTTTGATCTGCGTCAAAACTGTAGATTAGTAAAAAAAACATTTTTTGCAGAGATAAAAGCACTAATAGATTCACTGCGGGAGGTGCAGCAGAGTCGCCAAGACCAGAAAACAATGAGGTTCTCGAACATCAAAACAAAGGCTTTTGGTCGTGAATATTACGGGACGATTATAAGTAATTTCGTCAGAAGCAATTCTAATTAAACCCGACGATCCAGATATATTAAATCTATACTTAATGCCCTGTAATATAAAGGAATTTCATGAGGAGGGACTGCGGGGCATTATGTTAAACCTATACTGCGACTCACAAAAAGTCATGGTATGTTTTCGAACGGAGAGACAACTGGCTCGAGCAATGAAGCGAATAAGAGAATTGAATGGGTACGTAACATTCTAAACCTATTTAATACATATAATTATGTAGGTGGTTTTTACAGTTCTGAGTCTACATCAGAATCTTCCAGCTCTGGAGAGACGTCGGTGTGTGCACTGATACCCAATGAAATAAATAAATCTTTAACAATATTTTTTTTCAATATGGGTACCAGAATAAACAAGAATATCAGGTACGTTATCGTCAACTTGTAATTTTTTACATTAAGGCTACATCGGAGGGTATCCGAATACGGGCGTAAAAGAACATTTCGTTTTTTAAGCTTATTATTAAACTTGAAGAACAGCTTGAGGTGGCAATTAGTAGAAAATATAATATTTTGATGCGCACCTAAGAGAATTTTTTAAAAAAGGCAGTAATTTGCTCCAAATTAATTAAAGTAATAAAAGCAAAGAAGTCCTGATTTACAATTTTTTGTGCAAAAATTAATGGTTTATTAATTAATTATTTGGTGATAATATTCTAAAGGCAGTGAGTACTCCTCCACCCCTTGATTTATTAATATTCAAGAAGTCTCTAAATTTTTCTAACCATCAAATAATTACTATTAAAAAGCTCACTGTTAATAACACCACTGTGAAGCCATGTTTCTGACAAAGCAATTAAGTCAAAGTCACAAGAAGATACTGAATTCAAAAAATGGGTTAATTTGATCCTCACTTCAGTATAAAAATATTAACACCGAACCAAGTAAAACACAAAATAATCAGATTTCCATAACTAAAAAGTGCTGCAGTCACACTTTTTCTCCGATAAGATGTTATAAAAATTGATTGCCACTAATGAATCACTAATATGTTGGAAGAAAAATGGGCTTACGTTAAATAAGAACCCTTAAAATATAACTTAACCGCCTCCTAAGGGGTCACAAAGGTCACAGCTCCTAGGCAAACCAATCCAGGAAAAAGTGGCTTCTCAACAAAAAAGAAATATTCACTACTAATGTACACAAACTGAGATTAGTGTCCACAAATGTTATTATTAAGTATGTACAAAATATAATGTTATTGGCACTATTTAATTTACCACAGAAGTTCTCTTCAACCGTTCACGGCAACCGACCGACCTAGGTATTTTTTTATTGTGACTTTTTATCAAGTCTAAAAGAAATACTGACTTTGCGTCTGCGTTGTTTGCGTCTTCTGTAATTTTAGTTATTTTTAAAGTTTCCAAATTTTTAACTTTTTCTTCTAACGTTCTCATTTTTGATAAACATTCAGAATTTTTCATTTCATTCTACTCAATTGTTGCTTTAAAACTTTGTTCTGGTCCCTAAGATCTCTAAATTATTCTTTTTCCTTTGCACTTAAATCATCACATTTCGAGGCTTTGGTCTTTAGAGCCTTTCTAATCTTTGAAAATTTTGCACACTACTAGAAGATCTACAATGTTTAGAATGTCTCGATGCTTTCAGAATCTTACATTTTTTAAAGATTTTGTTGGTTCTCTCTTATATTTAGAATCTTAGAACTTTAGTTTATTTAGAATGTTTAGTGTATTCACAATGTGCAATCTTTATTCTTCAAGGTCTTCAGAATCTTTGAATGTTTTAAGACCTTTTGAACCTTTCAAATTTACACACCTTGGAACCGCTAGAATATCCAGAAGATAGAATTCCTATCATTCTTAGAACTTTTCTGGGCTCCTCAGCATCTCTAGAATTAATTAATCAGTCATCTCCTCTGCGTTGAGTTGACCAAATCAATAAAACTTTCTTTTAACCGCCGATGCCTGTAATCTGAACGTGCTTATAAAAATCAATATTTTGCCTTTTTTTCTTAATATACATAGTGTTCTTTCGAAACATGATACTCAAAAACATGTTTTTAATTTCTTTATTTTTTTAGTATTTTGTAGTGAAACTCCCTAGGTTCACGGCGAATATAAAAAAAAATCATCACAATTGAGATAGGGCGAGTGGGCGGGCTTACATTTGGACTTTTTCTTTTAAATTATGTAGACTTATTTTCTCAACATGAAATTTAAAACGTATTTAAAATGGAATATTTGTATAAAGAAATATCAATTTTGCAATTAGCTTCCACCCCATAATTGCAAAATCCATATTTCCTTGCAAAAATGTACAATTTAACTATGTCCTAAGTTTCTTGTTATGAAAAGATGGCTATGTATATTAAGAAAAAAAGACAAAATATAAAACCCGCCCACCCGCCCTGTCTCAATTCTGATGATTTTTTGTTTATTCGTCGTAGGCAGAGGGGCGAAGCTTAACTGCAAAATCGTCATGTTTCTACGAGAAATTACCATGTGAAATATGTTCTTACGTAGTCGTGTTATACAAAAAAACTAAATGTATTAATTAAAAAAGAAAACCAAAAGCGAAGCCGAGAAGAAGAATTTTTCATTCGTTGTCAGACCGAGGGGCGGAGCCTAATTGCAAAATCGATACTTTCCTACAAAAACTTACCATTTTAAACATGTTTTACTTTTCTTGTTGTGAAAAGAAGACTACACATATTAAGAAAATTGAGAATGTATTGGTGTTTTGCTGCTTTAAATATATTTCATATTGTACCCACTTGTGACATTTGTTAAATGTTGATATTATGTTAATTTGAATGTTAAAATAGTATTTCTTTGGACACTGGTTCGGAAAAAGTAAAAAAAATGTCAAAAACGTGAATTATTTATTATTAATTGAAAATGTTTGTTTTGAGCATACTAATCCAAAAGCATTTGGGCCGTGGCAGTCTTTGATCTGAGAAATTTCATGTGATTTATAATTAATTAAGTTTTAATATCAAGTAGGTTCTACAGATTTCAAGTTATTATTAGCGGAATCTTTTTTTTCGATTATATGGTTCTATTTTTCAGTTGGAAATAATTTTTTTGGTATTACAGCAACAACACATACCATACGAAAAAAGTTCTCTAGTAGGACATGAAATTTATTTTAACTGTCAAGTCGAACAAGGAACGCGTTGATGTTGCCAACATCATTATTTTAAAAATAAATCATTAGGCGTATCAGAGGAATTCATATGGTACCGAGGGAGAAATGAAAACACGATGAAAGGTAGCCATGGATTTTTGAAAGTTTGTCTTTGATCGTTGCATCTTCAACCCAAACTTTCAAATTGACAGTAGTCTATCAAAGAATACGAAAATTCTATATAGGACAAATTTTCAAAAATCCATGGTTGTTTTTTATCGTGGTTTATCCTTTGGATATAATTATCGTAAAATTTGTTTACTTATACAATTTTCTTGACTGTTTCAACTTGAAAATTTTTGTCGTACACTCTCTCTCTTTCTTAAATAACCGAGGTCAGTGTTTTTTACGTTGTTTTTATTTATTTTTTAACCTACAGTTTTTTTTTAATATTTAGATATAGGTAGAAATAACTTTGATTATAACAAAGACTGGACGGTGTTTACAAACAATATGTCGAGGAACGTCTAAAAAAATGTCCCGTATAGTAGAGGAATTAGATTTGTCAGAATTGCGAAAAAAATATGACGAAAAATTAACGTAATGTTAAATTAGATGGTCTAAAAGTATATACATATTTTGTAACAATAGCCGTATATCTGCAACAATATTTTTGTTATTATTCATTTCAAAACGATATTTCAGATTTGTTTTTGAACAATCGGCGGATATAAAAGTGTCAAAAGGTAATAATAAACTAAAAATTTATCATGTGTAAATTTGTGTGTTAACGCCAAGGTTATGTATCATGACAGATGGATAACGCATGAGCAAAAGAAACGTCAGTGCGAGATTATTTTTATTAACAAACCAGTAAAAATATTTTATTAAATAAATAATTAATATTTTGTTATTATTGCCGAGTAAATTTTAGTGTTCCGTTTTGCCACACTTTTACAACTTTTCTCCGCAACTCACCAACATTTTGTGGACGAAAGTCATGTTTAGAAATAAATTTTGCAATACGGCCCCAAATTTTTAAATAACTAGAAAATGTTTCTTGATAAATTAGCTTCTCAGGCACACTAATGAATATTTTTTTAAATTACACCTGAACGTGCTCGCATTTTAAACGTATTTTTTTCAGCTTTATTTCTACAGAAGTCACAGGAATAATCTCTAGCAGGGGCGGCTCATGACTTGAAAAATTGATGAGGCACAGCACAAAACGCTCTAAAATATAAATAAATCAAGATTACTTAAATATTTTCTATTTAGTCAAATAAACAAATTTGTAAACTCATTTAACTGTCCACAAAGAACCAAGAAGGTGTAAGGAGGTCTTGCAAGGAAAGCATGAGAATGACAGGACAAAAGGAAAGGGAAGCGTGGTCAGAAAAAACTAATATAACTTCTAACAAAAAACAAAATTAAAATAAACTTTAAAGGAAACATATCGAAAAAGATCAAATACAACATAAAATAAAGCTAATTTGATTTATAACAAAAAACAAAATGAAAAAAATATAAAATATAAATACGGATTTATTTAAAATTTTTTTTATGGGTCAATTAACGATTTACTCAAATCAGGAACCGGCGGTTTTAATTCCTTAACTACATACAATTTATCATCATACGTGAAAGTAGAAAAAACAGAACTGCCATTGTCATTTAACGTTAGTAGAGAAAAATTCCGATTTACTCGTAATCTTAAATAACGATTACCGAAATCAAATTATGACAAGCACAAAGCACTAACGCGACCCACGCAAACGTAGGCACTTTTAAGACAAAATTCTGTTACCGAAATTTTGAATCAATTTATACACACACAGATTTGTGGCAAAACAATCAACGGCCTAATTTTGAATACTCCTGCGAATGCAGACTGCATTGCAATCGCACGTTCCCCGCGCGCAAATATTATAGTTGTCCATCTCTTTTGCAAGCACGGAAATGAGGCTAGCCTCAATTTTGTCTTTTTTCAACTCATACCGCTTATAAGTGTATTGCAGGTTGCTTGCCTATTAACGACATGATTTCTATATATGCTGTAGAGGCAAGCTTCGAGTCGGCCTCATTCGCGTCACAAAATACATGTTGTGCCGAGTGTTTAAGCGCGCTGTTTAATTAAGGGAGCAACGAGTACCTACCGAGATAAAAATAAGAATATAATTTTCTATATTTATTTTTAAAATTTTAGAAAAAAGACACAAATTATTGGCCGAAATGTGTCCGTATAAAATAATAAAAATCCTAATAAGGCGTAAAATTCATTGGTGAGGCACTGCCTCACCTGCCTCATAGGACAAGCCGCCCCTGATCTCTAGACTTTAAAAAAGCACTCCCTTGGAATAGGAGTGCAGTGAGCACGTTTAGGTTGCTAAAATCTCCCCAGTTTAGCGCTCGCTTTCTAATATTCTTTCTTTTAAACAAATCGATTTCATAAAAAAGATTACGAATGACACGACATGACCACCATCAAGAAACAATGGCCAGTGTATTTTTAAGGATCTATTAAAGCAAGAAATTTTGCAGTTTATCCACGAAGTGTTTGTAAAAAAATATGAAATGACCACTATATACGAGAAATATTACTGAAAATTACAAGAATGTGTGAGCTTTGAAACCTCGGTGTTTAACTTCTTCAAAAATTATCTAAACCGATCACTGTTCACACTATTTATTTTGTATTGTATGTAAATTTCAAAACGAAATTTGATAATGCAATTTTTACGAAAGCAGCCATTTTACAACCAGGTAACATTTGTTAACAGAGGCCTCGATTCCTTCGGCCGAGTCTGGGATCTGCGCACCGGAAGATGCGTAATGTTCATGGAAAGCCACCTCAAAGCCATCCTAGGAATCGACTTCTCCCCCGACGGTTATCACATAGCCACCTCCAGCGAGGACAACACCTGCAAAATCTGGGACCTGCGCAAACGGTCCGTCCTATACACAATCCCGGCGCACACCAACCTCATCTCCGACGTTAAATTCCAAAGAGACGGCGGCGATTACTTAATAACCTCGTCGTACGACGGCACCGCCAAACTGTGGACAAATCGAACCTGGCAGCCCCTGAAAACCCTCTCAAGCCACGACGGGAAAATCAGGTCGGTGGATATTTCCACCGATAACCAGTACATAGCGACCAGTTCGTACGACAGGACGTTTAAATTCTGGGCGCCCGAGGAACAGAAATAATGTATATTTTAAGATTTTTGTACAACAGTTATAAATATAATTATTAGGTTAATTTAATTCGACGTGATGTTTCTCATTTGTCGTACTGAGGCGACGTAGCGCGCCGAATAACCGGCACTGCCGGAGTGGTACTGGTCGTTGGGGAGTTTGAGCAGGGTGGCCAACTGCTGCAGGTTTTCGCTGAGTGAAATCCCTAGGTCTTGGAGAACGTTGTTTAGGTAACCTAGGGGCGACAAATGTCAAAATGTCTACTTTGTCGTTCTATGTTATACCTATGTCGTGCGCTAATTGGCGACTAGCTGGTTGACTTAACTCACAGATGGATAAAATCCGGTCGCAGAAACCTTGACAGGTCCCTCTTGCAACTATTTTGAGGAAGACGTGGGCCAGAGAGCCTTCGGCGTCCCCTGCAGTGCTATATTCTTGATCGACGGCCCTAAGGGCACAAGTCAGAGACGGGTTTTCTCTGAATAGGAAAGGTTCAAGGTGTTGGGGTAACGTCATCAAGTACTGACCAATCTGTAAAGACAATTTTTAACTAAAATTATAAAACTATAGTTACCGAATTTAGCAAAACCTGAGTTATGTATTCCTGTGGCGAAAAACTATAATCGGGCAAATCCGAATTATGCAGCGTCGAATTCGCAAACTGCGCCCACGTTTGCCCAGCCTGGACCACATCCAACTGCATCGCAATCGGGGAAAACACCACCTGATACGTCGTGTGGTGAATATCGGAACACAGTTTATTAAACTCCGCGTTAACATGATCTAAGAGGGACAATTGCGTGCCTTCCGTGACACACCGAACTAGCGACTCGTACTCTTTCCGATCCCCGGCGTTCAACATCAACAACTTGTACTCAAACTGACTTTTGTTTTGATTGGTTTCCAGTATAGTCGCCGTTAGGTCTTTTTCTAGTTGGTGTAAGTTCACTAACACTTCGCCGGTGTTCTGGAGCAGCGACAGACACAACTGGAAGGTGTTCCAGTCCTCTTCCTGTTTTTTGCTGCGATCGATTTGGCGCAAAGCCACTCTGTATTGGTCGGCGTAGTTGACGAGGAATGCTCGGAGGGCGATCAAGAGGCCGCAATAGCCGCAGTTTTCCGTGATTTGTTGACAGCGCTTTTTCGCGTCTCGGGCGATGTCTATGACCTGGGGGATGCTCAAGCCGAGGGCTTGGATAGTGTCCGGGAGTTCTTCTTTCATGCAGTTGATGGTGGAGAGCTTTTTTATTAGGAAGGCTTGCTCGTAGGCGGCGTATTTGTTGGTGTAGGTGACGAGGTGGATGTAGATGGCTTGCATTAGGAGGAGGAGTTTGTCTTTGGGGGGCTTACCTGGAATTTGATTTTTTTATTATTGTTACCCCCCTAAAAAAGTTGATGACGTCATCTCTAAATTTTAATTAAATAAATCCTCTCCGAAATATGCAAAACACTCATGGAATCATAGTTTCTAGAATTACTTATACAAATTAATTAATGAGGCAATTTGTTTTAATAATTAAATCAAGAACGACTCACTCAATTTTCCTGAAAATTTGGGAATACAGTAATGTCATTATTAGTACTTCTTGTACCATGATTATATTACACTGCACCTATCCAAACTGATAAGGGCTATCATTAAAAAAAAAATCGAAAGATCAAATAATAATTTTTTGTTTTTCAACTTTAATTTTTTCAATTTTGCAATTTTTGGATTTCCAATTATTTAATTTGCCGATCCAAATTTCGTTTCAATGTTTTCGTTTTAATTTTTTTTTTCATTTTTGATTTTACAATTTGCAATTTTTCCATTTTTTTTATTCGAAAAGTTGAAAAATCGAAAAACTAAAAAATCGGAAAATTGAAAACACGAAAAATTGCAAAATGGAAAAAGGCGAAAATGAAAAAAATGCAAATTGAAGAACTGAAAAACGAAAAATTGGACAATGAAAAATTAATGAATCGAAAAATTGGAAAGAAGAAAAAACGAATCGAATCGAAAAATTGAAAAACCCAAAAATAGTAAAATCGAAAATTTGAAAAATTACATATTAAGAAATGAAAAATCAAATTAATGAAACTACAAAAATTGCAAACCAAAAACTGAGAAAAATTCAAATGAAAACTCGAAGACTTGCATGTCGTAAAATTGAAGAAACCAACAAAACCGAAACGAAAAAATGCAAATTGAAAAAGTTTTAAAATCCAATAATTGAAAAACGGAAACGTCAAATTGAAAAAGAGAAAAAAATTAATAAAATTATTATTACATATATAAAATCAAAACTAGAAAATCTGCAAATCAAAAACTGGAAACCAAACAGTGAAAAAATAAAGAAAATCGTAAACCAAAACGAAAAACTGGAAATCGAAAAATTGACGAAATGAAAAATCGAAAAATTTTCAAATGAAAAATTAAAAAATGAAAACTTGTTAAATTACAAATCTAAAAATTGAAACATCCAATAGTTGGAAAATCGAAAAATGAAAACTCGTTGGAATATCGTAAAATGGAGGAACAAAAAAAAATTAAAAATTTAAGAAATGTAAAACTGAAAACACAAAAAATTACAAAAATGAAAACTCAAAAAATTGTATAAATAAATATGCAAAAAAATGAAGTGGAAAATTAAAGAATTAAAAATTTGAAAATGGAAAAATTTTAAATCAAAAAATTGCAGAATTTAACAATTGAAAAACTGAAAAATTGCACGTAGAAAAAAGAAAAATTATATAATCAAAACACTGAAAACCGAAAAACTGAAAAATAAAGAAAATAAAACCGAAACGAATAATTCCAAATTGAAAAATCGAAAAGTCAAATAATTGAAACATTTTTCAAATCCAATAACTGAAAAACAGAAAAATTTTAAATAGGTAAAATTTAAAGACAAAATTTTAAAATTATTTATTATTACATATTGAAAATCAAAACTACAAAAATTGCAAATCAAAAACTGAAGAAATGAAAAATCGAAAAAATTTTAATTGAAAAATTAAAAAATGAAAACTTGTTAAATTGCAAATCTAAAAATTGAAACATCCGAAAGTTAAGAAATCGAGAAATGAAAAATTGCAAATCGAAAAATTGAAAAAATAATAAATTATAAAAATGAAAAATCAAAAAATTGTAAAAATAAACGTGTGAAAAAACGAAAGGAAGAATTACAAATCGAAAACTTGAAGAAATGAAAAATTGAAGAAATGAAAAATTAAAGAACCGAAAAATTGAAAACTAGAGAAATTTTAAATCGCAAAATTGCAAAATTTAACAATTAAAAAATCGAAAAATTGAAAAACTGGAAACAAAAAAAACGAAACAAAAAATTGCAACTTGAAAAATTGAAATGTCGAATAATGAAAAAGGTTTAAAATCCAATAATAATTGAAAAATGAAAAAATTCTAAATATGTAAAATTTAAAGAAAAAAATTCTGAATTATTATTATTACATAATTAAAATCAAAACTAGAAAAATTGCAAATCAAAAACTGAAGAAATGAAAAATTGAAAAAACGAAAAATTAAAAAATCAAAAAGTTGAAAATCGGAAATCTCAAAAATCCAAAAATTAAAAATTTCATACTGAAAAATTATAAAAGGACATCACTAAAAATTGGAAATTTGAAAAAATAAAGCAAATTGTAAAACCCAAAACGAAAAACTGCAATTCAAAAAAATTGAAGAAATGAAAAATCGAAAAAATTTTAATTGAAAAATTAAAAAATGAAAACTTGTTAAATTGCAAATCTAAAAATTGAAACATCCAATAGTTGGAAAATCGAAAAATGAAAACTCGTTGGAATATCGTAAAATTGAGGAACCAAAAAAAAAATGAAAAATTTAATAAATGTGCAAAAAAATGAAGTGGAAAATTGAAGAATAAAAATTTGAAATAGGAAAAATTTTAAATCGAAAAATTGCAGAATTTAACAATTGAAAAACTGAAAAATTGCACTTAGAAAAAAGAAAAATTATATAATCAAAACACTGAAAAGCGAAAAACTGAAAAATAAAGAAAATAAAACCGAAACGAATAATTCCAAATTGAAAAATTGAAAAGCAAATAAATGAAACATTTTTCAAATCCAATAACTGAAAAACAGAAAAATTTTAAATAGGTAAAATTTAAAGACAAAATTTTAAAATTATTTATTATTACATATTGAAAATCAAAACTACAAAAATTGCAAATCAAAAACTGAAGAAATGAAAAATTGAAAAAACGAAAAATTAAAAAATCAAAAAGTTGAACATCGGAAATCTCAAAAATCCAAAAATTAAAAATTTCACACTGAAAAATTATAAAAGCACATCACTAAAAACTGGAAATTTGAAAGAATAAAGCAAATTGTAAAACCCAAAACGAAAAACTGCAATTCAAAAAAATTGAAGAAATGAAAAATCGAAAAAATTTTAATTGAAAAATTAAAAAATGAAAACTTGTTAAATTGCAAATCTAAAAATTGAAACATCCGAAAGTTAGGAAATCGAGAAATGAAAAATTGCAAATCGAAAAATTGAAAAAACAATAAATTATAAAAATGAAAAATCAAAAAATTGTAAAAATAAACGTGTAAAAAAACGAAAGGAAGAATTACAAATTGAAAATTTGAAGAAATGAAAAATTAAAGAACCGAAAAATTGAAAAACTATGGAAACTAAAAAACGAAACAAAAAATTGCAACTTGAAAAATTGAAATGTCGAATAATGAAAAAGTTTTAAAATCCAATAATAATTGAAAAATGGAAAAATTCTAAATATGTAAAATTTAAAGAAAAAAATTCTGAATTATTACTATTACATAATTAAAATCAAAACTAGAAAAATTACAAATCAAAAACTGAAGAAATGAAAAACTGAAAAAACATGAAACTAAAAAATCTAAAAGTTGAAAAATAAAAAAATTGAAAACCGAAAAATTGCAAACCGGAAAACTCAAAAATCCAAAAATTGAAAATTTTCACATTGAAGAATTATAAAAGCAGAACACTGAAAATCGGAAAATAAAAACTCGAAGAGTTGCAAATCGAAAAATTGAAAAAACAACAAATTATAACAATAAAAAATCAAAAAATTGTAAAAATAAATGTTTAAAAAAACGAAAGGAATTTCTTCTTTTTCAAATCGAAAATTTGAAGAAATGAAAAATTAAAGAACCGAAAAATTGAGAAATTAAAAATTGAAAACTAGACAAATTTTAAATCGAAAAATTGAAAAAATAAAGAAACTAAAAAAACGACACTAAAAGTTGCAACTTGAAAAATGGAACAATTCTAAATATATAAAACTGAAAGAAAAAAAATTCTAAATCATTATTACATAATTAAAATCAATACTAGCAAAATTGCAAATCAAAAACTGAAGAAACGAAAAATTGAAAACCGAAAAATTGCAAATCGGAAAACTCAAAAATCCAAAAATTGAAAATTTTCACATTGAAGAATTATCAAAACAGAACATTGAAAACCGGAAAATTGAATGAAAAATTGAAAAATTAAAAAATGAAAACTTGTTAAATTGCAAATCTAAAAATTGAAAGATCCCAAAGTTGGAAAATCGGAAAATAAAAACTCGAAGAGTTGCATATCGTAAAATTGAGGAAACAAAAAAAAATGAAAAATTGAAAACACAAAAATTATAAAAATGAAAAATCAAAAAATTGAAAAATAAATGTGTAAAAAAAACGAAGCGAAAAATTGCAAATCGAAAATTTGAAGAAACGAAAAATTAAAGAACCGAAAAATTGAAAATTGAAAACTAGAGAAATTTTAAATCGAAAATTGCAAAATTTAACAACTGAAAAAACGACAAATTGAAAATTTTCCATTTGAAAAAAGAAAAATTATAAAATCAAAACACTAAAAACGAAAAATTGAAAAATAAGGAAAATGGTAAACCAAAACGAAAAATACAAATCGAAAAATTGAAGAAATGAAAAATCGAAGAAATTTTAATGCAAAAATTAAAAAATGAAATCTTGTTAAATTGCAAATCTAAAAATTATTGAAACATCCGAATCTTGGGAAATTGAAAAATTGAAAATCAGAGAAAAATTCCAAAATTTAACTATTGACAGTTCGGAAATCGAAAAATGAAAACTCGAAGAATTGCATATTGTAAAATTGGGGAAACAAAAAAAAATTGCAAATCGAAAAACTGAAAAAATAAAAAATTATAAAAACGAAAAAAATAAATCAGTCAAAAAACGAAGCGAAAAATTGCAACTCGAAAATTTAAAGAAACTAGATAGAAGAACTTTTAAACCGAAAAATTGAAAAATCGAGAAATTGAAAATTTTCACATTGAAGAATTATAAAAACAGAACACTGAAAACCGGAAAATTGAATGAAAAATTGAAAAATTAAAAAATGAAAACTTGTTAAATTGCAAATCTAAAAATTGAAAGATCCCGAAGTTGGAAAATCGGAAATAAAAACTCGAAGAGTTGCATATCGTAAAATTGAGGAAACAAAAAAAAATGAAAAATTGAAAAAACAAAAATTATAAAAATGAAAAATCAAACAATTGTAAAAATAAATGTGTAAAAAAAAACGAAGCGAAAAATTGCAAATCGAAAATTTGAAGAAACGAAAAATTAAAGAACCGAAAAATTGAAAATTGAAAACTAGAGAAATTTTAAATCGAAAATTGCAAAATTTAACAACTGAAAAAACGACAAATTGAAAATTTTCCATTTGAAAAAAGAAAAATAATAAAATCAAAACACTAAAAACCGAAAAATTGAAAAATAAAGAAAATAGTAAACCAAAACGAAAAATGCAAATCGAAAAATTGAAGAAATGAAAAATCGAAGAAATTTTAATGCAAAAATTAAAAAATGAAATCTTGTTAAATTACAAATCTAAAAATTATTGAAACATCCGAAATCTTGGGAAATTGAAAAATTGAAAATCAGAGAAAAATTCCAAAATTTAACTATTGAGAGTTCGGAAATCGAAAAATGAAAACTCGAAGAATTGCATATTGTAAAATTGGGGAAACAAAAAAAAATTGCAAATCGAAAAACTGAAAAAATAAAAAATGATAAAAATGAAAAAAATAAATCAGTCAAAAAAACGAAGCGAAAAATTGCAACTCGAAAATTTAAAGAAACTAGATAGAAGAACTTTTAAACCGAAAAATTGAAAAATCGAGAAATTGAAAATTTTCGCATTGAAGAATTATAAAAACAGAACACTGAAAACCGGAAAATTGAATGAGAAATTGAAAAATTAAGAAATGAAAACTTGTTAAATTGCAAATCTAAAAATTGAAAGATCCCGAAGTTGGAAAATCGGAAATAAAAACTCGAAGAGTTGCATATCGTAAAATTGAGGAAACAAAAAAAAATGAAAAATTGAAAAAACAAAAATTATAAAAATGAAAAATCAAACAATTGTAAAAATAAATGTGTAAAAAAAAACGAAGCGAAAAATTGCAAATCGAAAATTTGAAGAAACGAAAAATTAAAGAACCGAAAAATTGAAAATTGAAAACTAGAGAAATTTTAAATCGAAAATTGCAAAATTTAACAACTGAAAAAACGACAAATTGAAAATTTTCCATTTGAAAAAAGAAAAATAATAAAATCAAAACACTAAAAACCGAAAAATTGAAAAATAAAGAAAATAGTAAACCAAAACGAAAAATGCAAATCGAAAAATTGAAGAAATGAAAAATCGAAGAAATTTTAATGCAAAAATTAAAAAATGAAATCTTGTTAAATTACAAATCTAAAAATTATTGAAACATCCGAAATCTTGGGAAATTGAAAAATTGAAAATCGGAGAAAAATTCCAAAATTTAACTATTGCGAGTTCGGAAATCGAAAAATGAAAACTAGAAGAATTGCATATTATAAAATTGAGGAAACAAAAAAAAATTGCAAATCGAAAAACTGAAAAAATAAAAAATTATAAAAACGAAAAAAATAAATCAGTCAAAAAACGAAGCGAAAAATTGCAACTCGAAAATTTAAAGAAACTAGATAGAAGAACTTTTAAACCGAAAAATTGAAAAATTGAGAAATTGAAAATTTTCACATTGAAGAATTATAAAAACAGAACACTGAAAACCGGAAAATTGAATGAAAAATTGAAAAATTAAAAAATGAAAACTTGTTAAATTGCAAATCTAAAAATTGAAAGATCCCGAAGTTGGAAAATCGGAAATAAAAACTCGAGAAAACTAGAGAAATTTTAAACCGAAAATTGCAAAATTTAACAACTGAAAAAACGACAAATTGAAAATTTTCCATTTGAAAAAAGAAAAATTACAAAATCAAAACACTAAAAAACGAAAAATTGAAAAATAAAGAAAATAGTAAACCAAAACGAAAAATGCAAATCGAAAAATTGAAGAAATGAAAAATCGAAGAAATTTTAATGCAAAAATTAAAAAATGAAATCTTGTTAAATTACAAATCTAAAAATTATTGAAACATCCGAAATCTTGGGAAATTGAAAAATTGAAAATCAGAGAAAAATTCCAAAATTTAACTATTGCGAGTTCGGAAATCGAAAAATGAAAACTCGAAGAATTGCATATTGTAAAATTGAGGAAACAAAAAAAAATTGCAAATCGAAAAACTGAAAAAATAAAAAATTATAAAAACGAAAAAAATAAATCAGTCAAAAAAAACGAAGCGAAAAATTGCAACTCGAAAATTTAAAGAAACTAGATAGAAGAACTTTTAAACCGAAAAATGGAAAAATCGAGAAATTGAAAAAATAAAGAAAACAAAAACCGAAACGAAAATTGCAAATTGAAAAATTGAAGACATGAAGAATTGAAAACTCGTGAAACTGCAAATCGAAAAATTGAAACGTCAAAAAGTTGAAATTGAAAAAATAAATTATAAACTTGGAACACTGAAAAATCAAATAAATTAATAAATTAACAAAAAAAAGAAACGAAAAATTTAGACCTTTACCAATTTTTATTAGTAAAAATTGGAACTTACCACTAGAACTATGGTCCAAAACATCCAAAAGATTTGTAGCAAACTGTTGTGTGACCTGTTTTACCTCAAGCAAAAAAACCAACTTATCCTCAGTTTGCTTCAAAGCGGCATCAATGCACTCATTCAAACTAGGATCCAGAGAACCCAACACATCTGTGTATATCTCAACAAAAGACTCAGAGCTGTTCTGATTGGTGAAAACCTGATTAAACCACTTTTGCTGTGTGTGCCAATTGGACAATAAAATGCCATAAAAATTATGGATCCACTGAATCACAGATTCGTCCTGTTCTATCTCCAATTGGTTGCGCCACTTCTTCAACAAAACGTCTTTCTGACACTTGTGATAATACTTAAGTAGTTGAGGTAAACGCCCCATTGAATTAAAAATTCTCACAAACATGGTAGATTGTTCTGGAACAATAAACTGTAATTTTTTTGTAATTATTATTAAAAGTTGAATCACCTGTGTTTGACGATGTGAAAGCTTGAACAATCGCCGGACTTGCGATAGCCTCAAGCCTATTTTTCAGCCCCTCTAGTTGTAGTTTGCGGTCCTCATAATCACCCACGTTTACCAACAACTGCAAAGAGCGCTGCATTCCAATTATTTTCGTAGAAATATTTTCAATGTTTTTGGAGTCAAAAACTTCCTCCAAGTCGTTAACTAAAATAGTCCAGTTGTCACTTTCATGAAGCCCCTGCTTAGCCAAGTTCAGTTCATTTTTAATCGAATCCAGCTTCTCGATAGTGTTAATCGATTTGCCGGTGTCCTGCTCAATCTGGATGATTTCGTTCCTAACTGCAGCCATTTTTTCTTTCAAAACCGTGGCTTCCTGGTGGAGATTTTTCGTGTCTCGAATTATTTTTGGCAGTGACATTAAGACCTGCTGACTGGTTTCTTCCAGCGCGTTGTTCACTTGTTGGACGCACAGTTGCAATTTCATCACTATGGACATAGTGTAGTTCTACAAATTTGAAAAATCAGGGTTTGTTGTGAGAGGGGCAAACCTAACCTCTTTCTTTTCTTGATTTTCGGCATTTTTAAGAATGCCGTTGATCCAGGCTTTCGTGTCGAAATTGTCGTCAGAAAAGGCGCTGATGTCCTAAAATCGAACAAATTGTACATAATTTCGTAAAATTTAGCGAGTTGTACCATTTTCGTGATGACGTTTAACCTAACCTCACTTTTTTTTTATTCAATTCTGATCTGATATCAATCAATATTTTGTTGTAAATTATGAAACACAGTTTCAGTTTTTAGTTATTTTACTTAAAAATATCTTTTTACAATTTACATTTTGTATTCCATGTCTGTTAAAACGTCCTTGATCAGGTGCAAGACCTTTTGGTATAGGAAGGAGTACCTAAAATTTGATTCTCAATCTCAAACAAGGGTGATTATTGGTTGTCAATGTACCTGCTTGCCGGTTTGCAGATACCCAGGTGGTCTAAAGGAATTTCGTAATATTCTCCATAGCCCGGGTTTCCTGAGTCGGGTTCCACCACCAAAAACTTGAACTTCATGGCAGACACAATTGTTGGTTCAGTCTCAACAAACGTGATGACTTTCATTGGGTGTTTCTTAAGTAACTCTAGAAAATTTTGGTGTATGTCCAGAAGCAGCGGCGAATCTAACGTAATACTTCGTTAGAAATAAAGTATTAAAATTTAGGTTTAAAATTTACGCTTTTGCAACTCTTGGACTTCAACTGAGGGCCATATGACCAAGGCGGACGCTTGGTTGAATTTAGCCACACTTGAACCCACATGGGGGGTGCTGTAAAACACGATTCCTTTGGTGTTTCCAAACATATTCTTAATCTGTTCATCATTGCTTTCAGATGCTGCAACATTGTTGTCAGTTTTTTACCATACATAAGTGGTAGTTACCTTTATTTAATAGACGCTTCACTATCAACCCACCCATGGAATGGGTCACCCAAACAATGGGTCTCTTCCCCACTCCCACCTGGGCCAACTGCTCGATCAACTCGTCGCTCCTTTCCTCCAAAGTTTTGACTTTTTCGTCGGGACAAATCGGAGTCCACAACGACAAGTTCGTCTCATAATTGACCCCAATTATCCTCAGATAATCACAATCTTGAGCCAACCAATCCTTCGGCCAACAATTAGTGACGCAATCTTCGCCTTTTTTAATACAATAAAACTTGTTGGGTGAGCAACAGTACGGCCCCAACGCGTTGTCATTGGTTTTCGTGGGGATATCCTCCCACACTACGTCATAGTCCCTGCATTCCGTCTCATAGCTCAGGTGCTGCTCCAAATCGTCGACGAACTCTTTGATCTCCGGGTTACTCGTACTGTGGATTTTTGGGTGACTTTTGGGGTATTTTTTGTGAACGGAGCAAACATCTTCATTTTGGGTGAAGGTTTCTGGAATCACGTGACTGAGTAAAGAAGGAGACTATGAATATGTTTAATAAAAAAAAACTATGTCACAATTTTTTAAATTGGTCCAAAGTTAATTATTTATACTGTTTAAATATCATAAGTATTAATATGTCATACATAACTAAACCGAAAACCGTTTTCCTACAAACATCAAGTTATTAAAAACAATTCAATTTGTTTAAACGTTGTTAATTTAACCCCGAAAATGAGCAATTTTCCGGCCAAAATATGAACAATAATTTCTGTCGCAAACTTTTCTTCGATAACTCTAATCTAAAAAATTTTCCACCAATTTTCGACAAAATTTTCGAAATTTTACTAAATACATTTTCTTGTACATTTCGCGCCGCAGAAGTCACTTCCGCAAACATTTCTTCGATAACTCGATTGGTTTTCCCAAAATCGCCCTTTGAAATACAGAATTTTTGCAATTTACCGACCAATTTTCATCAAAATTTTCGAAATTTTACAAAATCCATTTTCTTGTAGATTTAAGGCCGTAGAAGTCATTTCCGCAAACATTTCTTCGATAACTCGATTGGTTTTCCCAGAATCGCTCTTTGAAATATAGAATTAATGCAATTAACCGACCAATTTTTCACTAATTTTCATCAAAATTTTCGAAATTTTACAAAATACATTTTCTTGTAGATTTCGGGTCGTAGAAGTCACTTCCGCAAACAGTTCTTCGATAACTCGATTGGTTTTCCCAGAATCGCTCTTTGAAATATAGAATTAATGCAATTTACCGACCAATTTTCCACCAATTTTCATCAAAATTTTCGAAATTTTACAAAATACGTTTTCTTGTAGATTTCGGGCCGTAGAAGCCACTTCCGCAAACATTTCTTCGATAACTCGATTGGTTTTCCCAGAATCGCCCTTTGAAATATAGATTTAATGCAATTAACCGACCAATTTTTCACCAATATTCATCAAAATTTTCGAAATTTTACAAAATACATTTTCTTGTAGATTTAGGGCCGTAGAAGTCATCTCCGCAAACATTTCTTCGATAACTCGATTGGTTTTCCTAGAATCGCGCTTTGAAATATAGAATTAATGCAATTTACCGACCAATTTTCCACCAATTTTAATCAAAATTTTCGAAATTTTACAAAATACATTTTCTTGTAGATTACGGGCCGTAGAAGTCACTTCCGCAAACATTTCTTCGATAACTCGATTGGTTTTCCCAGAATAGCCCTTTGAAATATAGATTTAATGCAATTAACCGACCAATTTTCCACCAATATTCATCAAAATTTTCCAAATTTTACAAAATACATTTTCTTGTAGATTTAGGGCCGTAGAAGTCACTTCCGCAAACATTTCTTCGATAACTCGATTGGTTTTCCCAGAATCGCCCTTTGAAATATAGATTTAATGCAATTAACCGACCAATTTTCCACCAATATTCATCAAAATTTTCCAAATTTTACAAAATACATTTTCTTGTAGATTTAGGGCCGTAGAAGTCACTTCCGCAAACATTTCTTCGATAACTCGATTGGTTTTCCCAGAATCGCCCTTTGAAATATAGAATTAATGCAATTTACCGACCAATTTTCATCAAAATTTTCGAAATTTTACAAAATACATTTTCTTGTAGATTTAGGGCCGTCGAAGTCATTCCGCAAACATTTCTTCGATAACTCCATTGGTTTTCCTAGAATCGCCCTTTGAAATATAGAATTAATGCAATTTACCGACCAATTTTCCACCAATTTTCATCAAAATTTTCGAAATTTTACAAAATACATTTTCTTGTAGATTTCGGGCCGCAGAAGTCGCTTCCGCAAACATTTCTTCGATAACTCGATTGGTTTTCCCAGAATCGCCGTTTGAAATATAGAATTAATGCAATTTACCGACCAATTTCCCACCAATTTTCATCAAAATTTTCGAAATTTTACTAAATACATTTTCTTGTAGATTTAGGGCCGTAGAAGTCACTTCCGCAAACATTTCTTCGATAACTCGATTGGTTTTCCCAGAATCGCCCTTTGAAATATAGAATAAATGCAATTTACCGACCAATTTTCATCAAAATTTTCGAAATTTTACAAAATACATTTTCTTGTAGATTTAGGGCCGTAGAAGTCACTGCCGCAAACATTTCTTCGATAACTCGATTGGTTTTCCCAGAATCGCCCTTTGAAATATAGAATTTTTGCAATTTACCGACCAATTTTCCACCAATTTTCATCAAAATTTTCGAAATTTTACAAAATACATTTTCTTGTAGATTTAGGGCCGTAGAAGTCACTTCCGCAAAACATTTCTTCGATAACTCGATTGGTTTTCCCAGAATCGCGCTTTGAAATATAGAATTTTTGCAATTTACCGACCAATTTTCCACCAATTTTCATCAAAATTTTCGAAATTTTACTAAATACATTTTCTTGTAGATTTAGGGCCGTAGAAGTCACTTCCGCAAACATTTCGTCGATAAATCGATTGGTTTTCCCAGAATCGCCCTTTGAAATATCGAATTTTTGCAATTTACCGACCAATTTTCCACAAATTTTCGACAAAATTTTCGTAATTTTACTAAATACATTTTCTTGTAGATTTCGGGCCGCAGAAGTCACTTCCGAAAACATTTCTTCGATAACTCGATTGGTTTTCCCAGAATCGCCCTTTGAAATATAGAATTTTTGCAATTTACCGACCAATTTTCCACCAATTTTCATCAAAATTTTCGAAATTTTACAAAATACATTTTCTTGTAGATTTCGGGCCGCAGAAGTCACTGCCGCAAACATTTCTTCGATAACTCGATTGGTTTTCCCAGAATCGCCCTTTGAAATATAGAATTAATGCAATTTACCGACCAGTTTTCCACCAATTTTCATCAAAATTTTCGAAATTTTACAAAATACATTTTGTTGTTGATTTCGGGCAGAAGTCACTGCCGCAAACATTTTTTCGATAACTCGATTGGTTTTCCCAGAATCGCCCTTTGAAATATAGAATTTTTGCAATTTACCGACCAATTTTCCACCAATTTTCATCAAAATTTTAGAAATTTTACAAAATACATTTTCTTGTAGATTTCGGGCCGCAGAAATCACTGCCGCAAACATTTCTTCGATAACTCGATTGGTTTTCCCAAAATCGCCCTTTGAAATATAGAATTAATGCAATTTACCGACCAATTTCCCAACAATTTTCATCAAAATTTTCGAAATTTTACAAAATACATTTTCTTGTAGATTTAGGACCGTAGAAATCACTGCCGCAAACATTTCTTCGATAACTCGATTGGTTTTCCCAAAATCGCCCTTTGAAATATAGAATTTTTGCAATTTACCGACCAATTTTCCACCAATTTTCATCAAAATTTTCGAAATTTTACTAAATACATTTTCTTGTAGATTTCGGGCCGCAGAAGTCACTGCCGCAAACACTTCTTCGATAACTCGATTGGTTTTCTCAGAATCGCTCTTTGAAATATAGAATTTTTGCAATTTACCGACCAATTTTCCACCAATTTTCATCAAAATTTTCGAAATTTTACTAAATACATTTTCTTGTAGATTTAGGGCCGTAGAAGTCACTTCCGCAAACATTTCGTCGATAAATCGATTGGTTTTCCCAGAATCGCCCTTTGAAATATCGAATTTTTGCAATTTACCGACCAATTTTCCACAAATTTTCGACAAAATTTTCGTAATTTTACTAAATACATTTTCTTGTAGATTTCGGGCCGCAGAAGTCACTTCCGAAAACATTTCTTCGATAACTCGATTGGTTTTCCCAGAATCGCCCTTTGAAATATAGAATTTTTGCAATTTACCGACCAATTTTCCACCAATTTTCATCAAAATTTTCGAAATTTTACTAAATACATTTTCTTGTAGATTTAGGGCCGTAGAAGTCACTTCCGCAAACATTTCTTCGATAACTCGATTGGTTTTCCCAGAATCGCCCTTTGAAATATAGAATAAATGCAATTTACCGACCAATTTTCATCAAAATTTTCGAAATTTTACAAAATACATTTTCTTGTAGATTTAGGGCCGTAGAAGTCACTGCCGCAAACATTTCTTCGATAACTCGATTGGTTTTCCCAGAATCGCCCTTTGAAATATAGAATTTTTGCAATTTACCGACCAATTTTCCACCAATTTTCATCAAAATTTTCGAAATTTTACAAAATACATTTTCTTGTAGATTTCGGACCGTAGAAGTCACTGCCGCAAACATTTCTTCGATAACTCGATTGGTTTTCCCAGAATCGCCCTTTGAAATATAGAATTTTTGCAATTTACCGACCAATTTTCCACCAATTTTCATCAAAATTTTCGAAATTTTACAAAATACATTTTCTTGTAGATTTAGGGCCGTAGAAGTCACTTCCGCAAAACATTTCTTCGATAACTCGATTGGTTTTCCCAGAATCGCGCTTTGAAATATAGAATTTTTGCAATTTACCGACCAATTTTCCACCAATTTTCATCAAAATTTTCGAAATTTTACAAAACACATTTTCTTGTAGACTTCGGGCCGTAGAGTCACTTCCGCAAACATTCCTTCGATAACTCGATTGGTTTTCCCAGAATCGCCCTTTGAAATATAGAATTAATTCAATTTACCGACCAATTTCCCACCAATTTTCATCAAAATTTTCGAAATTTTACAAAATACATTTTCTTGTAGATTTCGGGCCGCAGAAGTCACTTCCGCAAACGTTTCGTCGATAACTCGATTGGTTTTCCGAGAATCGCCCTTTTAAATATAGAATTAATGCAATTAACCGACCAATTTTCCACCAATTTTCATCAAAATTTTCGAAATTTTACAAAATACATTTTCTTGTAGATTTAGGGCCGTAGAATTCACTTCCGCAAAACATTTCTTCGATAACTCGATTGGTTTTCCCAGAATGTCCCTTTGAAATATAGATTTAATGTAATTTACCGACCGATTTTCCACCAATTTTCATCAAAATTTTCGAAATTTTACAAAATACATTTTCTTGTAGATTTAGGGCCGTAGAAGTCACTTCCGCAAACATTTCTTCGATAACTCGATTGGTTTTCCCAGAATCGCCCTTTGAAATATAGAATTAATGCAATTTACCGACCAATTTCCCACCAATTTTCATCAAAATTTTCGAAATTTTACAAAATACATTTTCTTGCAGATTTCGGGCCGTAGAAGTCACTTCCGCAAACATTTCTTCGATAACTCGATTGGTTTTCCCAGAATCGCCCTTTGAAATATAGAATTAATGCAATTTACCGACCAATTTTCCACCAATTTTCATCAAAATTTTCGAAATTTTACAAAATACATTTTCTTGTAGATTTCGGACCGTAGAAGTCACTGCCGCAAACATTTCTTCGATAACTCGATTGGTTTTCCCAGAATCGCCCTTTGAAATATAGAATTTTTGCAATTTACCGACCAATTTTCCACCAATTTTCATCAAAATTTTCGAAATTTTACAAAATACATTTTCTTGTAGATTTCGGGCCGCAGAAGTCACTTCCGAAAACATTTCTTCGATAACTCGATTGGTTTTCCCAGAATCGCCCTTTGAAATATAGAATTTTTGCAATTTACCGACCAATTTTCCACCAATTTTCATCAAAATTTTCGAAATTTTACAAAACACATTTTCTTGTAGACTTCGGGCCGTAGAGTCACTTCCGCAAACATTCCTTCGATAACTCGATTGGTTTTCCCAGAATCGCCCTTTGAAATATAGAATTAATTCAATTTACCGACCAATTTCCCACCAATTTTCATCAAAATTTTCGAAATTTTACAAAATACATTTTCTTGTAGATTTCGGGCCGCAGAAGTCACTTCCGCAAACGTTTCGTCGATAACTCGATTGGTTTTCCGAGAATCGCCCTTTTAAATATAGAATTAATGCAATTAACCGACCAATTTTCCACCAATTTTCATCAAAATTTTCGAAATTTTACAAAATACATTTTCTTGTAGATTTAGGGCCGTAGAATTCACTTCCGCAAACATTTCTTCGATAACTCGATTGGTTTTCCCAGAATCGCTCTTTGAAATATAGAATTAATGCAATTGACCGACCAATTTTCCACCAATTTTCATCAAAATTTTCGAAATTTTACAAAATACATTTTCTTGTAGATTTAGGGCCGTAGAAGTCACTTCCGCAAACGTTTCTTGGATAACTCGATTGGTTTTCCCAGAATCGCCCTTTGAAATATAGAATTAATGCAATTTACCGACCAATTTCCCACCAATTTTCATCAAAATTTTCGAAATTTTACAAAATACATTTTCTTGTAAATTTCGGGCCGCAGAAGTCACTGCCGCAAACATTTCTTCGATAACTCGATTGGTTTTCCCAGAATCGCCCTTTGAAAAATAGAATTAATGCAATTTACCGACCAATTTTTCACCAATTTTCATCAAAATTTTCGAAATTTTACAAAACACATTTTCTTGTAGATTTCGGGCCGTAGAAGTCACTTCCGCAAACATTTCTTCGCGCTTTGAAATAAAGATCTATGCAATTCACCGACCAATTTTCCACCAATTTTCGAAAGTTTACTAAATACAAAGTGGATAGTTTTTCCGAGGAATAAATAATGTTTCAACATAAATAAAATTATTTATACTGTATAAAAATGAAAAGTATTAATATGTCATATTTAACCCGAAAACCGTTTTCCTACAAACCTGATGTTATTATAAACAATTCAATTTGTCTAAATATTGTTAAATTAACCCCAAAAATTTGCAATTTTTCAGCCAAAATATGAAAAATAATTTCTGCCATGTCATGGCGACGTACGATGACGTCACTGTCACGTGAGCCACCTGAGCAAAGGTCACATGTTTCGGTTCAGTTATGATTTGGGTCTGGTGGTATCAACATCGGAGCATTCAATTGATGTTTTGTAAAGGTTTTGGGTGTTACTATGACTAGATAAAGGAATGGGGGTTGGGATGGGGCAAGGATTGTGACAGGCGCAATCCTTACTCACCTGGAATACCCCTCTTACCCAGGAACCCCATCGGATTCTGGTTGCGCTTGCGCTGCCTCCAGGTAAAAAACACCCCGCCTAGAAGCCCGTGGACGAAGACCACGTCGACGCCGACGTCGCTCACGCTCCGGGTTGATGGGTGCAAGGGATACAGTCTTTGAAGATAGACCACGTTTTCGTCTGCGTCGAGATTGGCGAGGGCTTTGGCAGCCGGGATTGAAATTCGGACGTCGTCGTGTTTCACCCATTGGGCTAGAATTGTAATCCAACCTAAACAACCACATGATGGGTGGTGACTAAGTGTGTATTTATAGTAGTACCAGTAATGTATAGCTCGTTCAGGAGCTCTTTATGCATGGAAAGATAAGAAATGATGCGACATATTGTAGCGGTTACAGTGTGATTTTCTTTGAAGCGGTTGTGGATTTCCATTAGGAGGGGTAAACCGTTGAGGGCGGCGATGTCTTTGGCGTAGTCGCCGACGCTAGCGTGGTGAAGAAGGGACTCGAGACACATGGGGAGGACTTCTTCACTGGATTGGATGTACTTTTTGAGCTCGAATGGGGAGTACTCGTCGGCGTACTCTTCCATAACCTAGAAATATGTAGCGAGTTTGTTCAAATTGGGTTTTGGGTGTGTTTAGAGTCGCGAGTACTTACATCCACGTCTGCAAATACTTTTGACACGAAATACCCCATGCACGGGTGCTGCGATGTCGCGTGTAATTTCACCAATAAATCTTTCACGAGATCGACAATCATGTCGTGGGTGTGCACCAGGTATCTAATAGGTGGATTAGGAAAAAGTCGAAGATCGCTATCCGCCGTCCGCGCCAGTCCCACAGCCGTCCTAGGATCAATCATACTCGACAACTGCGAGCACTGCCAGTTTTCTAAATTTTTAATTTTCGATAACTGTCGGACCGCCTTTTTCCGTATGAACTCGTTTTCGCTATTGGCTAGAGTGAGCAACCGTTTGGCAAAGGAATATTTGAGCGATTTCCAGAAGTCCGATAGGGCTGAATTCTGGCCGGTGTCTGTCGTCATGTGTATGAACAGGAAGTCCTCACTTGCCGGTCTTTCGACTACTGTAGGTTCGACTACGTTCAGAATAGAGGTGTCCAAGGCATTGTGGAGGATCTTTTTGGTGGTTTGTACTTGGTAGTATAACCATCCTGCTCTAAATCAAGATTATTTGGGGCTGACTTACGAGAATTGGACGTTTACCCGCAGGAGACGGTCGCTAAACATGTAAATTTTAAGAATTTCGGGTATTTCTTGAAAAGGTGCATCGAAACGTCAAAAACACATGTCAGGACGAGAACGCCGAAGTGAGGTTAGGTAGTCGGGGGTTGGGTTCGTTTTAACTATGAAGGGTGGTTCAGAGCGCTCACACGTGGATTATACGTGTTGGAAAAATGGGGAATAATATGTTTGTATGTACGTGGATGGTCTACGAGTTGCAAGTATCCAGTTTGGTATGGTTAGGTTGGCAATGCGGTGTCAAATCTTACAACCCATTGGGTAATTTGAATGAGGTTGGTAGCACTACGTAGACAAGTCGTTTGACACAAGTTTTAAAATCAGGAGTTGCATTTTAAAAATATGAGATCTATCGCTTAAAAAAATTATATTTGGAATGAATAAACTTGAGTCCGGGGGACCTCCTATTTAACATGAGTATTTTAGCAGAAATGGTGAAAAAATTTGAATTCTGTGTTGTGTCATTAACCATCGAAAAAAATATTTTCGAAAAATTTATTTGTTTTAGTGGTTATTTTTGTTAAAAATAATTTGGTTTCGGGGTTAAAGTGAAAGGTGAGTGGTGTGATGTGCCCAAGGAAGGAGTCTGCAAGGGTCGGCGCCGAAGGAAAGGGAATCAGGATTTAAAGGGTAAGTGTTGCTATTATTCAATGTATTATCTTAATTCTTCAGTTTTTTTATTTTAAATTGATATAAAAATAATTGTACAAATCGTTCCTTAACGGCTTAATAAGTGTGTTTGTTTCAACAAGAATTCAAGCGTTAAAATCTCGTAAGACATTTATTTTTATTAAATTTTGATTTCTTGTTTTGTGGGCATTCCCAGTGAATATAATCGATTTTACGTTTCCGTCTGTTTGTCTGTCTGTCTGTCCGTCCGTCTGTCTGCGGTCCGGATTTTTATCACATTATTTTTCTGGTTGACAGCACGAATTCCACGAAAATCAAATTTTGATAGAGATAATGAACTCCACTAATATTAAGCCATTTAATCATTGCAACTTGTGCATTGTTAAAGATAGTTCTTGACGTTTAAATCAACAAAATTTATTGCTATTCGTCACAAAAACAGATTAGGTATCATAATTGCAAGGGCTTATATTTTGCCCTTTTTTCTTAATATATGTGTAGTCTTCTCTTCACACCAAGAAAGGTAAACGAATAAGAAATTCATCACGATTAAGATCGGGACGGATGGGTTTTCTTTTTTAATTTATAAATTTAGTTTTCTTTGTATAATACGATTACTTAAGAACATATTTCATATGGTAATTTCTCGTAGAAAAATAACGATTTTACAATTACGCTCCGCCCCTCGGTTTACGACGAATAAAAAAAAAATCATCAGAATTGAGATAGGGCGGGTGGGCGGGGCTTATATTTTGCCTTTTTGTTTTAGTATACATAGCCAATTTTCCACAACAAGTAACATAAAACATTTTGTTATGGGGCGAAGCCTAATTTCAAAATCGATATTTCCTTATACAGATTTTCCATTTTAAACATGTTTTAAGTTTCATGTTGTGAAAAGAAGTCTACACAAATTAAAACAAAGAGGCAAAATGTAGGCCCGCCCACCCACCCTGTCTCAATTGTGATGATTTTTTTTTTGCGCCGTGAATCAAGGGGGCGGAACTTAACTGCAAAATACTTATTATTTCTTTACAAGAAATGAAAATCAAGTTTTTGAGTATCGTGTTGTTCAAAGAATACTAGGTATATTAAGGAAACAAAGGCAAAATATAAACCCCGCCCACCCACCCCGTCTCAATTGTGATGATTTTTTTATTCTTAAAAACTTAAAACATATGAATATGGATTTTGCAATATAATTTGTCTTTTTTGTAGATTTTAACCTCTAAAGACATTTCCAGTTTTATTTCTTTGAAAACCACCATTTTTTCAAAATTGCCGAATTAAATATGGCGCAGTGTTTAGAATTAAAAAAAAATTGACATTCAAACCAAATTTTCGAAAATACGCTATACTTACGATTCAGTATGTTGACATCTACATATATCCTGGAATTTTTTGTGGATTTTAGTCAAATTTTTGAAGAGCTCAATTTTCAGCACCCCCCCTTATGAAAATTTCCACTTTTTTCGACCAAATTGAAAAATTAGATTTTTTTTATAGATTTCAATATCCGAAATTATTTTCAACTTCATTTTTTCTCACTGAAAACTATATACACATATTAGAAAAAAAGAAAGCAGAATGCAAGCCCCGCCCACCCACCCGTTTCTCAATTGTGACAACTGTTTTTACTTGTCGTCACTCGAGAGGTGGACCTTAATCGCAAAATCCTTATTTCTCTACAAGAAAATGCCATGTTGAACATGTTTGTATCATGTTGTTAAAAAAAAAGTGTTTATGTCAAGAAAAAAGAGGTCAAAAATTAAGCCCCGCCCACCCACCCTAATCTCAAATGTGATGAAGTTTTCATTTGTTGTCAGAGCGGGGGGTGGAGCTTAATTGTAAAATCGATGTTTTAAGTAAAATTATCATATTGTTCAAAATAGATCATTTTGAGAAAAAGGAGAATGCAACTCTCTCTCTCCCACTAGGTCAACAATAACATTGTAATTTTTGTAGAAACATAAGGATTTTGCAGTTAAGCTCCGCCCCTCGGCTTACGACGAATAAAAAAATCATCAGAAACGAGATAGGGCGGGTGGGCGGGGTTTATATTTTGTCTTTTTTTCTTAATATACATAGTCATCTTTTCACAGTAAGAAACTGACAACATGGTTAAAATGGTACATCTTTGCAAGGAAATATGGATTTTGCCATTATGGGGCGAAGCCAAATTCCAAAATCGATATTTCCTCGTATAATATACAATTTAGATCAGTGCAAGTATGGGTGGGGCTTAATCTTTGACTTTAATTTTTCTTAATATACATATTATTCTTTGAATAGCACGGTACTCAAAAACATGCTAATTTCTTGTAGAGCAATAAGAAGGTTTTTCCAATTAAATTCCGCTGATTTTGACTCTCCACGAATAAAAAAATCATCAGAATTGAGATAGGGCGGGTGGGCGGGGTTTATATCTTGCCTTTTTTATTAATATATATATGTAATCGTTTTTTCATAACAAGAAACTTTTAAACATGTTTAAAATGGTAAATTCTTGTAATCAAATATGAATCTTGCAATTAAACCACGCCCCTCGATCTGACAACGAATGAAAAATTCGTCACAATTGACAATTGAGATAGGGGCTGGTATGGGTGGAGCTTAATCTTTGGCTTTATTTTTTTCTTAATATACATAGAATCTTTTGAACAACACGATACGCAAAAACATGTTTTTAATTTCCCGTAGAGAAATAAGGATTTTGCAGTTAAGCTCCGCCCCTCAGCTTACGACGAATAAAAAAAAATCATCAGAGATAGGGCGGGTGGGTGGGGTTTATAATTTGTCATTTTTTGTTAATATACATAGTCATCTTTTCACAACAAGAAACTTACAACATGGTTAAAATGGTAGATTTTTGCAAGGAAATATGGATGTTGCAAATATGGGGCGAAGCCAAATTCCAAAATCGATATTTCCTCGTACAATACACAAATTTTCCATTTTAAACAAGTTGAAACGAAGTGTAGAGATATAAAAATAAAAAGACAAAATGTAAGCCCGCCCACCCACCCTGTCTCTATTGTGATGAACCTAACTTCAAAATACTTATTTCTTTACAAGAAATTAAAATCATGTTTTTGAGTATCGTGTTGTTCAAAGAATACTATGCATATTAAGGAAAAAAAGGCAAAATATAAACCCCGCCCACCCACCCCATCTAAATTGTGACGATTTTTTTTATTCTTAGAAACATACAACTTATAAATATGAATTTTGCAATTAGGCTCGGCCCCTAGGTCTGGTAACAAATGAAAACTTCATTAGGGGACTATTTAGATCAGGGCAGGTATGCGTGGGGCTTAATCTTTGGCTTTATTTTTTTCTTCCTATACATAGTATACTTTGAACAACACGATACTCAAAAACATGTTTTCAATTTCTCGTAGAGAAATAAGAATTATGCAGTTAAGCTCCGCCCCTCGACTTACGACGAATAAAAAAAAAATCATCAGAAACGGGATAGGGCGGGTGGGCGGGGTTTATAATTAGTCATTTTTTGTTAATATAATATATAGTCATTTTTTCACAGCAAGAAATATACAAATTTTCCATTTTAAACATGTTGAAACGAAGTGTAGAGATATTAAAACACAAAGACAAAATCTAAGCCCGCCCACCCGCCCTGTCTCAATTGTGATGATCTTTTTATTTGCCTTGAACCAAGGGAGCGGAACTTAACTGCAAAATACTTATTTCTTTACAAGAAATTATAATCATGTTTTTGAGTATCGTGTTGTTCAAAGAATATTATGCATATTAAGGAATAAAGGCAAAATATAAACCCCACCCACCCACCCTATCGCGATTGTGATGATATTTTTTTATTAATAGAAACTTAAAACATATAAATATGGATTTGGCAATTAGGCTCCGCCCTTAGGTCTGGTAACGAATGAAAACTTCATTACTATTTAGATCAAGGCAGGTATGGGTGGGGCTTAATCTTTGGCTTTATTTTTTTCTAATATCCATAGTATTTTTTGAACAACACGATTCGCAAAAACATGTTTTTAATTTCTTGTAGGGAAATAAGGATTTTGCAGTTAAGCTCCGCGCTCTTGGTTCAAGACGAATTAAAAAAATCGTCACAATTGAGACAGGGCGGGTGGGCGGGGCTTCATTTTGCCTTGTATTTCTTAATATGTGGACTTATTTCGACACCGAGAAACTTAAAACATGTCTGAAATGGTAAATTCTTGTAGTAATCCAATTAAATTTGCCACTTTTCTTCTACAACCATTTTAAATACGGCAAAAGTTCTGTCAAAACAACTTTCGACCAATTTTTTTTTTATTTTTTTAAATCTTATCTACTTATTAAACTTGTGTAGTGTTGAATTGCATCGTTTTTAAAAATTAGTATGTGTAAATTTCGATGATATTTTTCTTTGTGTACACAAAAATTTCATGTGTTTCTTGTTGCAGTGGGTTCGTAAATGAAGATGAGGGGATTCGCTAAATTGTAGCAGAAGCAGAAGCCTGAAGGTTAGAATTTTGCATGAATTTTTTATCTTTTATGAAGGCTATTTTGATCGGTAATTTTGTGTTATGTTTGTTTTGTCAATTTTTTTGACGTCTTCTTACATATTTTGTATTTTATTTTTTATGCACCCTTTTCTTTATGTGCGTATGTTCCAACAATTTTTTCCTTTCGATTTTAATTTTTTTTTGTCATAAGGTTTTCAAAATTTCGTTGTTTTAATTGATCGATTTCTTTTCATATATACAAAAATTGATAACTGAATACTCAATAAGAATTTCTTTTACACTATAAATATTATCGATTAAATTTTTCAAAATCAAAATTTCGACCAAATTTTGACCATTTTTAAAACTAAGCAAACATTGTCTTATGGAATTCGACCTACAGAAGTTATTTTCGGCTTCATTCCTCCGATAACTTCTAGCATGTTTCCAAAATCGCCCATTGGAATACTGTTTTTTTTTGGATTAAAAAAAATATTTTTAAATAGAATATTTCTAAAATCTTGCTATAAGACCATAAACATATTATATTTTTGAAATCAGTCCGTTGAAATCTATAGCCCTGAATTTTCTGAAAATTTTTTGACACATTTTTCAAAAGCAAAATTTTTAAATTTTGAAAATTTTCGCCAATTTTCGACCATTTGGAAACTTAACCAAACATATTTTCTTATAGATTTCGACCTAAAGAAGTTAGTTTCCGCATCATTTCTTAGAAAATCCTACTATTTTTCCAGAGTCGCCCATTAAAATATTGCAATTTTTGGATTTTTTAGAAAATTGTTTTTCAAAGAGAATAGTTCTAAAATCTTGACCCCAGGCCACGGACATACTATATTTTTGAAATCAGCAAGTCGAAATCCATGTCCCTGAATTTTCTGAGAATTTTTTGGCGGTTTTTTCAAAACCAAAATTTTTCAAAATCAAGATTTCAACCGATTTTTGACTATTTTTGAAACTAAACACATTTTCTTATGGAATTCGACCTACAGAAGTTATTTTCGGCCTCATTTCTATGATAACTCCTATCATGTTTTCAAAATCGCCCATTGGAATATTGGAATTTTTTGGTTTTAAAAAACAATTCAAACAGAATATTTCTCAAATCTTGCTACAAGACCATAAACATATTATATTTTTGAAATCGGTCTGTGGAAATCTATATCCCTGAATTTTCTGACACATTTTTCAAAAGCAAAATTTTTAAATTTTGGAAAGTTGGAATTGTAGCAGAAGAAGAAGCCTGAAGGTTAGAATTTTTTTGCATTAATTTTTTATCTTTTATGAAGACTATTTTGATCGGTAATTTTGTCTTATGTTTGTTTTGTCAATTTTTTTGACATCTTCTTACATATTTTGTATTTTATTTTTTATGCACCCTTTTCTTTATGTGCGTATGTTCCAACAATTTTTTCCTTTCGATTTTAATTTTTTTTGTCATAAGGTTTTCAAAATTTCGTTGTTTTAATTGATCGATTTCTTTTCATATATACAAAAATTGATAACTGAATACTCAATAAGAATTTCTTTTACACTATAAATATTATCGATTAAATTTTTCAAAATCAAAATTTCGACCAAATTTTGACCATTTTTAAAACTAAACAGACATTTTCTTATGGAATTCGACCTACAGAAGTTATTTTCGGCTTCATTTCTCCGATAACTTCTAGCATGTTTCCAAAATCGCCCACCGGAATACTGTTTTTTTTTTGGATTAAAAAAAAATATTTTTAAATAGAATATTTCTAAAATCTGCCTACGCGACCATAAACATACTATATTTTTGAAATCAGTCCGTTGAAATCTATATCCTTGAATTTTCTGAGAATTTTTTGACACATTTTTCAAAAGCAAAATTTTTAAATTTTGAAAATTTTCGCCAATTTTCGACCATTTGGAAACTTAACCAAACATATTTTCTTATAGATTTCGACCTAAAGAAGTTAGTTTCCGCATCATTTCTTAGAAAATCCTACTATTTTTCCAGAGTCGCCCATTAAAATATTGCAATTTTTGGATTTTTTAGAAAATTGTTTTTCAAAGAGAATAGTTCTAAAATCTTGACCCCAGGCCACGGACATACTATATTTTTGAAATCAGCAAGTCGAAATCCATGTCCCTGAATTTTCTGAGAATTTTTTGGCAATTTTTTCAAAAGCAAAATTTTTCAAAATCAAGATTTCAACCAATTTTTGACTATTTTCGAAACTAAACACACATTTTCTTATGGAATTCGATCTACAGAAGTTATTTTCGGCCTCATTTCTATGATAACTCCTATCATGTTTTCAAAATCGCCCATTGGAATCTTGGAATTTTTTGGTTTAAAAAAAAACAATTCAAAACAGAATATTTCTAAAATCTTGCTACAAGACCATACACATATTATATTTTTGAAATCGGTCCGTTGAAATCTATATCCCTGAATTTTCTGACACATTTTTCAAAAGCAAAATTTTTAAATTTTGGAAACTTGGAATTGTAGCAGAAGAAGAAGCCTGAAGGTTAAATTTTTTTTGCATTAATTTTTTATCTTTTATGAAGTCTATTTTGATCGGTAATTTTGTCTTATTTTTGTTTTGTCAATTTTTTTGACATCTTCTTACATATTTTGTATTTTATTTTTTATGCACCCTTTTCTTTATGTGTGTATGTTCCAACAATTTTTTCCTTTCGATTTTAATTTTTTTTGTCATAAGGTTTTCAAAATTTCGTTGTTTTAATTGATCGATTCCTTTTCATATATACAAAAATTGATAACTGAATACTCAATAAGAATTGCTTTTACACTATAAATATTATCGATTAAATTTTTCAAAATCAAAATTTCGACCAAATTTTGGCCATTTTTAAAACTAAACAGACATTTTCTAATGGAATTCGACCTACAGAAGTTATTTTCGGCTTCATTTCTCCGATAACTTCTAGCATGTTTCCAAAATCGCCCATCGGAATACTGTTTTTTTTTTGGATTAAAAAAAATATTTTTAAATAGAATATTTCCAAAATCTGCCTACGCGACCATAAACATACTATATTTTTGAAATCAGTCCGTTGAAATCTATATCCCTGAATTTTCTGAGAATTTTTTGACACATTTTTCAAAAGCAAAATTTTTAAATTTTGAAAATTTTCGCCAATTTTCGACCATTTGGAAACTTAACCAAACATATTTTCTTATAGATTTCGACCTAAAGAAGTTAGTTTCGGCATCATTTCTTAGAAAATCCTACTATTTTTCCAGAGTCGCCCATTAAAATATTGCAAATTTTGGATTTTTTAGAAAATTGATTTTCAAAGAGAATAGTTCTAAAATCTTGACCCCAGGCCACGGACATACTATATTTTTGAAATCAGCAAGTCGAAATCCATGTCCCTGAATTTTCTGAGAATTTTTTGGCAATTTTTTCAAAAGCAAAATTTTTCAAAATCAAGATTTCAACCGATTTTTGACTATTTTTGAAACTAAACACACATTTTCTTATGGAATTCGATCTGCAGAAGTTATTTTCGGCCTCATTTCTATGATAACTCCTATCATGTTTTCAAAATCGCCCATTGGAATATTGGAATTTTTTGGTTTTAAAAAACAATTCAAAACAGAATATTTCTAAAATCTTGCTACAAGACCATAAACATATTATATTTTTGAAATCCGCCCGTTGAAATCTATATCCCTGAATTTTCTGACACATTTTTCAAAAGCAAAATTTTTAAATTTTGGAAACTTGGAATTGTAGCAGAAGAAGAAGCCTGAAGGTTAGAATTTTTTTGCATTAATTTTTTATCTTTTTGAAGGCTATTTTGATCGCTAATTTTGTCTAATGTTTGTTTTGTCCATTTTTTTGACGTTTTCTTACATATTTCGTATTTTATTTTTATGCACCCTTTTCTTTATGTGCGTATGTTCCAACAATTTTTTCCTTTCGATTTTAATTTTTTTTGACCTAAGGTTTTCAAAATTTGGTTGTTCTAAGTTATCGATTTCTTTTTATTTTACTTCATCTACCTACTGCACATTAATACCTCCTCTGGGGTCCAAATTTTAACACATTTTTCTATCTTTAATTAAAATTCTTAATAAATTGCCTCATTTAGTTAAGAACATCGTGCTAACTAAATTTCTAAGTCGGTTATTGGCTAGTAATGTTAAGAAAACGACCAGATGAGATCTTCATATTTGTATTTAAGTGTATAGATTAAAGAATAAAATACATTAACTTGAGGTGCACAGGTACTATATCTATAATAAGGCTAGTTAATGAATTAACCTTGCGACTGCAACTGTCCTGAGCAGGTTTTTAGAAAAAACTCAAGCTAATAATAAAAAATAAGTAAGTGACACTTTGCAATCAGGATGCGAAATTGACTTGATTCAGAGACATCACTTCCTATTCATTCAGTATTGGTAAAAAAGTTCGATAGAGTACATCCTGTTCGCAAAGCGTCGAACGTGAGACGAATTAAGTTGTGCAACGTACATAATAGCAGTTCTAAGAATATTGTCCAGGTTATTTAATATATACATAATTAACTAATCAACGATTTAAACTTACATTGGCGAGTCCGCCTGCTTCCTCGCATACAGTAGCTAAAACTCACAAATACTGTCTCTTAACATCACACAGTTTAAAAAACTGACACGTTTTAAAAAAGTAACATGTAAAACATAAGGATGTTGAAAAAAGTTTAGTTATAACATCGACGATAAAAAATTAATAAAACTATATATATTACTTTAAACACTATGTGTATATACATGGTTGAATCATTGTGCGCCTACAAGTTCATAACAAAACTATAAAAACTCCGCAAAGTATGTTTCTTGTTCTATATGAAGCCTCACGACGCTCACAGCATAGTTACCCATAAATCTACGTTAGCTCCTCAGCTCGACGGTCTTGCGTAAATGTTAGAAAAATAACTTTGAAATCTATAACGGCGCAGCGACTCCTTGCAACTTTATAAAACCGATTCGATTTGCTTGATCTCCCGCTCGCCGGGGCTGGAGGCGGTCTCGACGATCTTGGGGATGGGCCCGCCGCCGCCGCCGCCGCCGTCGGTCTTGTGGGCCGGCGCCATGGTGATGCCGGCGTCCTCCTCCTCGTCGTCCTCGTCGATGGGGGTGAGGGGCGCCTCGGCGACAGGCAGCTCCTCGCCCGTCGGCCGCTTGAGGCAGGGCGCGATGAAGCTCGTTATGGCCGATATTGCGAAAAATGAGCCGGCTACGTAGAACGGTATGTCGAACGTCTTCGTAGCGTCGTATATGGCACCGGCTAACGGGGAGCCTACGATTGCGGCGGCGCCACGGAAGAGGATCAGTAAGCCGAATGCGTTTGTTAGCTTGTCTAAGCCGAGGAGGTCGACTAGGATGATTGAAGTTAGCGAAATATATCCAGCTGAAAAAAAATATAGGTCAGAAGTGAGGTCCTCATTTCTTCGATAACTCCCATCATTTTCCCAAAATCGCCCATTGAAATATTGGAATTTTTTGGATTTAAAAAAATATGTATGTATTTCCAAACAAAATATTTCTAAAATCTTGATACGACACCATCAGAATACTATATTTTTGAAATTGGCACGTCGAAATCTATGCCCCTGAATTTTCTTAGAATTTTTTGACAACTTCTTCAAAATCTAAATTTTTAAATTTTGAAAATTTTGGACAATTTTCGAAACTTAACGAAACATATTTTCTTATGGATTTCGACCTAAAGAAGTGAATTTCGGTCTTATTTCTTCGATAACTGCCACCAATTTTCCAGAATGGTCTATTGGAATATCGCAGTATTGGAGTTTTAAAAAAATTGATTTTCAAAGAGAATATTTCTGAAATCTTGCTACGAGACCATAAGAATACTATATTTTTGAAATCAGCAAGTCGAAGTCCATATCCCTGAATTTTCTGAGAATTTTTTGACAATTTTTTCAAAAGCAAAATTTTTCAAAATCAAAATTTCAACCGATTTTTGACTACATATTTTTGAAACTTAACAGACATTTTCTTATGAAATTCGATCTACAGAAGTTATTTTCGGCTTCATTTCTACGATAATTTCTAGCATATTTCCAAAATCGCCCATTGGAATAATGGAATTTTTTGATTAAAAAAAAAAATTTCAATCAGAATATTTCTTAAATCTTGCACGAGACCCTAAACATATTATATTTTTCAAATCAGTCCGTTGAAATCTATATCCCTGAATTTTCTGAGAATTTTTTGACACATTTTTCAAAAGCAAAATTTTTAAATTTTGAAAATTTTCGCCAATTTTGACCATTTTCGAAACTTAACTAAACATATTTTCTTACGAATTTCGAGCTAAAGAACTTAGTTTCCGCATCATTTCTTAAAAAATTCCTACCATTTTTCCAGAGTCGCCCGTTAAAATATTGCAATTTTTGGATTTTTTAGAAAATTCATTTTCTAACAGAATATTTCATGGACATACTATATTTTTTGAATCATCAAATCAAAATCCATGTCCCTGAATTTTCTGAGAATTTTTTGCCAATTTTTTCAAAAGCAGAATTCTCAATTTTGAAAATTTCGTACAATTTTCGTTCATTTTCGAAAATTAACGAAAGACATTTTCTTATACATTTCGACGTAGAGAAGTTAATTGCGGCCTTATTTCTTCGATAACTCCTAACAATTTTCGGTAATCGTCCATTGGAGTATCCCAGTTTTTTGGATTTTGGAAAAAATTGATTTTCAAAACGAATATTTGTAAAATGTTGTCCCGAGACCATGAACAGGCTATTGAAATCTATAATTTTAAGAATTTTTTTTTCAATATGAAAATTTCGGCCAATTTTCGACTATTTTCGAAACTTAACCAAATTTATTTTTGTATAGATTTCGACCATAGTTGGCTTCGTGTCATTTCTTTGGTAGATCGACCATTGGAATATAGCAATTTTTAAGATAAAAAAAAAAATTTCAAACCGAATATTCCGAAAATGTTGCCCAGAAAATATGAAGACGCCATATTCTAAGAATCAGCACGTCAAGATCTATATCTCTGAATTTTTGACAACTTTTTTAAAAGTAAGATTTTTCAAAATCAAAATTTCGGCCAATTTTCGATTATTTTCGAGACTTAACTAAATACATTTTCTTATAGATTTCCATAAATATAAGTTAGTTTGGATCTCATTTCTTTGACAACTCCTATCATTTTCTCAAAATTGCCCATTGAAATTTTGCATATTTTTGGATTTAAAAAAAATAATTTTCAGAATTTTCGGCCAAATATATCGGTCATTTTCAAAACTTAACCAAAGACATTTTCTGATATATTTCGATCAACACAAGTTTCTCATTTCTTCCATAATTCCTACCGATTTTCCAAAATCGTCCACTAGAGTATCGCAATTTTTTGGGTTTTTGAAACAATAAATTTGATTTTCAAACCCAATACTTCGAAAATGTTGCATCGAGGCCATAAACATGTTATATTTTTGAAATCAGTACCTCGAAATCTATATCCTTAAATTTTTTGGGAATTTTTGACAACTTTCAAAAGCAAAATTTTTCAAAATCAAAATTTCGCCCAATTTTTGAGCATTTTTGAAACTTAACGAAAGACGTTTTCTTATAGATTTCGACTCACAGAAATTAATTTCGGCATCATTTCTTCGACAACTTCTACCCTTTTCCCAAAATCGCCAATTGGAATATTGCAATGTTTTTGGATTAAACAAAAATTGATTTTCCAACCGAGTAGTTCTAAAATGTTGCTCCGAGACCATGAATAGTTCGAAATCAGCACATTGAAATCCATATTCTTCAATTTTTCAGGAATTTTTTTTACAACTTTATGAAAACCAAAATTTTTTAATTTTGAAAATTTTGGCCAATTTGTGACCATTTTTGAAACATTACTAAATAGATTTTCTTAGTTAGTTTATGTCTCATTTCCTTGGTAACTCCTACTATTTTTCCAAAATCGTTGATTGAAATACTTTCTTCTTACTTTTTACTAATTTTCGACTATTTTCAAAATGCAGCTGGATACATTTTCATACAGATTTAGACTTACAGAATTTAATTTCGGCAATTTCGGTCTCATTCATTTCTTCGATAACTCCTACTATTTTCACAAAACCGCCAATTGGAATATTGCAATTTTTTGGTTTAAAAAAAAAAAATGAATTTTCCAACCGAGTATTTCTAAAATGTTGACCATAATTTCGAAATCAGCACGTTGAAATCCATATTCCTCAATTTTTCAGGAATTTTTTTACAACTTTATTAAAAACAAAATTTGTCAATTTTGAAAATTTCGGCCAATTTGTGACAATTTTTGAAACTTTACTAAATACATTTTCTTAGAGATTTCGACTCACAAAAGTTAGTTTATGTCTCATTTCTTTGATAACTCCTACTATTTTTCCAAAATCGTTCATTGGAATATTGCGATTTTTTAGAATAAAGAAAAAAACATTTTTTTTCAAACTACATACATATTTCTAAAATCTTGCCTCCAGACCACGAATACGCTACTTTTTTGGGAATAAGTAGGCTCAATTTTTGAAAAATTGTTTGACAATTTTTTCAAAATCAAAATTTTTCATTTTTGAAAATTTCGGACAATTTGCGACCATTTTTGAAAGTTAACTAAATACATTTTCGTATAGATTTCGACCCCTAGAAGTTTGTTTCAGCGTCATTTCCTTGATAACTCCAACCATTTTTCCAAAATCACCCACTGAAACACTAATATTTTGGATTAAAAAAAAAAAGATTATCAAACTAAATATTTCTAAAATATTGACCATAAATATGCTATATTTTTGAGATCAGCACGTTGAAATCTATATCCCCAAATTTTTTGGAAATTTTGTGACAACTTTTTCAAAAGCAAGATTTTTCAAAATCAAAATTTCGACCAATTTTTGACCATTTTTGAAACTTTTGAGACATTTTCTTATAGATTGCGACCTACAGAAATTAATTTCGGCATCATTTCTTCGATAAGTTCTACCCTTTTGCCAAAATCGGCAATTGGAATATATAGCACGTTGAAATCGATATTCCTCAATTTTTCAGGAATTTTTTTACAACTTTATTAAAACCAAAATTTTTCAATGTTGAAAGTTTTGGCCAATTTGTGACAATTTTTGAAACTTTACTAAATACATTGTATTACAGATTTCGACCCACAAAAGTTAGTTTCTGTCTCATTTCCTTGATAGCTCCTACTATTTTTCCAAAATCGTTGATTAGAACGTTGATTTTTTTCAAACTAAATATTTCTAAAATCTTGCCTCCAGACCACGAATACTATTTTTCCAAAATCGTTGATTGAAATACTGCGATTTTTTAGAATAAAGAAAAAGACATTTTTCCAAACTAAATATTTCTAAAATCTTGCCTCCAGACCACAAATACGCCATTTTTTGGGAATCAGTAAGTTCAATTTTTGAAAAATTTTTTGACAATTTTTTCAAAATCAAAATTTTTCATTTTTGAAAATTTCGTTTAATTTTCGACCATTTTCAAAATTCAGCTGATTACATTTTCATATAGATTTAGCCTTACAGAATTTAATTTCGCCAATTGGGCCTCATTTCTTCGATAACTCCTACCATTTTCACAAAATCGCCAATTGAAATATTACAATTTTTTGGTTAAAAAAAAAAAAATGAATTTTCCAACCGAGTATTTCTAAAATGTTGACCATAATTTCGAAATCAGCACGTTGAAATCCATATTCCTCAATTTTTCATGATTTTTTTTCCAACTTTATTAAAACCAAAATTTTTTAATTTTGAAAATTTCGGCCAATTTGTGACCATTTTTGAAACTTTACTAAATACATTTTCTTACAGATTTCGACCCACAAAAGTTAGTTTCTGTCTCATTTCTTTGATAACTCCTACTATTTTTCCAAAATTGGAATATTGCGATTTTTTAGAATAAAGAAAAAAACATTTTTTTCAAACTAAATATTTCTAAAATCTTGCCTCCAGACCACGAATACGCTACTTTTTTGGGAATCAGTAGGCTCAATTTAAAAAAAAAATTTGACAATTTTTTAAAAACCAAAATTTTTCATTTTTCAAATATTTCGGTTAATTTTCGACTATTTTCAAAATTCAGCCGAATATTTTTTCATATAGATTTAGAGTTACAGAATTTAATTTCGACAATTTGGGCCTGATTTCTTCGACAACTCCTACCATTTTCACAAAATCGAAAATTAGAATATTGCAATTTTTTGGTTAAAAAAAAAAAAATGAATTTTCCAACCGAGTATTTCTAAAATGTTGACCATACTTTCAAAATCAGCACGTTGAAATCCATATTCCTCAATTTTTCAGGAATTTTTTTCCAATTTTATTAAAACCAAAATTTTTTAATTTTGAAAATTTCGGATAATTTGTGACCATTTTTGAAACTTTACTAAATACATTTCCTTACAGATTTCGACCCACAAAAGTTAGTTTATCTCATTTCCTTGATAACTCCTGCTATTTTTCCAAAATCGTTCATTGGAATATTGCGATTTTTTAGAATAAAGAAAAAAAAATTTTTTCAAACTAAATATTTCTAAAATCGTGCCTCCAGACCACGAATACGCTACTTTTTTGGGAATCAGTGGGCTGAATTTTTGAAAAATTTTTTGACAATTTTTTCAAAACCAATATTTTTCATTTTTGAAAATTTCGGTTAATTTTTGATTATTTTCAAAATTCAGCTGAATATCTTTTCATATAGATCTAGAGTTACAGAATTTAATTTCGGCAATTGGGCCTCATTTCTTCGACAACTCCTATCATTTTCTCAAAATCACCAATTGGAATATTGCAATTTTTTGGTAAAAAAAAAAAATGAATTTTCCAACCTAGTATTTCTAAAATGTTGACCATGAAATATGTATACTTTCGAAATCAGCACGTTGAAATCCACATTCCTCAATTTTTCAGGAATTTTTTTACAACTTTATTAAAACCAAAATTTTTTAATTTTGAAAATTTCGGCCAATTTGTGACCATTTTTGAAACTTTACTAAATACATTTTCTTACAGATTTCGACACACAAAAGTTATTTTATGTCTCATTTCCTTGACAATTCCTACTATTTTTCCAAAATGGTTGATGGAATATTGAGATTTTTTAGAATAAAGAGAAAAAAAAATTTTTCAAACTAAATATTTCTAAAATCTTGTCTCCAGACCACGAATACGCTACTTTTTTGGGAATCAGTAAGCTCAATTTTTGAAAAATTTTTTGACAATGTTTTCAAAATCAAAATTTTTCATTTTTGAAAATTTCGGTTAATTTTTGATTATTTTCAAAATTCGGCTGAATATCTTTTCATATAGATTTAGACTTACAGAATTTAATTTCGGCAACTTGGGCCTCATTTCTTCGAAAACTCCATTCATTTTCACAAAATAGCCAATTGGAATATTGCAATTTTTTGGTTTGAAAAAAAAAAAATGAATTTTCCAACCGAGTATTTCTAAAGTGTTGACCATGAAATATATATACTTTCGAAATCAGCACGTTGAAATCCACATTCCTGAATTTTTCAGGGATTTTTTTCCAATTTTATTAAAACCAAAATTTTTTAATTTTGAAAATTTCGGCCAATTTGTGACCATTTTTGAAACTTTACTAAATACATTTTCTTACAGATTTCGACCCACAAAAGTTAGTTTATGTCTCATTTCCTTTATAACTCATACCATTTTTCCAAAATCGTTCATTAGAATATTGCGATTTTTTAGAATAAAGAGAAAAAAAAAAATTCAAACTAAATATTTCTAAAATCTTGTCTCCAGACCACGAATACGCCACTTTTTTGGGAATCAGTAGGCCCAATTTTTGAAAAATTGTTTGACAACTTTTTTAAAATCAAAATTTTTCATTTTTGAAAATTTCGGCCAATTTGCGCCCATTTTTGAAACTTAACTAAATAAATTTTCTTACAGATTTCGACCCCTAGAAGTTTGTTTCAGCGTCATTTCCTTAATAACTCCAACCACTTTTCCAAAATCGCCCATTGAAACACTGTAATATTTTGGATTAAAAAAAAGATTTTCAAACTAAATATTTCTAAAATATTGACCATAAATATGCTATATTTTTGAAATCAGCACGTTGAAATCCATATCCCCGAATTTTTTGGGAATTTTGTGACAACTTTTTCAAAAGCAAGATTTTTCAAAATCAAAATTTCGACCATTTTCGAAATTTCACTAAATATTATTTCTACAATCTCGGTCTTTGTGAGCAACTAACAACAATAATACGTAGTGAAACATCCTGTATAATATAACGAGTGATCTACTTTTTAGACAAAATTTATCATTGAAACAAAAATTTTGTGATTTTCCAAAATTTGGAAAAATGTTAGGGCAACAAATAATAAACGTTTATTTTGTATTAGTTTTTTCATTGTGGTACTGGAGGTAAAGATGCGTCAGCAGAATCTGAGAAAACTCAAAACGTTTAATAACACGTCGTGTATTACTGGTTGCATATTTATATCTAATTAACCTCAAATCTTTCAATAAATTTTCGCCATGTGAGTCAAAGAATACAAAAATCCAGTTGTTCTAAGTGTGTCGATATCCACATCCATAATAAGAGAAAGAAATTTGTTATTCAATGTTAAAAAAAACTAAATTACTTTCTAGCTTCATCTAACGGAACTTCAATTATATGGACAAGATGTATCTCGTTCCAACATTTAAATCCAAATCCTAAGCTCTGCGTCGAAAAACATAGTAAATTTTATTAGGACCGTAATCTTTATTTACGTTTAAGAATTTCTGCGCCTATTTTTAACTGAATACATAAAATTTGTGCGCTTCAGTCTCGTTATCAGTGAGCAGATACATCCCATAAAAAGTTTTACTATTTAACTAATATAAAATTGTATGCAATTTATTATTTAATTTTTTTTTATGTTTTTCTTTTAATAAACATACCAATTAATTAGTCATTGTGGGTGCAAAATGTGTCATTTTATTGAACTCTATGTAATAACAATTTTATTACACTTTACCATTGGTCAACGTTATTATACGAAACGAATGCAGAGAAAACAACTCCAATTTTTCTTGGTTGCAGTAGCCAATAGTAGTAATGATAGTTGTGATTACCAGAACAAGCTCGTTTTACAAATAATCTGTAAAAATAATGATATTTTTCGAACGACTTATTTAATTAATAAAATTAATAACAATTAGTTCATATTCTGGGATAAAAATCACGGAGTTTTGGCTTGGGTTTTACATGTGTTGATAGCCCGAAAATGAGTCAGTTTCACCGAAATGAAACTTTTTCCTCCGCTTAGAGATAAAAAATCCGCCGGTTTTAATTAAACTTTAGATAAAATGTTTGTTTAGTACGGTTTCTCAGAATTTCATTTAACAAGCGTCGGACTGTAAAAGTTAAAAAAGAAATTATACTTACACACTGCTATTCCAAAGAAGACTGCCATCGTAATATAAGCACCGTAAGTATGGCAGAATGGCGTTAATGCGACCGCCACTGTAGAAACTACAAGACAAACGTTATTTACAAAAAGCGCATTCACTGAAGGGAAATCGGCAAAATATCCGCACGCGACACGGCCAAACGTATTCGTAATACCGATGATGGACAGCAGAAAGGACGCTTTCCCCTGATCGATACCCTAAAACCAAAAAGAATTACTCCCGAACGCCTCTCCTGGTCCAACTCACGTCTTGAACTGCACAATCAACGAGGTATACAAATGGCACATACAACCCAGCCATCCCGAACAGATTCGATATCCCTATGAGGACGAAGACTGGATCTTTTAATAAGCTCATATCCATCATCTGTGCTAAGGCTGACGTGAAACTTTCAGGCAAAACAAGGCAAGGACAAAGATCACCGGCTGAAAACGGGCGGGTCAGAAAGGTGGCGATGGGTTGCGTGGGCACTTACGGACTCCTTCGGATTCCAACCCTTTGGCTTTCGGAATGCTCATGATGCTTTGTCTATAGTTAGTGAGCGATTTTTGCGATTGGTGAAACTCTGGAAGATTGACGATGGAGCCTGAGTAAAAGATGTCCTTGCGGGACAAAGGTCGGACCATGTTGCTTTTACTCTTCTCCCGGGGCAGCGATAGTTTTGAAGTACATGCCAGACTCTCGACGTCCACCTGAAATTAGACACAACTTTAGTTTTGTATTGTTATAAAGATTTTTTTTTCAAAAATCTACATCTACGAAAAATTACTAATTTTGGTTGCTAAGAAAACCTGTCAGACTATAGCGTGTCTTAATTATTATGAAATTAGATTAATTTTGCTTAGTGAATTACTTGTAATTATCTTTTTTTTTTCACGACAAAAAATTCCAACCATGTTTAAAAGGGCAAATTTGTAGAGAAGTGTGTGGGATAAAATTTATCATTTTCAACATATTTTCAGTTTTTTTTTGTGAACGAAAGATTATGTATATTAAGACAAAAAACGCAAAATATAAACCCCGCCCACCCACCCGATCTCATTTGTAACGATTTTTCTTTGTTCATCGTGAGCCAAGTGGGGCGGAGCTTAACTGCAAAATCCGTATTCTCTTTGTTTTTTTTCTAAATATATACACGTTTCTTTGAAAACCATACTTAAAAACATGTTTCAGACGGTAAGTTCTTGTAGAGAAATAAGGGTTTTATGATTAAACTCCGCCCCCGGGCTGAAAGGAGTAACATCATTACAACTGAGATGGCGGTGGGTAGGCGGGGCTTAAGTTTTTGACTTTTTTCTAGATACATGTAATGATCTTTTCAGGCCAAGATATTTAAAACGTTTAGAATGGTAAATTTTTGTTTTAGGAAACATCGATTTTACAATTAAGCTCCGCCCCTCGGTCTGACAACGAATTAAAAATTCATCACATTTGAGATTGGGGCGGGTGGGCGGGGTTTGTATTATGTTTCCTTTTTTTTAATATGTGTACAGAGTTTTCTTTTCACGACAATAAATTCTCAAACATGTTTAAAAGGGTAAATTTGTAGAGAAATGTGTGGGATAAAATTTACCATTTTCAACATGTTTTCAGTTTTTTGTTGTGAAGGGAAGACTATGTATGTTAAGAAAAACAAATGAAAAATACAAACCCCGCCCACCCACCCTATCTCGTTTGTAACGATTTTTCTTTGTTCATCGTGAGCCAAGTGGGGCGGAGCTTAACTGCAAAATCCGTATTATCTTTGCTTTCTTTTTCTAAATATATACAGGTTTCTTTCAAAACCACACTTAAAAACATGTTTCAGACGATAAGTTCTTGTAGAGAAATAAGGATTTTACGATTAAACTCCGCCCCCAGAATCATAATGAATAACATCGTTACAACTGAGATGGCGGTGGATAGGCGGGGCTTAAGTTTTGACTTTTTTCTACATACATGTAATGATCTTTTCACACCAAGTCATTTAAAACGTTTAAAATGCTAAATTTTTGTTTTAGGAAACATCGATTTTACAATTAAGCTCCGCCCCTCGGTCTGACAACGAATTAAAAATTCATCACATTTGAGATTAGGGTGGGTGGGCGGGGTTTGTATTATGCTTTCTTTTTTTAATATGTGTGCAGAGTTTTCTTTTCGCAACAATAAATTCTCAAACATGTTTAAAAGGGTAAATTTGTAGAGAAGTGTGTGGGATAAAATTTACCGTTTTCTACATGTTTTCAGTTTTTTGTTGTGAAGGGAAGACAATGTATATTAAGAAAAACAAATGAAAAATACAAACCCCGCCCACCCACCCAATCTCGTTTGTAACGATTTTTCTTTGTTCATCGTGAGCCAAGTGGGGCGGAGCATAACTGCAAAATCCGTATTCTCTTTGCGTTTTTTTTTTCTAAATATATACAGGTTTCTTTCAAAACCATACTTAAAAACATGTTTTAGATGGCAAGTTTTTGTAGGGAAATAAGGATTTTGCAATTAAACTCCGCCCCCGGGCTCATAAGTAATAACATCATTACAACTGAGATGGCGGTGGATAGGCGGGGCTTAAGTTTTGATTTTTTCTAGACATATGTAATGATCATTTCACGCCAAGATATTTAAAACGTTTAAAATGGTAATTTTTTGTTTTAGGAAACATCGATTTTACAATTAAACTCCGCCCCTCAGACTGAGAACGAATTAAAAATTCATCACATTTGAGATTGGGGTGGGTGGGCGGGGTTTGTATTATGCTTTCTTTTTTTAATATGTGTACAGAGTTTTCTTTTCGCGACAATAAATTCTCAAACATGTTTAAAAGGGTAAATTTGTAGAGAAATGTGTGAGATAAAATTTACCATTTTCAACATGTTTTCAGTTTTTTGTTGTAAAGGGAAGACAATGTATAATAAGAAAAACAAATGAAAAATACAAACCCCGCCCACCCACCCAATCTCGTTTGTAACTATTTTTCTTTGTTCATCGTGAGCCAAGTGGGGCGGAGCTTAACTGCAAAATCCGTATTCTCCTTGTTTTTTTTTTTCTAAATATATACAGGTTTCTTTCAAAACCATACTTAAAAACACGTTTCTGACAATAAGTTCTTGTACAGAAATAAGGATTTTGCAATTGAACTCCGCCCCCGGGCTCATAAGGAATAACATCATTACAACTGAGATGGCGGTGGGTAGGCGGGACTTAAGTTTTGCCTTTTTTCTAAATATATGTAGTGATATTTTCACGCCAAGATGTTTAAAACGTTTAAAATGCTAAATTTTTGTTTTAGGAAACATCGATTTTACAATTAAGCTCCGTCCCTCGGTCTGACAACGAATTAAAAATTCATCACATTTGAGATTGGGGTGGGTGGGCGGGGTTTGTATTACGCTTTCTTTTTTTTAATATGTGCACAGTTTTCTTTTCACGACAATAAATTCCATACATGTTTAAAAGGGTAAATTTGCAGAGAAGTGTGTGCGACAAAATTTACCATTTTCAACAAGTTTTCAGTTTTTTGTTGTGAGGGGAAGACTATGTATATTTAGAAAAAAAAAAAACGCAAAATATAAACCCCGCCCACCCACCCGATCTCAATTGTAACGATTTTTCTTTGTTCATCGTGAGTCAAGTGGGGCGGAGCTTAACTGCAAAATCCGTATTCTCTTTGCTTTTTTTTTCTAAATATATTCAGGTTTCTTTCAAAACCATACTTAAAAACATGTTTTAGACGATAAGTTCTTGTAGAGAAATAAGGATTTTGCAACCCAACTCCGCCCCCAGGTTCAAATGAATAACATCATTACAACTGAGATGGCGGTGGGTAGGCGGGGCTTATATTTTTACTTTTTTCTAGATATATGTAATGATCTTTTCACCCCAAGATATTTAAAACGTTTAAAATGGTAAATTTTTGTTTTAGGAAACATCGATTTTATAATTAAGCTCCGCCCCTCGGTCTGACAACGAATTAAAAATGCACCACATTTGAGATTGGGGTGGGTGGGCGGGGTTTGTATTATGCTTTCTCTTTTTTTAATATGTGTACATACTTTTCATTTCACGACAATAAATTCCAAACATGTTTAAAAGGGTAAATTTGTAGAGAAGTGTGTGAGACAAAATTTACCATTTTCAACATGTTTTCAGTTTTTTGTTGTGAACGGAAAACTATGTTTATTAAGAAAAAAAAAAAAATACAAAATACAAACTCCGCCCACCCACCCTATCTCATTTGTAAAGATTTTTCTTTGTTCATCGTGAGCCAAGTGGGGCGGAGCTTAACTGCGAAGTCCGTATTTTTCTACAAAAATTACCATGTGAAACATCTTTTGTTATTGTTGACCTAGTGGGGGAGAGAGGGTTACATTCTTCTTTTTCTCAAAATGATCTATTTTGAACAATATGATAATTTTACTTAAAACATTGTGGTGACCGAATTTAAATCAAACTTTTCGCGCTGAAATTAATTGACAACGGCGCGAAATCACATTTGAATAATTTTAATTTGAAAAAAAAAGAGTTCAATCACAAAAAGGAAATCCTTAAACATAGGCAACCAAATATGCATGGATGGTCTAATGCACGTAGCGCTTAGGAGTTAGTTTGCATGATCTTTGGGTTAGATGGCAGCACGTAGCGCTAGGGTAATTTCAGTTAGAGGGTTGGTAGAAAAGCGGCATGGCGGTAGAATGTGTCATTCTGGTGTGTTTCGTGTAAGTGTAACCACGTGGTAAGCGCTAGGTTTAAATTAGTTGGTTTGGTAGTTAATAAAACGGGAGGAAGCCTTTGTTTAACGACGATCAAACGTATTTTTCATAATGATACAGTTGTCCCCAACCCGCGCGGTAAATTCTTGCGCCCTTTTAATCGAAAATTGCAGACTTCCGGTCCACCGAAACACGTGCTGTAAATTTGTTTCTTTGTTTGTAAATTCACCAATCAAGCTAGTTTTTCTTAATAATCAGCTAGAGCAAACACAATTTAACAATCAGGATTATTTAAATAAACCATTTGCTAGAAGATTTCATGAAATTCACTTAGTCAGGAAAAACACCTTATGTTTAATTACGAATAGGTCTCTGGATGCATATACGTAAGTGTTACATTATAACACTTCTAAATTCTTCACACAAGATTGCTAATAGTTCATTTACGGCAGTTAAACAAGTTCATTATACTGCGGACTGGCGGGGGGTTATGATATTTTCTCCCCTTAGGTGGTTATCATCGTTATCACGATTAATTCAACGGGGCATGCTTCACGACGCCAGATTGATTAATTAACCAATGCATGCCCCCAACGCTACAGAAAATTCACATTACCGAGACGCTTTTTCCTCGCAACGATTTTGGAACTTACATCACCGAGACGCTTTTTCCCTCGGAGCGATGATTGGATATTTTTGTATTTGTTTATTATGTGTTTTGTTGGGGTAACCAGTTCGTAGTATTTTAACTTCTCAAAGTAAATTATTTTTGAAGTAACCAATCATTTAGATCATGATATAATTTGGCATAATGTAAACTCTTTGTTTGAACCGTTGATAAAGTGTGGCAAATATTAATCTCCTGTAAATTATGTTAACTCTGCAATTTTCACATCATACTATATTTCTTAATCTCACAATCTTAACCTCAGTAATTTTATTTGTTGTATAAATTTAATTGAACGTAAATTTCATGTTCTACAGTTCTAACCTCACATAACATT